CCAAGTGAGCCACTGCTGACTGCCTTAGGCTCTTACGGGGTAGTTTTTCGGCCCCTGGAAAGGCACGCCATCACACACTTGACCCTTTTCTCTCCTTCCCACAATCTTTTTTTCTTTTTCTTTCTTTTTCTTTTTCCTTTTTATCAGCTCTCCCTTCAATAATCATCTTTCCCCCTCGTTCTCTTCCTTTCTATCTCTTCCTCTTTCCCCTCGCTCTCCATTTTTGGTCTCCTGTACGGAGTAAAGACACAACAACCATACCGTTTTAACGCCCGGTCAGTATTTCTCCCGCTATGCAAAGAACCGATGCCCACAGTATGGGTCGACCAGTCCAGAACTGACGGAGTGATTGGATCCAAGATTAGCCTCGTTCGTGGGTGGACAGTACCGCTGGGTCTGCTTCTGCTTCGCTCGGTGCCGGAACCACCAACCACTCAGCCTTTTCCGCCCTCTCTTTCATCTCTCCTTCTCTCCCACACAAACGCCCACCCCCCGTTTTCCTCTCCTCCGGCTCATCTCCCCCGTACCCAAAAGGGAAAAATATTGATAAGCCAATTCCATATCCGATGGGACGCGGTTTGTCACATCCCGTTGTCTTCGACCAAGCTACTCTCCTTCGTTTGCCTGGCCCGCGTTGTAGTCCTCCAGGATGCGGTGGCGGCTGCCTGGCGCCCGTACGAGCCTCCCCGCCAGCGTCGCACTCCTTCTGCTCCCCGTTCTCGTCGCTCCGCAGCAGCTGCACGAACGCCATGACCGTCCGTCCGCCGTGTCTGTTCCCCTCGATCCGACCGGACATCTCCCCGATAGTCACCCCCCTCCGACGTTGAACGTGAAGTCCAACGATGCGAGCGCCCTAGCAACTCTGGCTCTGGCGGGCTCCGGCCGCGCCGTTCGAGCCCCTCCTGCCCAGGCCAGCAGTCCCTCTGCCGGCCTGGCTCCGCAGCTCCATGCGCGGTCCTTGCAGGACTGGGAGGTTGAGGATTTTGTTCTGCTGGCGACCGTCGACGGTTCCATTCACGCACGAGACCGTAAATCCGGCACTGCCCGTTGGGCCCTCGAGGTCCCCAGCAGTCCTATGGTCGAAAGCATTTATCATCGCCAAAATCGGTCCAGTTTCGACCGTACCCAGCCGCAGGATGATTATATATGGATCGTTGAACCTAGTCAAGGAGGTAGTATCTTCATTTACAGTCCCGACCCCGATGCCGGCCTGCAGAAGCTCGGCTTGACCGTCAAGGAGCTGGTGGACGAGACCCCTTACTCAGGAACAGATCCCGCGGTCACTTACACAGCTCGGAAGGAAACCACTCTCTACACCATTGACGCCCGCACTGGTACGATCTTGCGGGTCTTCAGCTCTCGGGGCCCCGTGCCCGCGGGCCAAGAGTGTCGCAAAGTAGATGGACTCGACGTCGACCCCGAAGAATGCGAATCTCCTTCCGGCACCCTGGTTCTGGGCCGCATTGAATACGCCGTGGCCATCCAAAATACCGAAACCGGGGATCCCATATGCACCCTAAAATACTCGGAGTGGTCGGCCAATAATCGCGACATGGACCTCCAGAGTCAATATTTCCGGACGATGGACCAGAGTCATATATACAGCATGCATGACGGGGTGGTGCTCGGTTTCGATCATTCTCGCATGGAGCGGCCTCGCTACACACAGCGGTTCTCTTCGCCGGTGGTGCGAGTGTTCGACGTGGCCCGCCCGATCAACGTCGACTCGCCCGAGGCAGCCACGCCTCTGGTGCTCTTGTCCCAGCCCCTGCAACCCCCGGATCCGGACTATGGTTTTCTGGACGACCGAGACACCCGCGTTTTCATTGACTGCACAGATGCAGGGGGCTGGTATGCCATGTCTGAAGAGACGTATCCCCTGGTGACAGGGCGTGCCAAGATGGCGCAGTGCTATGAAAAGGATTATTTCCGCCAAGGGCAACCCCTGACGAGCCTGTCCTCCAACCAACAGCGTGATGCACTGACTGGTGTTCATTCGCTCAATGGTCCCCGCATTGTTCGACCTCACATCCCCAGTATCTCGGGGTCGTCCGTGGAGCGCTCCAACGACACTCCGCGCGACCTAATCCGCAATCCCTCCGAGTTGGCCCTGCCCCCCGCCTTGCGCCACAGCGCCATTATCCGCAAGAGCTGGGACAACGTTGTGGACATTTTCGTGACAATGTTGCTCCTACTTTTCTGTGCCTTCATTTACTTCAATTCTCACCATATTCAGGAGTTGGCGAAGCAGAAATTGGATCTCAAGAACATCATCTCTTCCTATGGGCAGCCATCATTGTCTACCCCGTCAACCCCTATTGTTAGCAGCAATCCATTCAAAAGCGACAGTAGTCCCGCGCGACGGGTACCTAACGTAACCATTGACGTCAACGTGCCCGAGGATCAACAGAACGACGGCGATGCCACGCCGAAACCAAGCAAAGACCGCAGCCTCCTGGCGGCAGACACGACCCCTCGCGTCCGGATTAGGGAGCCCTCGCGCGGTCCAGAGGGTGATGACGATGTGGAAGACTTGACGCTGGACGGCATTGATAAGCCTAAGAAGAAACGCCAGCGGGGTCGTCGCGCAGGCCGAAACCATCGACGTGGGAAGAAACCGGGTGCCGACGTTGAGGCAAAGGAGCCGGCAGATCCGGCCGGGGATGAGTCGAACAACAGCCTTCACCCTCCATCCCGGTCGGAGGCGGAGGCTCCATTAACCCGCACCGTTTCCAACGAAGTCGTCGAGATGGACGGAGTTCTTCAGATCGGTCGTCTCAGAGTGTTTACTGACGTTGTGCTGGGACACGGGAGTCATGGCACGGTGGTGTACCGAGGGTCCTTTGATGGCCGGGACGTTGCAGTGAAGCGTATGCTGGTTGAATTTTACGATATCGCCTCCCACGAGGTTAGTCTGCTCCAAGAAAGTGATGACCACAACAATGTCATCCGCTACTTCTGTCGAGAGCAGGCGTCCGGTTTTCTCTATATTGCCCTGGAGCTATGCCCTGCATCTCTGCAAGATGTAGTTGAGCGACCGTCCGATTATCCGCAACTAGTGCAAGGAGGATTGGACATGCCGGACGTCTTGCGTCAGATCGTCTACGGCGTCCGCTATCTTCACTCCCTCAAGATCGTCCACCGGGATCTAAAGCCGCAGAATATTCTGGTGGCAATGCCTCGCGGGCGCACAGGCTCTCGCTTCTTGCGACTGCTGATCTCGGATTTCGGTCTATGTAAGAAGCTCGAGGACAACCAAAGTTCGTTCCGGGCCACTACGGCCCATGCGGCGGGTACGTCTGGCTGGCGGGCCCCTGAACTCCTGGTGGACGACGACAAAGCTCCATCCGCACACAGCATCGAATCCCAGCACACCGAATCCTCCGAGCCTGCCGTGGTGGACCCGCAAACCAACCGACGAGCCACTCGCGCCATCGACATCTTCTCTCTCGGATGCGTTTTCTACTACGTCTTGACCAGGGGCAGTCATCCTTTTGACAAGAACGGCAAATTCATGCGGGAAGCGAATATCGTCAAGGGCCACTTCAATCTGGACGAATTGCAGCGCCTGGGCGATTACGCATTCGAGGCCCATGACTTGATCCAGTCCATGTTGTCCCTGGATCCTCGCAAGCGGTAAGCCATTATCGTCCCTCTGCCAACCGGTGTGGACCTCATGCTAACTTGTTGCAGACCGGACGCCAGTGCTGTCTTGACCCACCCGTTTTTCTGGCCTCCCTCCGAGCGGCTGAGCTTCCTTTGCGATGTATCTGACCACTTCGAGTTCGAGCAGCGGGATCCCCCTTCCGATGCATTGCTTTGCCTGGAGTCGGTTGCGGCGCAGGTGATGGGGCCGGACATGGACTTCCTCCGTCTGCTCCCCAAGGAGTTCAAGGATAACCTGGGCAAGCAACGTAAGTACACCGGCTCGAAGATGCTGGACCTCCTCCGAGCATTGCGCAACAAGCGTAATCACTACAATGACATGCCGGACCACCTCAAAGCCCACATTGGCGGGCTTCCCGAGGGGTATTTGAACTTCTGGACCGTTCGGTTCCCCAGTCTCCTGATGAGTTGTCACTCGACCATCGTGGATTTACGCCTGACGCGGAGTGATAGGTTCAAGCGGTACTTCACGGTGCCTGAGTGATGCCGGCCTATTCGTCTCTTGAACATTTCTTTTTATTTTTGCCTATTTCGCATCTCGGACATATATGATCGGTGACATATGCTTTACTTTTTTGTTCCAACCTTGCATATAAAACGGCACACATCCATACTACCAGCTACAATTCCTTTGCAAAATCACCTTGCTCTTCATCTTCATCGAACTTCTCTTGGCAGCATTGCTGCTTTGTAATCGTACCTCGATCCGTTAAATACGTCGCTCATTTGTATTTATTGCCCTGATTGCTTGGCGTACGTTTCACCGTAGGTATGTATCTATGGACGTATGATTGAATTCTTCTTGTTCTACATCTAATTTTGGGGACGCGAGTCGTTTGTTCCTCCCGGATCCCAGCCGGACGTACTCCGTAGGGATCCATGGATGGTTCCGGCTGGAATCGACAGGTCCAACGGGCCAGACGCGGCCGAAGTGGGTCCCGAACCCCCGGCGGTGAAAACGCGTGCTTCCGCGTCGCTGCCGACCAATGGTTTCCTATCTCATGCTTTCTCTTCACCCGGCAAAATTGACAGGTCTTCATGAGGACTGTCCACTGCTTGGGCGTCATGATTCACTACCTTCGCCCGGTTGCCTTGTGTTACTCCTCTCAGTGACTCAATTCACTATTTCTCCCCCAACCAAGCCCCCCTTTGACTCCGCCTTCTCTCTCATCCACCTCACTCACCTCACCTCTCTTCCTTCCCCTCCACCACGTCCCCTCAGATCTTTCGAACTATCTCTTCTCCGTTGATCCGTTCATGTTTGATCCTTGTTGACCTGATAATGTCCAATTCCCATACAATCTCTTAAAAAATTGCCTTTTGCTGCCGTCAACATGGTTTTTCTACGTCTCACCGTCAAGGTCTATCCCCGCGACCAACTCCACTCCTCTTCCTCCCATTCCTTCCGCTCGATCGCCGGCGACCGTGATCGTGATGGATCTAGTCGGAGCTCTTCCACGCCCGGGGGCGGGAAACCGGCCTGCTTCATGCTGGTCCTCGAACATCCAGAGGAAATAACATTGGGCGGGCTTTCCAGTATGATCCAAGAGAGATGGAAGAAGCTCAGACCTGATGTGGAGTAAGTAAACCCTGAACTCGCTCCCTCCCTCTCCTCATCTTTCTTTTGCCTGTCGGTCCTCAATCGCACGGTGGCATAACTACTTGTCAGCGAGTGTAGGTTTGGTTAAGTCGCTAACGAATATGATGGTTTAGGCCCCTGGAGATCAAGAAGTTGCTGGACGATTCCTACGATTCGGATGATCTTGATGTCGATATGACTGTTGCCGACGTTTTTGTGGACAATGGCCGAGCTCGCGCAGACGGAAGTGACCAGCGCGGCATCGTGCGGGTCATCCAAAAGCCGGCCCCTTATGCCCCCGTACGATTTCCATCGGTGACTCAGGACTGGGACGGCGCGGCGAATGAGTTTGAGCGTCAGGTCAAAATCAAGAAAGAGATGGTTGATAAATTCCCAACCATTCTCGAGGAGCCGCACCAAACCCCGGAATTCGACCCCTACAATTACCCTTGGCGTGCATCGTCTGTCCACGACCAGGGTCATGTCAAAGAAGGCCCTCTGCCATCTACAGAGAGTGAGGAAATCCCAGGATCTCCCCAAGAGTGGGCTGACAAGTCTCTCCTCGATGAGGCCAGTGTACCGGCTCGTCGTGGAAGCACGATGGTCCCAACCCCCCAGCGCAAGCGTATGGAAAGTCAAGAGTTGGGTGACTGGCCTTCCTCCTCCCCAGCCCCAACCCACCAGGGACAACAAGCAACTCTCAGTCCCAAATTCACAGAAGCTGAAGCGCTTGCAAACGAGCCCCTCTTGGAATTGCCGGAGGAATCTTATGATGAACAAGAATCAAAGTCACCTTCCACCACACCAAAAGATCCATCCCACACAGGGCGTTGGCTCAAGCCAGCCCCGTTCAAGGAGTCGTCTCAGGCCAACCAGACCAGCACAAATGTCCATGAGCAAGCCGTTGAGCAAGAAGATGGGGACAAGGAAGACGACGAAGAAGGCGACGAAAAAGACGATGAGGAAAGCTCCAGTGATTATCAGACTAGTGAAGAAGTTGGAGTCGAATCACATGAACATCGCGACGGGGACGGTGATATTACCATGATCAGCAGTGCTTCAAAGGAAAATCAAGACCCCACCGGACCCATCCGTGGCGATGCTGAAGATCTGGTGTTCAACGAATTGGCAAATGCCGAAGGCCCTGTTTTTTCTTCCAAGTCGTTGGGCAAGAGGAAAAAGAGCCAGGAAGATCTCGAGCCGAACAAGGAGCCGCGCCTGGGCCAATTCAGTAGCCGTACCATTTCATCACCCAACCAACCGAAAACCGAGTTCGAGTTCGAGAAGCCCGTGACTCCCGTAATTAGTCCGTCGCGAAAGCGAGAGAAAACGCCCTCCTTTTCCGGACTTCCTCGTCGCCCGAGCTTTTCCGAGCGGCCAGAACTTCCTCAAAAAGGTCTGGGACTCGGTATTACTAAAAGTCCACCTAACAAACAACCAGTGGTTTACGATCTATCTAAGGGTTCTGTGGGGTCTTCCAAACAATTGTTTGGTAATAGCACACCCTCGAGCAGTGCGCCTATTCCCCATTGGGGCTCGATGCTCCAGAACCGCTCGACTCCCTTGAACGCACCGTCCTCCAGCCCAGGAGACAAGGGCAAACAGCTGCATTTGGCGCTTCGCAAGGACTCTCCAGCTGGTAGACCGCCTGGACAGCGGTCGGTTTCTTTTGCAGACGACGACGCTTCAATCATCAAGTCTGGATCGACACCAAAGTCGGCTTCTGAGAACATCGCAAAACCGCTTACCAGTGTTTCATCAGATAGAAGACTGTCGGGGTACGGCTCTATGATATACCCACCTCATATTACAAAGGAACAATTTGACGAAACCGAAAAGAAGGCCGAAGAAGAAAGAGCCGCAACGGACAAGCGAGAAAACGAGCAACCGAAGGAGCTCAGCAAGAAGTCCAAAGCGGCCAAAAAACAGGGTCTGGATATCAATTATCGCCGCATGCTGGATGAAGCCCGCAGAACCCTGGGTCAAATCGAGAGCGCGGCCAGGAAGAACTCCAATGCTACCTTGAAGAAACTACGTCTCAAATATGAAACACAGCGACGCGAGATTGATCGATTGGAGGCATCTTTCCGAAATCGCAAGGGAAACACTCTGGTTGTCCCGACATCTGACACCATGTCCCACGAGGACACGCCTGCATCGAAGAAAACAACGGCCAAGACCCGGAAGAGCCCGCATCCTCAGTCACAGCCTCGAGTTGGTAACAGTACATCCAAGGCTGCAAACCCAGAATCTTCCGCCAGACCTACCCATGCGCAGGCCAATAAAACAGCAACGAAGGTGATGAACGATCCGGATCTACCCTTGGTAAAAACTTTGAATCGAACCGGTAAAACAAGCAAGTCTACTGCCACCACAGTCGAGCGTTCGGTCCCCAAGCAATCTTCTCTTGATGACGGAGTTCTCATTTCGTCTTCAGAGTCTGAGTCCGGTACCCAATCTAAGAAAAAGAACTCTGTGAATGATGACCAGAACCCAGCAAAAAAGGCGGGTACATCTCAACACGGCAATGTTGCAACTGCTCAATCCCGCACCAAAACATCAGCAACTCCCTCAATGCCGTTGCCGCCACAGCCAAATAGCTCGCAGAAGCGGCCCAGTCTGCAGTCGATCAAGGCGGATCAGAAGAGGAAGCATCAGGAGAAATCACAGCCGAAACCATTGAAAGCCTCGCGTCAGAGCGAAAACGTCATGGACTTGTCGTCGAGTAGCTCGTCAAGTAGCTCGTCAAGTAGCTCGTCGAGCAGCGATGACAGCAGCAGCGAAAGTGGAAAGAGTGATTCTGACAATGGCGATATCAAGTCAAGTGGCCAGGTGGAAAAACTCAGCTCTGCCAAACGCCGGTAGTTGAATTTTCGCTCCTTTCGGTTCACATTTTGAAGTGCATCTCTTAATGGTCTTATTTTACCAGGATTCCCAGATGCACTCTGTCATGACTGCCACTGTTTACGATATGTCTGGTTAACAGGTACTAAGGTACAGTACTTTCGTTCGCGGGTTCTGACAGGGTAGAAATATCACGAAGATTAATGGAAGTTTTTAACATACTGTATTCCTATTTTCCCACCGTATATTGGTATCTGAATTCTTTCGTCCTGGCTTATTTCATCTACCTACTTTACCTTACCTTACTCTCTTCCCTCTACCCAATCCTGTGGCGGCTTCTGCACCGTCAAATTCCAGCCGAATTGATCCTCAACCTTACCGGCCTGGACGCCCTTAAGTGCCTGCAGCAATTTTACGCAAATGTCGCCTCCGCTCTGGCCATCCGCGCCGCAGTGGAAGGTAAATTTATCGTTGCGCGAGCGCATCGTGATGCTCCGGATCGGCACCAAGGCGGCCGCCGTCCCAGCCGCAACCACCTCACTGAACTCCTTAATCTCCTCGTAGGCGATGCGACGCTTCTCAACCGCAAAGCCAAACATCCGCCGACCCAGCTCACACACGGACTCGGCAGTCACGGAATCGATCACATTCTTGCTGTCAGGCTGCACCAGGGTCACGGCGCCCGAGCCGGGATCTTTTCGCACCCCTATGAAGGCCGAGGTAGAGAACTCGTCGATCTCCGATCGCGTGCGGCTGTCCAGATGCAAGGTGATTCCGAATCCTTCCGCTGCCGCGCGGCCACTGTGTCGCAACACCGGCGCATAGTTTCCGCCGACTTTGGCAGACCCCGTGCCCTCAGGTGCAGCACGATCAAAGTCTTCGAGTATGAGGCCATCGACGGCGTGAACCCCGTGATATACGCCGGTGGGCATGACGAACACCACGAACGTGTACTCGTCCGGTGGGCTGAGACCCAGTTGCGCTGACGATCCGAACAGCAAGGGACGGATGTACATTGCGGCGCCGGTTTCATGCGGAGGCACGAACTCGGCGTTGGCGCCCACGGCCAGCGTCACGCACTGCACGAACAGGTCCTCGGGTACGGGCGGCATGGACACAAACTCGGCGGAGTGGCGCATGCGCCGGGCATTGCGATCGGGACGGAAGATGGAGATGGATCCGTCCGCGTGTCGAAAGGCCTTCAGACCCTCGTAGGCCTGCTGGCCGTAGTTCAGGGCCGGGGCCATTCCGTGGATAGGAAGATGAGGAGATCGGACGAACTTGGGAGCGGTCCATTGGTTGCCGTTGCTACGGGAGAAGTGGCATTCGACATGTCCGTTCACTCGAACGCAACCGACGTCAGCCAGTTCCGTTATAGATAAGACGATGGATTGAGTCTTGACTTACCTTCCCGGACCTTGAAACCCACGTTGGACCAGTCGATCGCATTGGTGGGGGCCGGAGGGAAGTCGTGAGATGCCATTGAGAAGAAGTTCGATAGAATGAGACGATAAGTGGAATGGAGGGAGGTAATTGAAAGCGAAAGGGATGCGGTTGTAGATTATGAAGAAAGTGCCGGAGTGTAGAAACGATGATGGATCATTTTCCCGTGGGGGGCATGACGCACGGGATGCGCTTAAGCCGAATGGAGTGAGTCACCGATTGGACTTCCCCCGCCGTCTCTTGGCGTTTCGCATCTACTTACAACATTTCATCACCAGCGCCATATAATATCAGGTAGACAAGATGGTGTGGTATCAGGCTGATGGATGAGCCCAGTGTGCTGGAAGGTACCGATGCATTGCCCTATCGGTTCGAATGCGTTATACCAGCTAATGACGGGGGTTTACGAGGTCGGCCTTGATCATTGTTGACGAACATGATCGAAGCCATCGAGGAAACTTTCGCTGGAAGACAGAATCAGACATGTTCTTTCGTGTTTGGAGCGGGAGTTTGTGCGATCTCGAGACGCCCAGCAGAGTCAGCCCGACATCGAGATCGAGATATAGATATATGGATCCGCCTGGGTTTCTTTGTTTGATCCCCCTCTCCTTTAGGGGCTCGGCTTTCGAACCGGTGACTTGGGTGCACCATCCAGGCCATAGAGTGCCATGCGCGCGGTCTAGAAGGAACTATCGCCAAAAGGATGCGACCGAAGTGCTGCCCGGCCTAGACTTCATGGTGGATGGTATTATCTGTGACTAGTATCTACTCCATAATAGACGCTTTTGAGGCTGAATGTCGATCAAAGATGAGTGACGATACTGCACTGGAGATCGTGCGCATCATCCTGATTCCTGAATGATTCTCCCAGTCGCCATCTCCACCCGCGATCGGGTGTTGACGTCACGCATCGACGTCGATCCCGATCGATGCAACCAGGAATGTTACTGCATAAACTCCCCACTTCGCTCCAAGTGCCTTAATCTAGGCCCTTATATCAATAGTAAAGGCCCTTCACCCCCTTCGGCATGTTTACACGCCCCCGGTCCTTCCAGCAGCTGATTATTCTAGATCGACGGGTTCTCTGCCCACTCTCTCGTCGCACGCTCAGCATCATGCCTCCCCAGAAACGCAAAGCCACGAATAATTCCACGAGCACCGGAGATGCCAATGACCCATCCCCGGCCGCGAAACGCGGCAAGCCGGATCTGACGCGTCCCCATCCTCATGCTCGACAGACAGAAGACTTTGGCATCGTGCTGCGCGACTTCTATCCGCCCGAGATGAACAACGAACGCTGTGCCGCCTACAATAATGGCACAATAGAACGCCCGATTGAAACGTTGCAAAAGGCCTACGAGGAGACGCAGGAGGAGCGGCAAGCGATTCAGCCTGGTAGGGCTGTTGTACACCGGTTTAAATCAGATCTCCGATTGCATGACAACCGCGCGCTGCAGATGGCCTACCAGGTGGCACGCGACCATGACGTCCCGCTCCTGGCACTCTACATCTTCTCACCGGAGGATTTGACCGCGCATCTGGCCAGTCCAGCACGGGTGGATCTAACCATTCGCACACTGGGTCAACTCCAGCGAGATTTGGGTGAGCTGGACATCCCCCTCTATATCGAGACCTGCCAGAAACGCAGTGGGATACCCCAGCGTATCCTCGAATTATGCCAGGAATGGGGTTCTAACCACTTATTCGCCAATCTTGAGTACGAGGTAGATGAACTGCGCTGCGAGGCCACTTTGATCCGACTCGGGGCTCAGAGTGGCATCAAAGTCGAGGCGGCCCATGATAGCTGCGTCGTCACCCCCGGTCAGCTCGCAAGTCAACAGGGAAAACAGTACGCGGTGTACACGCCATGGTATCGCTCATGGGTCGCCTTCTTGAAGAACAACCCCGAGTACCTAGAGGTGGTCGACGAGCCCGGCGCCAATCCGGGAGATGCCCGCAAGCATTTCAAATCGTTGTTTGACTGCCAGTTGCCTCCTGCACCGGATAACAAACAACTCTCTGACGACGAGCGAAAGCATCTGCGCCAACTATATCCAGAAGGCGAGCACGAGGCGCTACGCCGGTTGGAAGCGTTCCTCGATGAGAAAGTCCGTCAATATGACGATGGCCGAAACATCCCGGCGCAGCAAAATACGTCCGTCCTCAGCCCGTACTTCGCGTCCGGATCGCTCAGCGCTCGAACTGCGGTTGCGAAAGCGCGCCAATCCAACAAAAATCAACTGGATCGCAATGATCCCGGAACAATGGTCTGGATCAGCGAAGTGGCGTGGCGTGACTTTTATAAGCATGTCCTTGTCCATTGGCCATTCATCTGGTTCGTCTTCTTCTCCCTTCCCCATAAACCACCTTGTCTTTCTCCTAACCGATTGTGTTAGTATGAACAAATGCTTCAAGCCCGAATTCACCAATATCGAGTGGGAGTACGATGCTGACCAGTTCGAGGCGTGGTGCCAAGGGAAGACCGGCTTCCCCATCGTTGACGCAGCTATGCGGCAGCTGAAACATGACGCTTGGATGCACAACCGACCGCGCATGGTGGTCTCCTCGTTTCTTTCCAAAGATCTGATGATTGACTGGCGACGCGGCGAGCGGTACTTCATGGAGAATCTAATCGACGGTGATTTTGCCTCTAACCACGGCGGCTGGGGATTCGGATCCAGCACGGGAGTCGACCCGCAGCCGTACTTCCGTATCTTCAACCCGTTGCGCCAAAGCGAACGATTTGACCCGGATGGTGCTTATATTCGTCAATGGGTCCCGGAGCTGCGCGACGTCGAAGGCGCCGCCATCCATGAGCCTTATAATCGGGGTGCAGGCAAGATTGCGCAACAAAACAACTATCCGCGGCCCATTGTCGATCATGCCACGAGCCGGGATCGAGCGTTGGAACGGTACAAAAAGGCCATTCAGGGGTAGAAAGGCATTTTAAGCACTCTCGATCGAGTTGGCATTGAAGGCATTCGGGAGGTTGAACACAAAACTGGTGGCAAGACGGTGTTTTTATAGATAGGGGGGCTCTTCAGGACCTCGTGCCCTTAATAATGACCATGGGTTGCAGTAAAGAAAAAGTACCGTGGCACATCGTCATCCTCTAGTCCGTAACTAGTGGCGATCGAACTCCGTGCCTGCATGATCGACCAGGATGCTACTTTGGGGAGGGGACCGTAGGCCGTTGCAGCATCATTCCGATGAAGATGCTCCCGGTGCCATTCTCCAGGGATAATCGAGTCTGTTCAAGTCGTTGAATGGGTGTACCATGGGTGTCCACCGTACAGTTCTTTGCCTCGCAATCGCATGACTAATTTTAGCGTGCGGAGAAAGTTTGGCGGCTTTTCCCCGCGATTCCTTCCTTCCCTTCTTTCTCTGCTCTCCTTCCTTCATTTCTCTCTCGCGCGCCCTCGATCTCTCGCACATTTCGCCCTTCTTCATCCATCTCGTCAGCTTCATTCGTTGATCCCACGCGGCGCTTCTCGGTAGGCCCTTCATTTTTCTACCATACTTCTGCCCCCTCGGCAATGCTAGTGCTGACTGACTTCCGTGATCCGTCCTAGTCAACTACCTTTCTCGATACTCTGCAAGCCCTTCCCCCTTCGTCATACACACCTTCATACCTTTGCTGAAACCACCAATGTTGACGTGAAATGGATTCAGCCCAGTCGGCGGAGGTACCGTCAGGCAGTGCCCCGGGGACCTCCGACGACCCGCCCAACGGGCCTGCCAAACGTCGGTGGAGGCGCAACCGCATTGCCTGTGACTCTTGCCATGCCCGTCGCGTGCGATGCGACCGCGCTTTCCCCTGTTCCCGCTGCCTGCGGAGTGAGATTCACTGCGAGTTTACCCGGGAACGTCGCAAGCGAGGCCGCATCGCTCGCGCACGTCAAACTGATCCTGCCGATGCCATTGACAAGCCCTCCGCTAAGCCTCCAACCCGTCCCGAAGGAGCCCCCGAACTTGCTGCTACGACGCCCCTGCCCAACGCTTCCCCACCCTCCAGTCTTCAACATCGATCGCCGGTAACCAATGACCTCACCGCTTCCGCCGCCAGTGTCGATGAACGCCGATCACAAGCCGATACTTCTGTGCCACCCCGGCGGTCCGGGCCTAGTCTTGGAGCCAACGCAACGGAGGAGTGGCTGTCCGCCGCACATGTATCGCCTAGCTCATATGACATCCTGGGAGGCGCTGGGGTGCACGAGGGCCCATTCCCGCGCATGTTCGATTTATGGAATGGCGTCGACCTGACGGATCACAACGGAAATACTCCTCAAGGTGGGAAAGCCACGGGCCTGCCTCCAACTCCAGGCGTGTCGTCAACCGCACTGAAGTATCCCGCATTGGAACCCCTAATGCCTTTCCTCGATGCGAACCTGCCCCGGCGGCTAGTGTTTGATTTGTTGGAGTTGTATTTCACCAGCGCTTTTTCCACCCACATGCATCCTGTATGCCACCACATTCATTGCTACGTCCTGCGCAAAGCATCCTTTCTGTGTCGAGATTATCCCCGTCCCAGCAGCCCCGCTCTGTTGGCGAGCATGCTATGGGTCGCTGCGTTGGACGACCGGGCCTTTGCACTGCCCATCTCCCCGCCCCAGCGAAAGAAGATCTGCCAATTCCTTTGCGCCCTTACCATTCGGTTGCTGCGACCGTTGATACATGTATCATTCAAGGAGCAGGGAGGCTCTCCGGCCAATGATCCCACGTATGCTCCGGTGGGTCAGGAATGCCCTCCTACCACTGTCCATCATCCCTTCGAAGGAGGAGGGGACGATCGAGGCTTAGTCGGACCTGCGGGCTCTCTAGACGATGTGATCACTTACATTCATGTGGCATCGATAATCTCGTCTAGCGAACAAAAGGCGGCCAGTATGCGATGGTTGGTTTGGACTATCCCATCAATTTCCAGGTACATCGCTGACCAGCTTACACAGGTGGCATGCGGCATTTACTCTGGCAAGAGAGCTGAAATTGAACCAGGAGATCGAAGTGATGCCGCACGTCGATGGCCAGACAGATGGTTCCAGCCCATCGTTTGATTACTCGTTACCCGGATGGAACGGCGTGGACACGGGCCCCTTGTTCGATTACTCTAACCCAGCCCGACCGAGTCTTAATTGCGTTTGCGACCGTGGTCATGATGCGCAAGGCACAATCACCGAGGAACATCGTGAAGAACGGCGGAGGACGTGGTGGCTGCTGTACATTATGGACCGGCATCTTGCCCTGTGCTACAACCGGCCCCTGGCCCTGTTGGATGCCGAAAGCGAGGATCTCCTACTACCGCTAGATGAAAGCTCGTGGCAAGCCGGAAACCTACACAGTAACAGTCCTAAGCCTGACGGGCCTCAGTGTCTGCTCTCCGGGGATAAGAACAAACGACGAGTGTTCCCCAACTTCATTTGCCATGACCACTCGATCTTTGGCTTTTTCTTACCCCTGATGACGATCACGGGCGAATTGATTGACTTGAATCAGACGCGCAATCACCCCATGCTCGGCGTGCGCCTTCTGGGGAAGGATGTTTGGGAGGTGCAGGTAAGCGAGGTCCTGCGTCAACTGGAAATCTACAAGGCCAGCCTCACGACCTTCGCGGCCACCACCACCTCGGAGCCCGAGGCGTCGCTATCCTCGACCTTTCCTCCATCTAAACCTGATCCACCGCCTGCCACCGAACCCAGCCTTTCTCAGGCGTACTCCTGGCACACGCAGACAGTCGTCTCCTATGCATCTTATCTAGTACACGTCCTCCATATTCTCCTGGTGGGCAAATGGGACCCGGTCTCCCTCATTGAAGATAAAGACTTCTGGACATCCTCCCCGGCTTTTGCCTCTACCATCTCCCACGCCCTCGATGCGGCGGACTCCGTTGATCAGATCCTCCGTTTCGATCCGGACATCAGTTTTATGCCGTACTTTTTCGGCATTCAGCTACTGCAGGGAAGCTTCCTTCTTCTGCTGATCGTCGAACGGCTACAGAAAGAAGCCGGCGAAGGCATACTCAACGCGTGCGAGGTAATGATTCGTGCCACCGAATCTTGCGTTGTTACCCTTAATACCGAATACCAGCGCAACTTTCGTCAGGTCATGCGGAGTGCCGTCGCCCAGGCGCGGGGGCGTCCTGTGAATCATAGTGAGATTCGCCACCGACGTAAAGCCGTCTTGGCTCTCTATCGATGGACACGCAAAGGCACCGGGCTGGCATTATAAGAGTGTCCATTCCTCTTTTGACCGGCGAACATAACATCTCCTCTTGCTTCGCTGTGCTTTCACTCTCTACCCTCTGTTTCTCGGAATCACTACTTTACTTCTACGGACATACTACAGGGACTGCCGAAGTGCTCTTTGGCTGCTGACCTGGTAAATATTTGATGTGCCCACGGTGGGCTACGAAATGGATGATATGTATATAATTATCTGTACAATGTGACTGTGTGTGGTTAGACTTGGACTTCACACCATGGCCCCTGATTTGGATCTTGTTATTAGCTCATTGGCTTGTTTAGTCTGCGCATTCTCCAGGGATCGCTACCGTCTGCAGTTTCCAACGCAGGGACTAACCCCAGTAAGCACACATGCTTTCCCCTCGGCGGCAAATCATGCACCGATTCGGCTGGGGCTAGTCGTTACCTTCAGGGGAATTGTTGTAGACACATGGGAAAGCTGCATACGTATGTACAAAGAAGGGATCGTCTGTCGGGGAAAACTGCTCATTAGTGCCGGTTTGCCCCCGTATACTTCGGATATTTAGATCTCTAGCTAGTAATAGCAGCTAAAAGGCAAAAGGTCAGTCTACCTCGTGATAAAGTTTGGCTCCACCTCACGCACTGATGAGGTGCTAGCTTGGTCAGCTCTTGCTCCGTGCTGCTCTTTCGACCGACCACTGTTGTACGGAGTCGAGAGGTGCCCGTTGGTGAGATCGGCGACGGTGAACCCATCCCATCTCTTTCTGAGACTGTCTTGAACTCAGAACCGATCGGTGGGATCTCTTCTCGATACCGTGCAATTCCACCCGGCAATGGGAATATATTGTCAATTACTGGCCCGAAGAAGCCAGCGGGCCCGACCAGAAGTGTGTGACCAACCCCAGCCTGCATGGAATCAGAGCGGAGTGGCAAACCAAGGACGGTATAGCAATCTTCCCCAGATAAATTGATTCAACCGGGGTAGTCAAACGGTTCGTCAATCGGCAGGAAGACGGTGAATTACCCCAGACCGTCGACACGGCCGGGCCGAGACCGGTTGACGAGTCGGTTAATTTGACCAACCGAGCGGAGATTTTCAGGGGAATCTGGGGAAACGAGGCACGCTCGGTTAAATCGCTGCAGCTCCTCCTCTCCACATGCCTATCATACGGTCAGCTATTGAGAGATTTCTGTCCAGAAAGTGCATGGCTTCCATTTTGCCGATGGGTCCAGGCGTCGCGACGATGTCGGTTCTTTTGCCTCCTGCCATGCGTTGAGTACATGTGCGAAGCAAGTCACTTGCCTGTTTCAGGATTCGGCGGAGAATCGAAAAGAGATAAATGTGTTCGATTCCCCGGACTTTTTTTGCCCCATGGTTGCTTGATCCCTATCCTCAGATCTGTATCGCTGTGATTCTTCGATTCTCGACGGTGAGACAGGAGTGAGTCGCCATATCTTTGAGAACAAGTACTCCGCCCCAAGACCTTCTATTGATAATTGAGGTCGCCTTGACTGCATTTCCGTCCGGGATCCGAGCCGAGTACTATCATCCCGAAGTGTCATGACCGCTGTCTGGTGATTCCCAGCTCTCTGTTCGTTGAAATCGCATTGCTGTGCCAACTGAAGGTTCATCTGCTCCAACATGGCCGATAGCACTCTTCCATTTGATTTCCCTACGTGGTCGTTGGATGCGCTGGACGCTCCGCACGCCCTCAGCCTGGAGACTGGCTTCATGAACGAGGACGAGCTGCAGCGATATCAACTTTCCATGCCTGGATACGACGAAATAGCGGCGCAGCACTTCTTGGGCAATGGCCCGGGGCCAGCAAAAGTGGAGCAGCAGATGTCGGCAAAGACGGACAATTTCTACGACCCGCTGACCAACTACGCGCCGACGGACGCGGATAAATTTCCTATGTACGTCTTAGTTGGTACTCATCATTCATGTGGCACAACGGACTGAACTGACCAAGGCATTTTAGATTCCCGCAGTTTTACCACTTGTCCAAGGATCCCCTCTCGCTCGATGACTTGTTGCGATCCACCTCGCAGGTGGCCACCGAACGAGCCCTCTACATGAACAACGCAACGCTACCGCAGCATCCCATGCCCGTTTCGCCTTCGTCTCTCTTGGATTCCGGCGCTTCGCCCGACACTAGTCATGGATCGTATAGTGCAAGCGACGATGGTTGGGAATGTCATGCACAGATGATGGACCTCCCCGAAGTATTTGTGCCAGCCGGCGCAAGTGACGAGGACGAAGGCCTGACTCCGCTGGAAATGCCCGACGGCAGCACACGCTTTACGGCTAATTGGCTGCCGGTGGATCCGCAAGGTGGATTCACCATCGGCTCGCCCGAAAAGCCTCGTTCGGCCGCCAGTGCGGGCAATCTCTTCGACCTCGAGTTCATGAACTACCGCAAGGAGGCCTTCATCACTACCGATGCTGGCGTGTGATCGTGCCATCACTGCGACTCAGCAATTCAAACTCAACACAAAAGGGGCCGTCCATAGGCTTTGCTCGGCGGCATTCGCCACCCAAGACTGCGAGACTGGTCACTGACACACCCCTTCACCTTAGTTAAGGAACCGTTGGTGACGGCATGACGTTGGTCTGTGTCGACGATATAACCGACCTTACTAAATGATATCGAACCCACGCCTCATCGGGGCGCAACTGCGATAATGGTCGATTTGACACATACGACCGCGCCAAGGGAAGATTAGCGCTGCTGAGCAGGCGGACCGTCCGTACTCCGTAAGCAGCGAGTCTGATCATTTCTTCAGTCCGTATATAGTGCAAGATTGCCAATCCTGTGATCATCTAAGAGATTTCACTGGACTATTCATGAGTGTCTGGATCTTTTCCAAAATATAAAAGCAATACATAATGAAGGGGCTCGTCCTGTTCACCATCCCAAAGTATCCAAAAGTCCTGTATGCGAAAGACGCCTGCATCCGATTTATCACGCCCAAATCCAACACCAATACCAAGATCGCTAGATATAAAAGACACAAAGCCCAAAAAATGATAACGTGGAATTATAACAAGGGGGGAAAAAGGTAATAGAGGTCAGACCAAAGTCAGGAGCACGCCATCATTTGTGCTCGGGCTTGACGGCAGAAGAGGTGCACTGGTTCGAGAATACTGGGAATTCCAGCTTCTTGCCGATGAATTGGAAGACCTCGACTAGAAATTCCTTCTCGACCATGCCATCTGCAAACGCATCCAGTGCCGTCCGTAACACAAACATGATACGCGACACAAGACAGCCCGGGATATTCTGGATGTAAAACTTCATGCTGCGACAGATATTGCAGGCAAATTGGTATCGTTCCTGTAGCCCCATCACGCTGACTAGACCGCTGTCTGTGGCAGAGATGATCAAGCAAAACGCCCAGTAGAAGCACATGGAAGTAGCAAGTAATATATCGGGGTATTGTAGGATTTTGGCCGTCGTGGTATGCATCGTGCTGGGGTTGCGGCACCTAAATACTGGGAAACCGTCCGCAGTCTCATTATCTAGTTCCTCGCTAGGTGGTCCAAGTGGATATGTGTCCGCACACATCGTCTTCCACGTATTTAAACGAGTCTGGAGCTCGCCAGCCTGTTCCCATATGGAAGACTGCATCGCCACCAGCTGACTCGGGGCCGTTGTTCCTTCTTGTAACAGGGCCATGAACTCGTCAATTCGATGGAGATATCCCGGGATATCGACAGCTATATCTAAGAGCTGATGTAGGATATCCTTTGGCGCGGCATCACCCGGCCAGGGGACGCTCAGCCATTCTTTGGATGCCATGAAAGTTGGCTTTCGATGCACCAGGGCGGCAGTAACCTAATAGCATGAGCAACTGTCCTGGTTATCAACATCGCCCGAAATATCCACCTACCCAGTAGAGTCGCAGATCGACGAAGAGTGACCGTTCGATTCCATAGCGGTGCCGATAGGGAGTTCGCGTGCGGAGAAGCTCGAGGCCTCCAAGCTGGTGTCTGAATATTGAATCACTGGAGCTTTGTTTAAAAGCCTAGCTAATGATGAGCATGATCACTGTCAAAGACTGCCGGTCAACAGACCTCAACGATGGTAGCGAGCAGGATAGCCACCAATACTTCGGTAGAGATGCTCTGTTTTGGATCATATAAGGCATTCTGCAACTGGCGCAGTACCCGAACATACCGCGAGTGCCCGGCAACCTCGACTGATAGATTTCGATCCGTGCGCCCGGCAAAGGTGAGCGACGCCGCTTCAAACGCGTTGCATATAATGGGCGATAACATTCGCGTTTCCGAGGCCTCTCGCAACGCAATAGTCCCACCATACTTCGTGTGATCCTTGGGGCTAAAATTACTGATCAAGCGTTCGACGAAGAGCTCCATCACCGCGTTGGCTAGAGCTGGATCTGTCAGAAGGTGCTTGGGGTGCGTTAAAGACGAGGCCGTAGCAGATGCTAGAGTGTGGTCAACAATCGTAGAACTGAAACTCCAACTTTGTTCACAGCGACGGCATATGGAGCTGTGGAATGGGCCGGGAAGACAAAGAGCGAAAGGATGTTCGCGTACAGGCTGATTGCGACCCAGAATCACCATCTTTGTCTAAGACTTGAGTCTCCGAACAGTGATCTGGGGGACTTTCCGCCAGGTCCGGCGCATCCGCGTCCTCGAATTCCTCGTCATCCCCGTCGGATCGGATACTATGTATGCTGCTGCTACTCTCTTCGTGCTTTATTGGGGGTAGATTCGCAAGGCGGCGGGCTTCATCCAGCTGGCGCCGAAGGCTGTCACAGGTTCGCGTGAGGTTTTCGATGAGTGTGGATTGTTGAATGTAATGTCGGTCTTTCTTGCTAGTGCCATATTCGCATTCCGACGGAGTGCCTCGAAGACAGCATGCCCCGCATGGCTTTACTCTGTCGCACTGTGGTGGGGTGAGATGGATTAGTCACAGGCAAAATGCGGTTGGGCGTAAGGGCGACGCCATCGCAGGAGGAAAAGGATGCAACGAAACTCTCATTCTCGCCCAATATGCTGCTTATGGGCTCAGGCGGGCGGGCAGATTGACGAACCTTGACTTTGCGTTTATGACAATTCAAGCACGAATATGTGGGTCGGATCTTCTTTCGCGCCCCGGACTTGGCTGCGACCGTGAAGTTCGAGGAGTCGTTTTGCGGTCGGCCATCCCCGTGATAATTGCCCATGGCTGCAACAATGCCGAGGTGGAACAAGAGAAAGGGGAGGGGGGAGAGACGGAGCTCGTGGTATCGAAAGACCGATAGTCAATAATGACAGACGGGAGCTTTGGGGAGGGGAAAAAGATGAGCAACAAAGTCTATTGTGAACCTGCGCAGTATGGACTATGGACGGCCAGTTGGTCACTAAAGAAATTGGAGTGCACCGGATTGGGGTTTCGGTCACACACTAGGCACAGTAGGGGCCATTTATGCACGGTTAGTGGGGGACGTCCAGGCTGATTATTGGAGAACCCATGAGAACAATGACGACTCGATCCTACCCGTTGCTTGAACGCTTCCCTCGACGTGATCCGATCCCACGGTTCATCTGAACCCTATGCAAGTTATGTTGCTGACCGTGTCTTTCAGAGACCCGAGCCTGCCGTGGTACTGCACAATGCACATCCTCTTTGCAGGGAAGGGGATGGGGGACCGATCGATGTCGCCGCACCACCGGCGACACTTGAGGCTGGTGACATGTCATAAATATTGATGGATTCGTCTCCGCACACTTAGTCCAATTGCGCCAGGGGTTGTCCGTTCCTCCTCCCACTGCCCATTCTCTTTGCGTTCTGTAACTAGTTAGCGATATAATCTGCCTTCGAATGAATGGCATATGCCCCTGGGTGCCGGAGTTCTGCTGAAGTTCATGTCGAGATGAAATCTAGCTCCCAATTTGTGCAACCTATTTCTTTCCAAACCATCTCCAGGGGGTGGAAAAACGGAGAAAGGCGCTGTAACTGAAACATCTGAGGAGCCTGCAGTGATCGGCGAGTTAGTTTCCCGCATCATCTCGAGATCGTCGTGGCAGTGCTGAATGTGGAAAGCGCTTGGGAACTCCATACCTTCCTTTGAATCCACCTGTACAAAGGTACGATATGGCTCTTCATTAATTCCATAGAAGGTGAACGCACTAAGTGGAATGTGTGACGATGCAGACTGTCCTATGCTGTCCATGCCTCCCTCTGCTGTATGAGTCCTAATTGAGCCAGAAAACCACCCTCCTTGCATGTGCGACATCGGGACAGGAAGAGGAGCCTCCCTTGGATCCAATGCAGCTGTCGTCTAGGTAGATAGGTGCCACAATAGCAGTGCGCGCTGCTGACAGATGGGGGTTCGCCAACATCCATGGACTACCAAATTGGGCGAGAGACGGAACAAAGAATGAGCCCAGACTTTCATTGAGGGGAACAGTACGTACCATATAAGATATCAAAATTCGGATTGGAATTGATTCAGGTTCCGCGAGGGGAAGGAGGCGGACGTCGTCCGGCAAGTCACGGGCAGGTCACCTGGTCGGCTGCCGGTCCTTGCGCTGGAGTTTCTTGGATATCTACTCCGCGACTGGGAAAACGAATTCCGTGGAATGTAAGGCGCCAAGCAATGCCAGGAGTGTTCTTTCCTTCGTTCTCATAGAGAGTCTCATGCCAAATCTAACAGCATTAGTTATGGCTGGCTCTCCAAAATTCTCAACTATCGCATGCAGGCCATGTTGGAGATGTGGAATTCACTGGGAAAACATATTTGATTGCTAGCGCTACATTGTAACCGGACGATATTTCTGGTTGTATACGTAGTTGGTGTAAGACTATGAGACTGTGTGGGTTCTAGCAGGAACATGTCGCGCGAACGACAATGCATTGGTTTATATAATTGTAGGCACTGGCGTAGGCCAGACAATAGAGTACATAGAAGAGCGCATCCTGTAATCGGGTTCAAGACCAGTGACTGGAGCGAGAGGAATCAGGTCTCCAACCTTAGAAACCAAAGGCACCAAAGAAGGGGAACTTGCCCTTGGGCTGAGGCTCGCCAGAGGGAGAAGCCGAGGGCTGGCCAGCTGGGAAGCCAGAAGGGGTGCCCGTGGGGATCGGAACTGGCACGGTGATGGTCTTCCAGCCCCAGGAAACGTTGCTAGGGGTAGGGAACGGGGTACCCCAGGGACCGGCGGGAGCGAAGCGCTTGGCGATGGACGAAGAGGAGGGAGCAGCAGAGCTGGACGGGACAGCACCAGATGTGGCAGCGGCAGAGCCACCGACAGTGGCCGTCGCACTGGCGGAGCTGCCCAGCTTGCCGATACCCGCATGTGCCAGAACATACGAGGAAACCTTGCTGGCGGGCTTAACGGTAACATTGCCCTCGTTGCTGGGCCAGCCGGAGAGGACGGATTCGTCACTGGCGGAGAGCTTGCCTGAGTCGGTCAGGACGTTGGGGACGCAGGCACGGCCAAGTTTAGAAGTGCAGGTGGAGGCGTCGCTCGAGCTGGCAGCGAACGTGGAGCCCGGGTTGCTGTCGTCTTCCATGGGGGTTTTGACGCTTTCGAAGACATTACCCTCGATCAGAGCGTTAGTGTTCTCGCCGACGTCGAAGGCATGGCCGGAGTTCTTGGACCAGTAGTTGTTGTAGGCGTGCCAGTGGCTGTTAAACTCGAGCTTGGGAGAACGGCCAGAAGTATGGTGGATGTAGTTGTTGGCGAAGGTGATCTGGTCGCCCTTGCCGTATCCGAGCCTGATGGAAGTTGTTAACCGGAGGGGACATCTTGCTGAAACGCAGGGAGTTGTAGGCTATATACATACACGCTCCAGTAATGGTGGCCATCGCAAGAGGCAGACCAGCTAGTGCGTCCGTCAAATTCGCTGTTAGAGATGGTCACGCTACCGCCTATCGAAATGGTCAATATCTTTCGTCGAAGAGACGCCGACCTAAATGGATCAGGAGTGAAAGTTACTAACTCGACTTGTATCCAGACACAAACATCTGGCGACCAACTAGGTTGACCTTGACATGGTCAATCCAGATGTTGTTGGTGCCATCCAGAGTAATAGCATCGCCGCCCCAGATGTACTGAGGGTTGAGCTCGGTGATATGGAGGTTTTGGATGATGACGTTGTTTACGCCGCTAGTGAGACGCAATCCCTTGCCACGGAGCACACCCGCGCTACCGACACCGACGATGGACTTGTGGGAGGCGACCTCCAGACCCTCCAGGCCGGCGTTGTCGTAGGTGCACTTGGTGGTAGGGTAGTCACCACACCAGTCGGACCCGTCAGTCTTGATGGCGTTCTGGCCGGAGCTGCCGCAGCTGTTGGAGTCGGGGATGCAGCACTGGCAGTCGGTGCAGGTATCTTCGCTGCCAATGAAGTTGAATTCTTTGTCGATCAGAATCACCCGAGGGGTGTCATCGGAGAGCCAGGACTTCAGTTCAGCCAAATCGCTGGGGGCGGCGGCGGCAGCGTTACCACCACCGGTGGTACCACTGGCAAAACCGAAGGGGGTTCCGACAACTCCCTTGGCCTGGGCAGAAACACCCAGCAAGGCAGTTGCTGCCAACAAGGAACGAAGAAGGGCCATTCTGGAAAGCCTTCCTAGTATGTTCGAAGGAGTGAAAGTGACAAAACGAAGGAATGTGAACAGGTAAGATCAACTGAACCAGCAGTCAACGAAAGGAACGTGAGAGCACAGACAAAAACGAAGGAAAGTGGGTGAGAGAATGATGAGAATGGCGATTGCGAGCAGTGTAGTCGTTCCTGGCCACCAGGCCACTTATATATGATATGATCGTGCAGTGAGTACCCCGTACTCCGTGGCTCCAGGGAACAATATCAAATCCTTTACTCCGTAGTTAAGCACCGCGTCATCAAGCTCTCCCGCGCGGAGCAATGTCAGAGATTGATAACCATCTCGCATGGTGAAACGAAGGGGTGGATGCTTGGCAGACTCGATTCGGACGTCTTCTACGAAGCGCAGTTCTTCCGTGTCGATCAATTGTTCGAAAGCCCTTTCCCTGGCGGCTCACAAAACCAGGCTGGCCCGTGGTCGAAGGGTGGCAGGATGAGACAACTGGACCGGGTTGGGACGTTGTTGACGGAGAAAACGCAGTGATCGTCAGGGTGCGGTGACCCGTGGGATCCACGCCCGATCCACCACCAGACATTAATCTCTTTCCCAAGACTGATGCCGTCCGTGAACCTTGCACGGTCAAGTCTGATTTGATTCATGCAAATCTCCGCATACCATATCACAAAGTGAAAGCAGACACCAGCAGCTAGGGAAAATGATTGCCACATACCGGTTGACTGTCGGGGCAATCAATCCATCACCGTGCCGGGACCACTGGACACGGGTCGCTATATTAAACCGCATAATTGTCGGACGCGTTTTAATTTCACTTTGTAGACCGCTCCCGTTTTCGAGAAGGCTCCATGATTTTGTGTCCATTGAAACGTCAGCGATCGACATGGCAGTCCAGCAAACGTTGGGCCTCATGGTCGAGGGTTCCTTTACGGAATATATCATCCTCCTCATCAGACCATCGACCTGGCAATAATGAAAACTTTCCGCGCCTCTCACCGTGAAGATCAACATTGCATAATTTAGTTGTAACATCGAGGTATCCAAGAGATGAATGCCTGTCTATCGGCATAACATCCCCGTGGCAGTCAAAGAAGATGACAAGGGGAAGACGACATACGATCCGGCGATCCCAGGCTCAACAAGTTGGAAACCTTGTCCTAATCCCTTGCAAGAAAAATTGCTGAGATGGCGATACCAATCTTCTTTTTTTTTTCTCCGGCAAGACCTGACGTCTCCGCGAATTGGTCTGGTTAATATCTAATTCTGTCATTGTGCTTTCCATGTGAGTTCACGACCTCCCCTACGTTGATATTCGGGCGCTTTTTCCCTTACCAGATCTCATTTCTTGAGATTGCATTTGGCGGTTGTGAATGCACATTTCTCCAGCAGATTTCACTAGACTCAACTCACTAGGAACTTCGGTCAGCCCGAAGACTCGTCCAGTATGACTACAAGGCTACCGATGAAGGTTGGCCTATAGATCTGGAGCAATATGTCAGTTCTGGAAGCCGGTTGATCGGGATTCAGGTGCGTTGAGAGTGTCGTTTATTCCAACACGCCTAGTGTTCAAATTTATAGACGCCAAAACCTGGCGGCTGAACGAACTAACAATGGTCAGATCATCTCACTCAGTGAGTAGCAAGTGTGTCATATGCGCTCCTCTCAAGGCCTTTGTGGTTTAACGCTAACAGAACCTTTGTGCCGGTTTTCTCGATATATCTTTAGCTTTCTTCTGTTTCTTTTTTCTTCTTTTCTTTTTTCGGTAGGACGAGGGCCAGCACAAGATCGATCGTGCCTTTGACAACAATTAACCGACATCGAAATGGAAGACTCGGAATTTCTGAAGAACAGGGAGATGGTCTCCAACCCCCTCGGTCCGTTCAAAAAGAAGAGAGAACCGAAGAGAAGATAGAAAGAATGGGTCAAGGCCCCACTCCGATACCAGACTGGGTGGTAGCAGGCAACAGAAATCATGAGGAACCAATTGACTGCTGGATCCAGGGAAAATGGGGAACCGAGCGCCGTCAAGGTCCCCAAAAGTCAGCCCTACGATTGAGGCCCACGACAAAAAAGAAATGAACGACGGTATTGACCCGGAAGCTTATGCGAAGCTTGTCAAGCCATGTGGAGGCATGCTGTTTGTCACGTCACGTTTTCATGCGTCTCGGCTTCCAGTGAAAGCCATTTCAAATCAAACTTGCCTATAGCAGATTGAGAGAGTGGAGAAATTGAGGATACTTGGTAGCTAGGCGAGACGAAAGAATCCTTCCTGCGCTTGGCAGGTGCCCATGCATGCTCCGTAGTTCCCCGGTATTGAAATGAATGCTCTACAGAAGTAGATTTGATCTTTTCCACCCTCTCAAGGTCCTCGTTCTTTCGATATAAAATCACGAGTGCAAGTCAAGTACCCTTCGCCTATCTAAACAATCTTCTTGTCTCTCTTCTCAATCCGGCATCATGTCATCCTTCGATGCCTCTCACGTTGACCTGAACACGGCGAGTAAGGAAGATGTGCTCTGTTACCTCGCGCTGTCCAAGAATGAGTATAATGGTCACCTGGGCGCTCGCATCTCCTCTATATTTGTCATTTTTGTGACCTCGACGGCTTTAACACTCTTCCCCGTGGTCGCCAAGCGAGTTCCCCGTTGGAAGATCCCCTACCATGTCTATCTTTTCGCACGATATTTCGGTACTGGTGTTATTTTAGCGACCGCGTTTATTCATCTTCTCGATCCGGCCTACAAGCGCATTGGTCCTAAAACCTGCGTAGGTGTTTCAGGACATTGGGATGACTATTCTTGGTGTGCTGCCATAGTGTTGGCATCCGTGGTGATTATATTCCTACTGGACCTGGCCGCTGAGGTGTATGTGGAACGCAAATATGGCGTGCAACGCGAAGATGACGCGACCAACTCCTACTTAACGACAACCCACCGCTCCGACGCCGAGAAGGGGAATCCCAGGCCCGAAGAAGTCCATGACGAAGCGATTTCGGTGGCATCCGAACGATCTTTCCATCAGCAGTTCGCAGCTTTTCTGATCCTCGAGTTCGGCATCATTTTCCACTCGGTCATCATTGGATTGAACTTGGGAGTCACCGGCGACGAGTTTGCGACACTCTACCCAGTGCTCGTTTTTCATCAAGCGTTTGAGGGACTGGGCATTGGGGCACGCATGTCTGCCCTGCACTTTGGGGCGCGGCGGTGGTTGCCGTGGGCACTCTGCCTGGCCTACGGACTCACGACCCCGGTATCCATCGCAATCGGGCTGGGGGTACGTACCTCGTATAATCCGGGATCGAAGACTGCTTTGATCGTGCAGGGAGTGTTGAATGCGATCTCGGCTGGAATTTTGATTTATAGCAGCCTGGTGGAACTACTGGCGCGAGATTTCCTCTTCGACCCCGATCGTCCCAAGAGACGATCGCATCTGGTGATGATGGTGGGTTACACCCTCCTAGGTGCGGCCATCATGGCATTTATTGGCAAATGGGCGTGATGGCCTAGCGAAGGGTGGAGGGCGAGTACAAGTAGGAGAGTATCCTGGCCCCTAGACGGAGGGGCGGTAGGTATGTCCAGGCCTTCATATCGTCGTTTTAACCGTGCCATAAAAGGGTTGCTGAGAGTGTATGCCCGCATGTTTGTACAGTGTGTACGGTATGGTGGTCAATATGTCTGGGATAATATTGTAACATAGATGTCGAGATATAGCTAATTGCAACTCTGCTAGTCTTACTCTTCCGTCTGTTGTCTCTATTCATTGCTGATTAGTAGGAGTTACCAGACACCTCTCTTAAGTATAAAGAGGGAAGTTTCAACTTGCTCAATCATGTTCAGACGGCCCAATCATTTGCCAACGTGGTAGAACTTCAAGACATGGTGGCTGACTAGGGAATTTCATTCCGTCGGGGAAGCTCCGTTGCTGAAGGGCAAACGGAGGAGTATGAGATTCACGGACCGAGTAAAAGAAATGCCGTGGTTCCCCGTTCGAGGTAAGCGGGCCAAGCTAGAGAGGATTAGGCACTAGTGCAGCTCTAGCGTGGTGCATTTTAGTTGGGGCGGTTGAGCACTAAAACAGATATACATACATATTACATAGTTATCCTTTTGTGATTGCCTAAACCATGCACGTTCATGCACCTTCTGTGTCCCCTTTCCCTTCCCCTTCTCTCTCCTCTCTCTCTCCTATCTCTCTCCTCTTTTTCTCTCCCCCACCCCCCTTTCCATCTTCTTCTCTACTGCAGTCATCCTGCATAATGGCCCTATCATTTGTACTTTGCGGATTATCAACCTCATCTCCTTCCCTCAAACTTTAACTGGACTCGTACTTCACTCCTAACGCATTTTTACTGTCATCTCCCCGCAATCATGGGTAAACGTACCCCAGATGACTTAAGCCTCGGCCTCTCCCTCACCGATACTCTTGATACCCTCGAACAAACCTACAAAGAATCCAAGGTCATCGTGGTGGGTTGTCTCGTCTCTTGGGGCCTCTGTCGCCTCAACTTTGGCTTCGTGTGGTTGGTTCTACTGCTGGCTATCTGTCGTACCCAGTACCAGGTCTCCATCCGGCGAGTCGAGCGCACCATTAGGGACGAACTTCGTCGGTACCATGGGAGTAAAAGGCTCCAGCAGGGAGAAAGTGTCGAATGGATCAACGTGATCCTCGGACGCGTATGGCATCTCTACGAGCGTCGCATCTGTGATCAAATCGTACGATATGTCAACGCTGGCCTCGCTCGACCGGGCAGCGAGGCCCCAGCCCAGAAGGTGACTGTTCAATCGCTAGCATCGATGGATCAGCCCCTGCGATTCACCAAATTTGTCACCCACTCGAAGCCGGGGTCGCCCAACTTGATCCTCGAGTGCCAATTTCGAGTGGACCTGGCGCCTCCTTGGATCTGGGACCCCCGTCACCATCTCGCAGAGCGATCCCACGCTGAACCGCTCATCGACATGACCATCATTCACGACCGGCAGGATAATCGGCATCACGACCTCTCGGTACAAATAAAACAGTTTACGGGGATAGGAACGTTGCGACTGGAGATCGACTTTGAGAGCGCCGAGCCCCGAATCCACCCGCCGCAAATTGAACTTCAGGATCAGCCGCAGATCGAGTGTACGATGCGTGCGGTCAGTCAACATCATTTCCCCTTCCATTTCGCCCATCACATCGACTGGCGCAAGGTGGTGGGCTTGCAGATCCGTGAGGGGCTAGGATGGGCCTGGCATCGCCCTCTGCCCCTACCCTTCGTCCACCTCCTGGGGCAGCGTTTCTTGATTCGAATGATGACGTGGTGGTGGCACTTTCGTTGAGGTTAACAGGACTCGGGAAGAGACGATCGCTGCATCGCTTAACCCGACAGTCGATGCCGGATAAGACGAGGAGAATCCTCGTTGTGGCGAGGCTAGTTGGATCGCGGTGGATCCCGCCGCCCCGTAGGGCTGAGCTAGTACTCCGTACTAGTCTGGGAAAACTTGAAAAGTGAAAACAGTGTTGCCTAGTCCTAATCTCGAGGACCTTAGGGATTGGGCCTCGGAATTTCGGAACTTGGAACTTGAGGAGAAGTGCAGAACGCGCAGAGCTTTCTTTCTTTCCCGCAACAATACGAAGCAGGCCCCTTGCGTCATCGCCACCTCAGCTTTCGGACTATCATTCCCTCACACACCGACTCTCCATTAGCCTATGATGCCGAGACATTTGGCACGGATGCTTGAAAACTGTGCAGAGGTTGCAGTGTAGTAACTTGTCGATACTTGTGCTGAAACGTGTGCTTTTCTTTTTGCTTACGTCGTAGGGGCAGATACCAGGAAATAGTACTCAATAATCACACAGCTTGGCAGAGACTTCGCGATGAATGTTCAGAATATACATCTACTATACCGGGAAACCCGCCGTGCAACTACACACAACGACGACTTCTTGGCAGCTCCGTCTACATGGAGAGATTAGAGCCTGTTATTCGGAGTACTAGCTCTACCGGGTTATGACTAGATCGATATTCTCGGCGATGAACCCGGATCATCTTGCCTTCCAAGCGGCGAGGGGCCTTGATGCCTGACTGCCTGACTGCCTGACTAAGGGATGACATGTCAGTCACGTGGCAGGCGATGGGCAGGGGAATCTCGTCGCTGTCCTGGTCTGCCCCATCCTCCTTCATCCTCGTTGCTCTCTCGAAAGAGTTGTCAATTGCCATTCAACGAGTGGGACAAGTTGACCAATATATTAGATTTCTTTCAGGCGTATGGTCGTTATTTGTAGGCTGCACCCTGTCACCCACGGAAATGAGTGAATGGCCCTGGGATCTCACGTTCATTGCTCGGTACGAAGGACTAGCCCGCGAACTAAATGAACCACTAATCAAGATTAATGAAACTAATGAACCGTTCTCCTTAGATACTGTGTAGTCTCGCCGTCTCGCCGTCCCTTGAGCATCTGTCCGCCATTCATTCTCGCACATTTCCGGCCGTCTTTACAAAGTGCAGCGATAATCGCAATGAGAAACCCCGCCCACGGCTAAATGCAATGGGTGTCTGCCGACTGCCCCTGCCAGGGCATCCCCCTCCTTCAGGACGACCGACGGACATTCTCCTTTCTTTGCGCCGATCGCTGTAAATAAAACCGGGTCCATCCGCGATGAAGATTCTCTCCAGTTTATCATCATCTCGCTTGTGATCTTTACTTTTCTGCTTGAAAGCTTGCTCGCCCCTTCAACCTCTCGAAGAATTTAACTCAATAGACAATGCGTCTCTTTTACCTCGCCGGCATCCCCGGCACTCTAGCGGCCTCATCAGGGTTGTTCAACGTCCTCTCCTTCAACGTTGCCGGTCTCCCTCCCATCTTCAATAACAACGACGTCCCCGGCGACAAAGCGACGAATTCCGAAGCCATTGGTGCAAAATTCGCGGAGTACGGCTACGATATTATTCATGTGCAGGAGGATTTCAATTTCCATGCCCATGTCTACAAGACCGACAACCATGCCTACCGCACCTCAACCTCGGGAGGCGCTGGGCTTGGATCAGGTCTGAACACGTTGGCGAATTTCCCCTGGATTGACTTCGAGCGAATCAAATGGGATATTTGCTCCGATGCATCGGGCGCCGACTGTCTGACGCCAAAGGGATTTACGAGCATGCGCGTGCGCTTGGATGAGGGAGTCTACGTGGATTTCTACAACCTGCATGCGGATGCCGGGTGAGCAGTGCAGAATCCATTGATAACATAGTGATTTGTTCACTAAAGTTTGCAGATCAAATTCCGCCGACGTAAATGCCCGGAGCGCCAACTTGCAGCAGTTGGCCGACTACATAGGTACAAACTCGGCTGGGAATGCCGTGCTAGTTTTTGGTGATACAAATGCGCGGTACACATCATCAGGGGAGAATATTCGGGTGTTTGAGAAAGAGCAGAATATGACCAACCCGTGGGTACAACTGATCCTCAACGGAGAGGAGCCGAGTCAGGGCATCGATCCCTGGAAATGCGACAATCCTACTCCGAACAACACCTGCGAGACGGTTGATAAGATCTTGTAAGACTATTCGGGGAATATTGATGCTCAGAGACTGACAAAATCAAATAGTTACCGGGGCAGCAGGGCTCTAAGCTTAGACGCTACGTTTTGGAATTACGAGGATACCAAATTCCTTTCCAACAACGGTACAATTTTGTCCGACCATAACCCCATTACATCCAACTTCACGTGGACGCTCTCGGAGTCTTTGCGCCAAAGCGATCTCTTTGGTGGACCTCACGGGTAAAGTTATCCTGTGGAACTCACTTGAGAGTTTGAAGAACTAACAATCTTTGGTAGCTCATGGTTCAACGATATGTCTTCGTTACCCACCTCTGATACCCACAGCAAACCTACTAACATCTTACTGCGTGGTGCTAACCGTCTGGACGGCGTTACTTTGACCTTGGCTTCAGGACAGAACAGCACACACGGCGGCTCAGGCGGTGATTTGGTCGAGCTGAATCTGAACGAAGACGAATACTGGACCGAAACCACACTGTGCCAGGGCAAGCACAATAACCATACGCGTATATTCTACCTGCAGATGACGACCAGCGCTGGAAACGAGCTGGAAATTGGCACTCAGACGGAGGATTGTGAGGAATTTAAGGCACCCCAGGGCTGGCAGGTTGTAGGCTTTTATGGTCGCGATGGTGACGAAGTAGATCAGCTGGGGTTTATCTATGGATTGCAGTGATCCAATAGGCGCCAAATCGAACATCGGCCTACAATTTACCTGACGGTGTCAGATCACGGAAGCCGCATGCATTTTCTTCGGCTCACCGAAATCTTGTCAACATTCTCTCCATACACATCGTTCACAGAGATAACATAAATAATTGTTGACAAAGAAGAGTCTTAAATTATGGCATCACTCCTGAAATTGAATATATTCCGCGGCTGAAAGGAGCGCGAATTCGAGGCAAAACCGCCGGTTCGTAGATCGGACACATTGGCCGTTGAAAGTCTTATGAGACAGTCTTAATGCGAAACACGACGGGTCAGGAATGCGGAAGACGAAGAACTCGAATGACTGACCGTAAGATTAACGGAGCAGCTACCGAGCACGTTGAGGTCAAGGAGACCTGGCCGTGCCGAAAGGGGAAATGAAGATCGGAGATTCTTCGGCGACACTGGTATAGAGTTGTGAACGAGGTATTCATGCCAAATAGCTTCATTGAGACACGAAGATCCTTTCCCGTCTACCTACCGTGTGGATGATGCTGTGTTTCCTTTTGGTAACGATCGAGGCCTGCCGATAACAACCCTTCAACTATATAAAGCTCATCAAGGCCCGCGCAATGGGTGATCATTTCATAGGACTATCAGAGTCAACCGACTGTTCTTAACTAGTTACAATGAGGTCTTTGAATTTTCTATTCACCTTTCCCCTTGCTCTGGGTTCCATGATTCATCCTCGCCAGGATGACCGTGGTAGTTATACCGTCTCTGGTCTGGGATCACGAAAGCAAGCTGTCCTGGATGCTGGTGGAAACACCATGGATCTGGCTATTGCTATGCTGGAGACGTGAGTCTGACCTCTGCGCAGGAAATCAGTGGAGATTTGCTAATAACCATAGCGATAACATGACCACCGATTACACTTACGGTACATACTTGTGATTTTCCTGTCAAGATCTGCGGAGACCTAATGCTACACAGGCGATGGCAAAACCGGTGATTCCACGAACTTTGGAATTTTCAAGCAGAATTGGATGATGCTACGCACCTCTGCTTCTGAGTTCACCGGCCAGGGAGTGGCAGACGTGGATAATGGGGCGATCCTCAAGTAAGACTGTGCCGTGGTCTCCGACCCGGAGGATGACTGACGTGAGTAGTACCGAATTGGACAAGGATATTCTGGCCCGTCATGAAAGCGAGGATCATTACGGTTTCAATGTTTGGGTTGCTGGCCATAGAAATGGACAAAGTGGGCTGGATGACCCGAACACTGATGATATCGCGAGTAAGTATTTGCTTCGAAGCACCTGAACACACCGACTAACTTAAGTAGCCTACAAGACTGCCATTCAATGGATCCAGGAGCAGATTGAAAGCAAGGAGAGTTATTCAACCGACGATACACGTTTTTGGGTAGATGTCACGGCCATCTAATCGAGCTCCTACGGCTCGCCAGGGGGTGTGCAGTGTTGCCACCCGGCAAATCCTTTGATCTTTGATTTCATAACAGTATAGTTTGTTTTTGTATATTGAAGGGTCCCCTTCGGGAAGCCCCCAGGAACTAAATTGTATGTTTAGTTTAGTTGCATTGCAGAAATCAAACATACGTCCATTCGTTTAGCTGTGTTTATCTATAAATTCTGCATCACCCCGGGCCGGATGGCCTCAAGGATTTCGCGCAGTTCTTGCCAGATCTTTCTCTGCGCTGTGTGTCCGTCCTCGCCGCGCACGAAATCCGACAGCTCGTGTGATGCTGCCAAAGAATTAGACATATACTCGCCGTGCGTCTCTGAACCAGCTGTGACTCCAGCCACTAAAGTACGACTGCCAACCTCAGTAGACCGGGCCAGGAAAAACTTCATAATCGTCATGCTCATCCCCGCGTTGCGACTGAGTTGAGAATGACAGAGGCCCGGATTAACCATATTGACTATCACCGCGTCGTCGCTTAAATGGGTGATCAATTCTCGCAGTGCCAGAATTTCGAGTAGTTTCGAAGTGGGATACCGTTCATTCATGTCGATGGCCCGCTCATTGTCTAGGGCATCGAAAACGCGGTCCTGTTGCCGTTCTGGGAACGAGGTGAAGGCATGCGCCTCGCTGACGACTGCAGTCAAATGTGGTTTATGAAGGGGGAATTCGCGCGCTGTTTCGCGGAGCTTCGGGAGGAGTAGAAGAGCTAAGAGAACAGTGCTGATGACATTAACGGTAATACTGAGTTCGTGGCCCTCGGCAGCCTGATATTCGGTGGTTGCTACACCGGCATTCTCAATCACGGCATCAAGACGTGGTAGGGATTGAGCGCGATGTGCAAACTCGATAACTGAAGTATAGGAGGCCAGATTGAGCGGCCAAACTTCGCACGTTCCGGCTCGGCCTGTAGATTCCTCGATTGATTTACGGGCAGTCTCTCCGGCAGCGATATTCCGCACGGCGAGAATGATCTTGCGAGCTCCCAGACGGGAGATGTGACGCGCTGCTTCGAGGCCTAAACCGACATTGGCACCGGTAACGATGACGACTTGGTCAGTGAAGGAGGCAGAAGAGGGTAGCGAGGGCGTAACAAGCAATTGGTTGTGGAGGAAGCGAAACATGACGTTCAGCGGGAAAGGTCTAAGTGATCTGATCTAAGGGGAAACGAGACACAGTAATCCTAGTTGTCTAGAGCCAGATCATTTAGACCTATATGTATATAACATCGATGCGAAGGCAGCCAGTAGAGTACGTCATCGGAGATGCCCGGAGATAAGAGGGGGTGGACCCCAGCCCCCGATTAGGGCTTAGGGCGCCGGGATTTAGTCCCCTGTTAACTCCGGCCCCCATCCTCCCTTTCGCCCTTCATTTCTCCCTGCAGGGCTCATCCACAAACACCTTTTCCTTCTCGTCCGCCATGCCAGTGACTTCCTCTGCCATAGCGACCACGACCTTCAGCGCATCTTGCTGGGATGCTGCCTGGAACGTGCCATAAGCCTGAAGCATGTCCGCGAACGAGAATCCTATCTTCGCCATTAGCACAGCCCGACGGATTGAAGACCAAAACATGAAATGGGTGGATTGATACGTACGATGCGAGATCAGAACCTCCGGATGGATCATTTTCGACTCTACCATCTTCAAGAGATTCGGCGTTGAGACAGCATCTACCAATCGCGTACGCAAACCTGCAATGCAGTTAGCATGATGCTTCTCTACAGTCCAGTTCCATAGGCGACTTACAGATATTTCGATTCCATAAATGGTCGAGGTGAAGATCGCATTTACTGCCAAATACGCCAAGACTGGCAATCGTACCCCCGGCCCCGACTAGCATCTGCGCCAGCTCGAAGCTCTCCTTCGACCCGACAGCCTCGATCACGGCGTCGTATCCAGTACCGCCATTAGTGTCGATGGCCATTTGGACTGCACTTTCCAGACCTTCTCGCGAACTAAAAGTGTGAGTGGCCCCGAGGCTTTTGGCAATGCGCAGACGCGACTCTCCTCGGCCGATCACCACCACTTGTGACGGACCGAAGAGTCGCTGGACCAGCATCAGCGCCGCCAGGCCGATAGGCCCAGGCCCAACAATAGCAACCGACGCTCCGGGCTGCACAGCAGCATTAAGAACTCCACATTCATAGGCCGTAGGGAGAATATCGGAGAAGGTGACCGCGATGTCGCTAGGAATGCTGGCAGGCAGAACATGGAGAGAGAAGTTGGCGTGCGGCACGCGCACGTACTCGGCCTGTGTGCCATCAATTTCATTGCCTAGAATCCAGCCTCCTGTTGAGCAATGTGAGGTCATTCCCTTGCGACACGCTGTACACATTCCGCAGGCCGAGATACATGAAATCAGCACCCGGTCCCCTACTCGCGGCCCATTGACTCCGGGGCCGACACTGTCAACGACTCCTACACCTTCGTGGCCCAGGATGCGACCGGGCTTGCAGGAGGGAACATGGCCTTGGAGGATGTGAAGGTCGGTACCGCAAATGGTGGTGTAGATGAGTTTCACAATGGCATCGCCGGGTTGTAGGATCGTGGGTATGGGCCGGTCCTCGAGGGCAAAGGAGCCGGGTTCTTGATATACGACAGCCTTCATAGATAGGACTGATAAGTGAAATGGGATGATCGCGTCGATTCAAAACTAGGGGGCATCGCGAGTTGTTAAGTATGACCGGTTCCTTTGTACCCCTGTCGGTTTGACGGTAGTGTGCCGGATGGGACTCTGACATGCAGCTTGTATCGAAGTTCTTATTGGCGAGGCCCGCCATCTATGGAGGCGATCCTCGACCACCAATCGGCGCTCGAGGGTATACTTACCTTATCTCTACGGACGACCACTACGATGCAGGTAGCCTGGGCGCGCAGGGCCTCGATCCTGTTAGACCTTGCACTATTAATCTCGGGTCACCCTAGGGTAAAAAAAGGTTACATGTATTAATTATGTATGATACTACGAGGTTACATCAGACAGGGGATACTGAGACAGACAACAAATAGAAAAATACAAACAAATAAATAGAGAAATAAAAAGCGATAGGCACAGAACATCATATAACAACCACTGTTCACAAAGCACTAATGGAAATGCGCTTAGCGCCCGCGTTGCCATTGAGCAAGGCCGATCCGCTGGACTGTCGCAGGTGATTCTGGTGCGTTGTCGGCCCCTCCACGTCCAAGCTAAACCGTCGGGGTCGCTGCCACATCCCGAGGCTCTCGTCTGCCTCGGCTGCCTCAAGCTGGGAGGTGGATAATCCGAACTTGGTCGCAATCTGCTGCACACGCTCTTGAGCGGCTGTTGCATCAACTGCGCCGCTTTGACCGTCCTTTGACAGTCGGGCCTGTGCATGTTGAAGAAGTTCAAGGTGCTGGGTTACGGCATCCACGGACTCGGCATGGGTCTCGTCGCTGTTGAGCAGCTCAGCTAGCGCAGCCTCGTGGAGCGCGGCCGCCGCCAGATGATTTCCCGATGCCGTGTATAGGCCCGACAACAACTTATTCATCTCCAATGTGACCGTATCGCAGTTGCCCCACACCTGGCGCAGATTGTAACAGATATCCTTGCCCAACTGCGTTGCTGAAGCCACCTGACCTCGGCAGAATCGGGTTTCAACCAGCCGTCGACCGATCCATACGACCACCGGCAGCGACCAGGTCTTTTGCACAACACGGGAGGTCCATAGGTCGGTGAGAATAGTCTAGGGGTCGTTAGCGGTTATCGGACGACAAGGGGGAAAGTAAAGGGGAAAAGGAATGAAGCCTGGGCCTACCTCGAGATCCTCAAACATTTCATGCTCGCCCAGAACGGTAACGAGGTCATTCAATTCCGAGAACGGTAGCTCCGAGAACTCTAAAGGCTGCTCTTTAGCGTTGGACATTATTTCCTGAAGCAACATTTGCGACTCTAGAGCCATGTTTGCCGAGATTGTATCGTCCGAACACTTGCTTGTCTGATAGCCATTCAGGTAGAGACAAATTTTGATGGCTGTAAAAATGCTTTCGGGAGTTTGCAGTCCCTCCGTCAAATGCACGAAGGAATGAAAGACGCCCGTCACATACGCAGCGTCTTGAAACTGCGAACGGTTGCAAAGATCCCGCACCATAGTGGCCGTCGATGTTACGATGTTAATATTGTAGTCACTGTGTGTTGACTCCCGCCAGCAGACATTGTAGAACTGGTGAACAGAGTCCTTCTTTCGTTGCTGCGAGGCGACGGACAGACTGTTGCAAAAGTACTCATAGAGTTTATCGCGAGTGCTCTGAGCTGCGGCTGTTCGTTTCTGGTCGACCTGCAGGCGATGCAACTTGTCGCCGGCCGCCAACGTGGGCACTAGATCATGACTGGCTAGGCTCTGCTGGAAAGCGTTGTATACCTGGCCTTCGCGAGACAATTCACTAAGGATCTGGTGCGAAGTCTGACGTTTGCCAAACACCTCTTCAAAGGAAGCCACGAAAACGGCGGGTCGGTACTCAACCAAGGATTGTCGTTGAGCAGCTGGAGTCTCATGAACAACCTGCTGACGCATGTCATTGATTATCTGGTTACCCTCCTCAATATAGCCACATTCCAGATAAATCTCAGCCAATCGGTGGGCGCGTTCGACCAGAGTATCATGGTTTGTAGTGACATGGACAACTTCATCAACGTGCTCCCGAAGAAGTGCAGCTCCTTGTTCACGGGATTCAACACTGCCTTGCTTGGCATGCATGTTAGCGATTGCGTGCAGCCACAAGAGCGTGTTCGGGGCGGATAGTCCTTGCTGCTGTTTAGCCAGAGTCAATTCCTCGTTATACAAGGAGTACGCATCCCTTGATGTGTTATTTTGTTTGATATAGAGCTGGGCCATTTGATGCTTGATGCTGATGGGCAAGGGCTCGGACATATCGGGCAACCCGCGAGAGACCTCAGACGAAGAGACCCAATCATTAGTGTTGAGCACCTGCTGATAGAGGTTAAGGGCCTCATTGTGACGTGCGCTGTTGGCACATAGGGCGGCCAAAGTGAGAGATGCATCTCGCGTCCGTGGGTTGGTAGCACCATAGAGCTTGCGGCATAGCTGTTGGTGTTGTGAAGCGACCTGGTAGCGCTCGGCAACAGTCCCCTGAATAGTCGCATGGTTCAAGATGGCCATGTATCCGGCGTAGGTTTTCGGGAGTAGACCCTCCAGCAACGCACGGTCGTAGCCATCCCTCTCGTCAAATCGCACCAGCGTTGGCCACAGATGACGGTAGACTTCGAGAGCCGCGTCCCATTTTTGATTCTGCTCATACAGCGCGACAAGCGCAACAGAAGCGCGTACCCCAGAAGAACTAATCTTACCGTCACGAATACAGGCGGTATAAATGTGGCGATAGCTGTCCTCGGCCTCGCTACGACGACCCAAGCGTAAGGCCAGATCGCCTTCGTAGTAGCGGGAGTCGATAGTGTGTTTGTCATGTTGGCCAAGACGCGAGGCAAAGAAGTCACTGACTTGGTGCAACAGAACAAGTGCCTTTTCGAACTGGAAGGTCGTCTCGTAGAATTCCACCACAGTCTTCACAACCGTGGTTACCGATGGAACAGCAACCTGGTCCGCGGTGATGGAGGCCTTGAAGGCATTACCATAAACCACAGAGGCAGTCTGTACATGCAATCGCCGGAAGAGACAGTAGGCATGATCCAAGGCGAGGTTGGCCATCGTGGGGGCCTCGTTTGAGTGGAACTTGGCCGTGGACTGTGGGTCTTCAACAGTGGGCCATGCGTGCTTCAAGACCGCCAAAGCAGACTTGCTGCCCTCCGACCATTCTTCCGCACGAATGTGTTGCGTCGCAAGGTGATGACATAACCCCAGAAGGGGTAGCGTTCGTTGGTTGGTGCCGGCCGACGCAATCGAATCAATAAGGCTCGGTAGCAGAATGGTCTCTTCAGGGGAAAGGATGCCCGTGCTCTCGACCATTGCCTTGGTAGGAATGAGGTCGTTGGCAAGACCTTCAGCGAGTTGTACAGCCTCAGGCGAGTACTGCTGACCTGTCGCATAATAATATTTCCATACCTGCAAAGCTAGGGCACGGTCCATGTCGACAAGACCCATCTCTCGCGCTTCCACCCGGAGCTCCTCTGCGCGCTCAACCATCTCAGGGGACTTGACACCGCCATCCTCTTCCAACTCCGCTGAGAGTTCACGCAGTATAGCAGTTGATTCATCGGGACGACTCTGGCGCCGCAGAAACTGCGAGAAATAAAACGCGACTCTGGTTCTTTGGTCCCACGAGTTTACTGGATCGATGTCACGAGCTGAGAGCCCCGACCATAGCCGGGTCAAGACTCCCTCAGCTTTGACTGCCTGGTTGCTCTCTTCATACATCTGGGCCAGACGGAGGCCTTCTGCAATGCGACGCGGGTCAGTCACATCCATCGACCGTACGGTGTTCTCATATTTAGCACGAGTAAGCTCCAGTGCGAGTTCATCGGGGAGAGTAATTGTAAAATGGTGCTCCAGGAATTCAGCCGCCTGCATGGTCTCGGACGAGTGGATTCCATAAGTCTGGAAGGTTTGACGGTAGAACTGTTTTGAGACGTCATAGGCCGATTCGTTCTGATTCTTGCTCTTATAATGCTTCACCAGACGATCCAAGTACTGCAAGCGTTGAGCAAACGTGATATCAGATGAGCCCCAATTTGCCAAGGTCATGTCTCGTAGCGCCTCAGTTTTCAGGCCAGCGGAACGATCCGCCTTGCCCTTGGCCTCCGGTGTAGATACTAAAAGCTGTTCGATATCCCGACTAATGGTATCTGTGGGGCCATAGAGAGCACGGCTTCGAGTCCATGCCTCGAATAGGTGGTCATTGGCCCAGGTTGCTTTTGCCTGGTCCGCTGCACGAGCACTTAGAATGAGACTCTGAAGAAGAGCAGGCGAATCATCGCCTAGAACCCCACGACGGACCACAACAGATAGGCGATACAGCTCAACGATGCTCGAGCGGCTGAATTGTGATTCACGGTTGGTAAGTTCTAGCTGAGCGAAAATGACCGATGTGGGCATGGCTCGGCGGAATGGTCCAGTGAAAGACAACTCGCGATTGGACGTGGCGATAGGGGAAGACAACATGTGAGAGAGCCAGTAACGAGATGTATATTCTAACAGCTCGTAGGCGTCCATGTATCGATCGCGGGCACTCACGCCTAATTTATCCCAGGCGACGGCCACTTCGTCAGAGACCGATCGTCGTACCCAAGCCAGCGAGCGAATCAACAAATCGTAGTGGGCTTCAGCTAGGGTGAACGGAACCACCTGACTCATTATTGCTCGCGCCTGAATGTGCTCCCGGATCATAGGGTGTCGGAAGGAGACAAATCCGTCCCGCACCAATGTAATACGAGTCAACGGCTGCAGAACATCACGGTCAATGTTTGGTGTGCGCGTAGCTACTTTGAGAGATTTGACATCAACTGCTAGTAAATGCTCCAGTTCCTGGACACGGAAGGGGCGCTCTGATGCTGTCAACCACGCAAGAACACTCTGAATGCCCATCCGGTGGAGGTTTATGCCTTGTAAATGACGGTCGATTACATCTCCCAGTGTCTTAGGAGCATTCTTGATAGCAGATACCATTTCCGGGAAAGAAGACCGATGTCGCGCAAGTTCGAGGGCTAGCTGTGCCCAGACGAAACAACCTTGAGCCCGAGGAACGATTGAGGTCGACAGGGCTCTTGTTTGGAGTGTGTCCAGACCGGAGAAGGCAGCATCCGAAGCCATCGTATCTTCCACGGCGCCTTGCAGGTCGTGTTCGGTCAAAGAAGCATTAATTGTGAGCTGGTGGGTCGTGGTGGTGTCTCGCATCGGCATCTGCGACTTCGCTAAAGGACGGCTGAACGTAATCAACTTGGATGGCGAATTACGTTCTGAGACAGCTTCCTGCAGACGATGAAGGAAGGAGCTGACTGTAGCATTGGGATATTTTATCTGATCAATCCCATCCACCACCAGCAAGAAATGGAGGTTTGACTGAAGCGCCGTCCGCAAGGCCACCCATAATTGCTCCTCCACCTGGGGATCTGCGGCCCCCGTTTCGGCCAATTCGAGAGCCTTGGTAACCGCAGGCAAGATCAGATCTTGGGTTTCCCTACTACTGACACAGTGATCAAGCATCTGAATGAGGATATTCTTTAGGATGCTTAGTGTGAGCGTGGTAATAGGCACGTCAGATCGAATTGCAACGGGAACGACACTCCAAATGTCAAACTCCGGCGAACCCTGGAGCTTTCCCACAGTCCACTGGGCCAGTGCACTCTTTCCTGAGCCCGGATGACCGGTCACCAGCATGATATTACGGCGGCTCAGAGTGAATGTGGTCAGATGGGGGTCAAACCAGGCAAAAGAGCCGTCCGTGAGAGAATGATTGTGACCGTCAAGAAGCATTTGCAGTGGACGGTCCTGAAGCTCGAGAAATTGATAGATGGAGGCAAAATCGGCAACGGTTTTATTCGTCACTCCGGTTGAGAATGCAGCTTGCGATATTCGGCGCCAATGAACGGTGAATCGGTTGAAATAACAGAAGAAAGAACCATTCACGGCCTCTCCTACGGCCTGCCAGTTTTGATTACGCACCCCTTGGCGGTACTCCATACTGATGTGCATGATCATTTGGAGTAGATGAGCGAATATTTCAGCCACCTCTTGTTGAAGAGACCGAGAAGAGCGAAAGTAGCTCTCTTGTTGTAGCAAGAGTGAGATACCCATAGTCACTCGACCGTATTGTCCAAAGATACTATCTAACGTTTCGATACGGTCCATACCGATCTGGGAGGGTTTAAGATTAGATATGTGATGAGTTGACGATCGTAGAAATGGGGATAGGCACCTCAAGGAGTAGCAGAGTGGCTCCCCAGATCATCGTTGCGGCCTCATCTGCGCCGTCAAGGAAATCTTTGACTGAGTCTCTGAAAGACGAAACAGCAAATGCCAGGCGAGAAGCCCGACAGAGAGCACCGTCTAGTCGACTGCCATCGGGCGGCATGCGACGAAGCCTTTCGGCGGCAATGGCATCGAAAAAGACATCAACTGTTAAAGATTTGGCCTGAACCTCCTTGGCAGAAATTCCGAGGCGCGAGGGACACTCCTGGGAGACAAGATCCAGCGTTTCCCGCAGTACGGGGGGCGAGCCGGTGCCGCCGTTGACAGCAGTGTTCTCCATCTTAGCCGAGGAAGACATGCTGAAATATTGCTTGTAAATTAGGTCGTAAATTTCAGATAAATCAATTGACTTCAACAGCGATAGGCGAACGTTATATGAAAGCCCGACCCACCAGAAAGAGAAGATGGGAGGACATCAAAGATCCGGGTCCCATGCAATTCTGACATCATGAGTCGTTGGACTGTTTGGTCCCCGGGTCGTCATTAAAGCTCAATCATGGTGCAAACCGTGGATTGCCAGAGTTTATCATGGATGTTCGTAGGCGCGAAGGATAAGCATTGAGCCTGGATTTGGCGTAGTCGTGGTGTCATTTGAGAACGTGATAACTTAAGTCCTCCCGCAAGGCGTCATGGCCAAGGGCGCGGATGTCGATGACATCACCTGCCATGCGTCTGCTCCCGATGGGAGAAGAAAAAGAACCTGCAGGTATTCTCTTGGTTTGTGCATGTAACATCGAGGAAAGATGAGGACAATTGGGGGAATGAGAAGAAAAGAGGGTGTGGGTGATGATGGTGATGGGAGGGGATGGTCACGGGTCTCACGGGTCGGAAGAGATAAACTACTAACTAACTAGGTAGTTAGTTATGCACGTAACATGACTCAGCTATGCAATCTTGTGCCGCTTCCACCAACGTCCGTTGATTGCTCCTTTTCGCCCTGCTATTTAGTCCAAACATTCATACACACCGGCAAACCCACAAAGGTTACGGAGGAGAAATCCAAAAGACTTTCAAAGAATTCAGCAAAGAAGACCAATATTGCCCATCCTCAACAGGTTAGTCGACAGAAAGACCTCGGGAAAAGTTGCTGGTTTGCAGAGCGAAGAACAACGTGCCTGAGACCTGTCGGGCTGATCGAGGGGTCTGAAGTTCTGGTGTTCTATTTTAAAAGACGGTCGCTCTAAAAAAGTTTCATGCCCAGAGTCAGCCAAGCACGATGGACTGCATCATATCCTGAGACCTCACGAAGAGTCCTTGTGGACATAAGCATCAAGCAATTGGCTGGATACACCAAACATGCAGGATAAATGGTAACTGCAGAGCCTGGTATCCAATGGCAAAGGCGTACGGATCTGAAGATTGTCTGAATTCCTTTAGCTTCTCGATTCAGAAGGTCTAGATAGACCGCCAAGTTCTGCTCAGCCATGGCGCTCGGGTATGGCTGAGATTCCAGAATAGCAATAGCATATCGCGCCAGCTCAGGTTGTATCGCGTTTCTTCAACATCAGTAAAAGATTGAGTGAGCCGGCAGCTTTTTCTCATATGAAGCCATGATAAGGGTCACTCTCATTCATGTGGGATGGAGTCGGGACTCGGGAAAGAGACAAATGCCACCCAATAACAGGAAAAGGGAAAGTATGTTGTTCCGTTGAGGAGCGAGCCACAACTTTCCCCCTTCCTCCCCATAAATGACGTCGTGGAAGAGGGAAGGTCGGTTAGCGAGTTAGCAACACATGAACCAGCAAGGACCAGAGCGGTTGACAGACACACTCCACAACCATCCCCCCGGCGATCAGGAAACGAGGTTACACCGAATCCTCCCGAATAGCGTCATTTGGAGCAAGAGGCCCTACCGCTGATCGGCTCTGGGCAGCGTCGGGCGGAGATCTTGGCTAAAGATGATTTGATCAACGAGCGACTGGGCGGACGTCTTGGCGAGAATGCCGCGGTGGTCTGTTGCTTGCCAAGAGCGCAGCATTACCAGCCCTATTGGGTGGCCAAGCTCTGTTACGTTGGCGTCTGATGTTGGAAAAGAAAATGCCATGGGATCAGGGGCTTGTTGATCAGCAGGAACTGCGCTGCCTGTCCGGTGAGAAGTAGGGCACAGGAGAACGACAGATAGGTAGGAAAAAAAAAAAAAAAAAAAAAAAAAAAAGAAAAAGAAAAGGCGCACAAGCTAGTTCCCCATGCAGGGTCATGGTACCTACCCATGATACCGTTTTTCTATCTCCTGAGGATCAGGATATTTCTTTTAGGCATCTTTCTGCGTGGCGTGTCATTTCATTGAGTGTATATCTGTGCCTTCCGTTTGATTAAATACCCCTTGGTGGTCTCTTGGACATTCCCGCCCTGCAAACCCATAGCGCCTGTACTCACGACACATACTTCCTGAAGATGCCCACGCTGGACGTGAGTGAGTTAAATGTGGTGATCGCAGTTCTGGGTATGTTCTTCGTCGCTCTCATCCTGGTCCGCGAGCTCTAACATAGACGACAGGAGGGTTCATGCTCCTCTACGGCGTCATTTCTGTTAAGATAAAGAGGTTCTGGTATTTGGGGGAAGCTTGTAAGTATTGTCCGTGTCCTTGACACAGACCATTCTGCTTAGCAATACCCAGTACCAGCGGTCCTAGTGGGCATCATTTTGGGTCCCGCAGCAGCGAGATTGCTGGATGCAACAGAATGGGGGTCCGCCGTCAGGGACCAACAGGAAGCAATTACTTTGGTACGTAACTGATCCCATCTTTCCCTTCGGTGGAACTGGTTGGTGGGATCGCTGATCGATTATTAGGGCCTTTGCCGCGTCGCTATTGGAGTGCAATTAGTGATGGCCGGCTACCAACTACCGGCCCAATACCAACGCTACCATTGGAAAGAAATGTTCATTTGCCTGATTCCCAACATGACTTTGATGTGGCTGCTCACCTCGGGATGCGTGATGGCTTCCATCCCCGACATGCCATTTGTAAGAGGACGCGATAGACCCTGACCCTGAATGGTTCCAGCTAACCTGATTTGATGTTCTCTAGGTGTCTGCTTTGGTAATCGGCTCTTGCGTCACCTGCACAGACCCAATTCTGTCCCAGGCCGTAGCGAAAGGACCGTTTGCCGACAAATACGTGGCGCGCGAGTTACGCGAGATCATTTCCTCCGAGGCGGGCATCAATGACGGGTTTGGGTTCCCTTTTCTCATGCTAGCCACATACATCATGCGACATGCACAAGGCGAAGGATATCACGGGTCCCAAGACTCACATGCCAGTCACCTGCTGGCAAGGGCAGGCGATGTAGGCCGTCAGGGTGGGGGTGTCGGGGAAGCGCTGGGCAACTGGGTGGTTGAAACATGGCTCTACTACGTAGTGCTGGGGGCTGTGTATGGTGTGGTGGTAGGATATGCCGCGCTTCATGCGTTGCGGTTCACGCTGCGGCGGTCAGTGACGGTCAAATGGGCACAAATGAGAGAGAAAGAATTGAAAGCTAACTGCGCTGCAGGAGGTGGATTGACAGCGAAAGCTATCTTCTCTTTCCTACAGCCCTTGGAGTAAGTATGGCCCCAGAAGAGATACTAGCGAGCTTTTCACTGATCATTCGTGACTTCATCATAGCTCTTTATACTGGGCACATGTGGTTGCATCGGCACTAACGATCTAATTGCCTGCTTCTGCGCCGGTAGCGCTCTGAACTGGGACGGGGGCTTTCTGGCGGAGACGGAGGCCCGCCATGACGAGGTCAACGCCAGTATCGACGTTCTGCTCAACTTCGGCGGGTTCATGTACATCGGAGCCGTCTTTCCATGGGATGAATTTCACCAGCCGGATCTGACGGGAATCACCTACCCTCGCTTAATTCTCCTGGGGGTGATGGTATTGCTCCTGCGACGCATCCCCAGCATCCTGCTCCTCTACAAGCTAATGCCGCGAGTGTGCAAGAACTGGAAAGAAGCCCTGTTTATGGGGTATTTCGGACCTATCGGTGAGAGCGTAGCAGTCGTATGTCAAAGACAGGCCTAGCTGACGAACATATCACATTAGGTATCGGGGCCGTTTTCTATGTCGAGCATACGCGGCATCTCTTTCCTAAGCCCGGCGATGGTGACGAGGCAGAGGCTCAACTGATGCGCACTATTGGACCGAGTAGGTACACAAACGTGTTCTCATAATCCCTAAGCTAATACACCTACAGTGGTTTACTGGCTCGTATTCTTCTCTATATTCGTCCACGGGCTCTCCATTCCCGCCCTTAACGCCATTTATACCGCTGCCGGCGTGCCCCCAGTGGTAGACCCTTCGGGTCCAGCCGAGATCCGGCCATTGTCAGCGAATCAAGCTCTGCCGAAGAACAGCTACATGAATGCAAAACGGCGATCAATCATGTTGTTCAATCGCTTTTCTCGCGCGAACTATCCTGGCAATCTGGGCTGGGAGCTGCCATTTGTCCACGATGACGGACGGGAACGACCCAGTGTGCCCAACCCCCCAACATTTCACCTGCAAAGCATGGGGAATCCAATATAACCTGTCCAGCTATGGCATTACCTTTTTTCTGTACATCACGATTTAAAATTTTGTTCTAGATTTCGGCCTTGTTATCATAGCCTTTGTTGAGACCAATAAATGACATCATTACCTCACTGTCCACAATGTAAAACTAATCACTCAGATTTTACAACCGCTCGTATACATCTTAGATGTCTAAAGGGACGTAGAAATATTATTTTCGCCTGAACGGAGATGGACTCGAACTCTCAAGGCTTGGACTTTCATTTCGACAGGTGACATCGCGGAAATGGAAGAGTTTCTGCACGCCCGTGACTTACGCAGATGTTACGGATGAAGCCGCCAAGCCTCGCCATATAAAAATGGCCTAAGAGACTTTTGCTTCCTGAGGTTGCATGATGAAAATATCTATGAACGGCAGCTTGCACCTGAGGAATACCGGTGGTGCCTTGATGCCTTGTGCCATGCCGGGCCTCGGATCAGATAAGAGGTGCCACTGCCGTGTCCGCCAATCAAAGAGCCGGGCCTAAACCATTTTCCGCCAGGCGGTCTTATCAGATCAACTACTTAAGAGACTATCCCACGCTCGAGTCTTTCATCGACATCTCTATGTTCATCTGTACCCCTACTTTGACTCACCATCGAAGTTCCACTGCCCTATGGCTAATACACTACGCAATATCATTGTGGTGGGAGGCTCATACGTGGGCAAGGTAAGTCTCTGCTGATGTCATTATCCTTCTATGTGATTACTCACTTTGTCAGAGTACCGCTCAAGAGTTGGCCCGCGTGGTTCCGGAAACACATCGGGTAAGAATAACCTTTCATCTATCTTGTGAATATGCGCTTCTGAAAGGTCACTGACTGATTGCTCATTCACCCACCAGGTCTTGTTGATCGAGCCCCACAGTCATTTTCACCACCTTTTCACCTTCGTAAGACAAATGGCCACCACTATGCCTATTCTTCGCGCTAACCCCCATCCCAGCCCCGTTTTGCTGTCATTCCTGGCCAAGAACATAAGGCTTTCATTCCATATACTGGTCTCTTTGCTCGTTCGAGTCAGCATGCCGTAATCCAGGCCCGTGCCCTTTCAGTTCAGGCCCAACAGGTCCTCCTCGACCGCGCATGGCAGGGATCACGTTCTATCTCCTTCGACTATCTTGTTGTGGCAACGGGAACCCGCCTTGCACAACCGGCTGGCATGAAGAATGACGACAAATCATCATCCGTGACATACTTGCAGAAGCACCAGGCCGATGTTCAACGGTCCCGGTCCATCCTTATTGTGGGCGGCGGGGCTGTCGGGGTGCAGATGGCAACGGATCTGAAGGAAAGATTTCCAGAGAAAGAGGTCACTGTGGTGCAATCACGAAGACAGTTAATGCCAGGCTTCCATGAACAGCTGCACGCTCTCGTCAAAGAGCGATTTGACGACCTGGATGTCCGGTAAGTTCTTCAAAACACGTTTCTCTGAGGGGTAAAATAGCTGATTCGACATAGGCTTGTGACAGGATCGCGAGTTGTGGTGCCAGAGGGCGGCTTTCAAAACGATGGACAGTCATTCAATGTCGAGCTCACCGACGGATCGCGGATTTCCACCGAATTCGTTATCCTGGCTACCGGTCAAACGCCTAACAACCACCTGGTTAAGGATCTTATTCCGTCAGCTTCGGAGCCTCTGATAAACCCTGACAACGGCTTCATTCGGATTCGGCCGACGATGCAATTCCAAGACCCCCAATACTCCAACCTCTTCGCCGTCGGCGATATTGCAGACACCGGGCTGCGCAAGGCGGCCCGTCCCGGTTCGGCACAGGCAGCGGTCGTCGCGCAAAACATCCAGGCGATGATCGAGGGTCGTAGCCCGGAAGAGACATTCCCACGAATGCCGGCAGCAATTCACCTAACCCTGGGCATGGTGGGCCTCCCATTATTTGCTTGTCCCATTATCCGATCGCTGACCCTCGCAGAAATACAACGTCATCTTTCGAAACCCAAACGAGGCCGAAGGACAGACTGAGCCGACGATTTTCAAAAAGGATGAGTGAGTCACGGGAACCCTACTGTGAACCGAAAACGTTTATACTAATGATGCCCAGTGGTCAAGAGGATATGAACGTGGAGGGATTCTGGCAGAGATTGGGCGTAGAAGTCAGCACTCCCAACCAGTACCATCTGTGAGGTCAAAGAGCGACTATGACGCTGTTACTGTTATGAGATAGATTGCATAGATTTAGATACGAGAAATTTCATACCCACTTCATCGAATCACGCGACACTCACCCGATCTTTGTCAACCTATCTTTTTTTGTTAAAATTGAAATTAAAATTAAACTCCCGATTTTGCCATATATCAGGTTTGAATTATAGCGCACGATGCAGCTGGATGAAACAGAAGCCAGCATACCGAGGCTGATGTAAGATCGGCAATTCTTGTCAATGCCGAACGTCCCAAAATTGGGTTACATTTTTGCGACGACACGGTGCTGTACCGGCAGATCCTCGGATCACCAACATTCAGGTCTCATCCTGCAACACAAATCATGCGAGCCGTGTTTCAAGCAGAGATCGAGGTGGTTTTGGGCTACCCAGAATGCCGAAACGCCATTACGCTGGACCGAGGAATTTTATTGGGACAATATCTGATACCGCATATTCGCAAGAACAAGGTGGAAAACGACACTTTTAGGATAAATAATCGTCTCCTCCCTTGGATCTAGGAGTCTTGGATGAACAGGCACTCGCCAACGGGTTTATCAGTCATAAGAGAAATGTACTGGCATGCCACTTTTTCTTTGATCGCTGCTTGGGGAATAATTCCCATCGCATGCGCGACCTCGTTGAGTTCAATCAATGATTCCACCTGGGAGGCCTTCAATAGCAGCGTCTCCGGCAGGCTGCGCGACGGACAACCAATGCTAGCCCCGTGCTACACCTACTTCAACGGTCATGCCCAGTTTCCTAACCACGAGGAGTGTTCGGCGTTGCAGTCGCATCGGTCGGATAGTGACTTTGTCTCGGATCATTTTGGCGGTTATCAAAACGTTAGCCCCTGGTGAGAGCGTGCTATATGGCTGGAAGCTGCTAACAGTGAACTAGGTGAATTGGGGCTCATGTCAAGCGACGGGTCAGTTCTGTGCCTTCGGATCGCTACTGAACCCCGACCTGGTCACCCCGGTGACCCGACAGTGTTCCCAGGGCAGCGTGCCGTCCAAATATCTGGAAGTACACACGGTTGAGGATGTACAGAAAGGGCTGGTATTTGCCAAAAAGCAAAACCTGAAGTTGGTGATCAAGAACACCGGGCATGATTTCAAAGGTCGCAGCTCAGCACCGGATTCTTTCGCTTTGTGGTGAGTTCCATCCTTTGTTCACGGCCGTGAGATACTGAAGGGATCGAACCCCACAGGACACACCTTTACCAGCCCCCAATTACACTGCAGAAGAGCTTCACTCCAGAGGGATGCTTGTCGCCCGTGGGAGACACGATTTCATTCGGTGCAGGCCAACAGTTTCAGGGGATTTACGAGTTTGCACATAAACATAACTACCGCGTGGTTGGTGGCACATCCAGTAGCGTTGGCGCGGCTGGTGGCTGGATCACTGGTGGAGGACATAGTATGCTGTCTAATGAGCTTGGTATAATGCATGACTTATTCAGACTCCAGTGACAAGATATACTGATTGATGATGACAGGTCTTGGCGTGGACAACGCTCAACAGCTCAAGGTTGTCCTGCCCAACGGCACCTATGTCACGGCCAACCGATGTCAGAACCAAGACATCTTCTTTGCCCTTAGGGGAGGCGGAGGAGGAACCTTTGGTGTAGTGATGGAAATGGCCACCCTAGTGCACGAAGAAAAGCCGATGCAGCTGGCCCAGGTGTCCTTGGCCAGCAGCGATGCTGCCAGCGCAAAGACATTTCTCTCAATCCTGGTGGCCAACGCCGATAAATGGGCATCCGAAGGCTGGGGAGGATACATCTCGCCAGGGGTCCTGGGAAGCTATATTTCGAATCTGGTCTTGGCAACCTCCATGCTCAATCATTCCGAGGCCGAGGCGTCCATGAAGCCGGTGCTCGAGTTTGCCCGACAGAGTGGCACAATTGCGCAGGCAAATGTCACCACAGTTGACACTTTTTTCGGAATCCTCAAGGGGTTTGCAGCTGTCGAAAAGCTTGGACAACCCAGCGGCTCGCTGGCCATGTCGTCCCGCCTGGTGCGGCGAGAGTCATTCGTTGGCAATGACAACCAGCGGCGGCTCTCGTCGATTCTAAATGACATTCTTACCAGCAGTCAGGAGAACAGCTTGCTGTCTATCTCGCCCTTATTCATCAGCGTTACTGCACCTACCGTGTACTCAAAGCGTCTACCGCGATCAGATCAGCCTGGAGGCCCCGGGGCTTCGTCGGTCACGCCTGCTTGGCGTGACACCCTGTGGCACGTTATCCACCTGCATCCCTATGATGGCCTTGTCACGCAGCCTAGCCTTGTCAACCGGATTTGGCAGTCTACTCACGATGCCCTGGGCGCCTTGCGAGATTTCACCCCGGGCTCCGGGGCTTATCAGAATGAAGCCGACCCTTTCGAGCCGGATCCGATCGAGGCGTTTTGGGGCCAGGAAAACTACCGCCATCTACTTCAGATCAAAAAAAGGGTGGATCCGACTAATTTGTTGACCGTGCATCAAGGGGTAGGATGGGACCAAAGAGACGAGAGGTATCAATGCTACCCTGAAGTCTCAATCTGATGTGTGAACGCCATGAACATTTGAACGAACGAAGTCTAACGAATTCAGTGAGACAAGAGACTCTGGATTGAGATTGGGACTCTAGTAGACCGGAACAAGCTACAGGTCCAATGGTAAGGTTTGACAGGTTACAATGAAAGGAGATTCAACTTCAAGTTGGCAGTGAAATTCATTGCCCAAGGAATAGAATTAAGGTATATGTTTCAGGTGTACGACCCTATCGTGTGAATTATTTGGGGCTCTTAAGCACCTCGCAGGTGGCTTTCCAGCAGCCCTCTCGAGGGTCATGGCGGTTCATTTAGTTTCCCGGCTTGCAAACGCCCTGTTTCGCGTCTTTCTTTTGCTGTTTTATAATCCATTAGTCTTTCGTCTCCGCAAGCCGGCCGCATAAGGTTTACATACCAAGCAGAACCCTCCCTTTTCGCAAATACCCATGTTTCCGTCCTTTGTACAGGGTTGGCCGACAGGAATCTTTGTCAAGTGGTCAGCTCCATTGCTCAATCAAACAGGGTGGTCGACTGAGAATTTACCGTCTTTTGTTTAGCGTCCGCCGCAGGCATGGCAAGGGCAGCGCCAATGAGGGTAAAGGTGGTAAGGAAGGAAATTTTCATTGTTGTGGTTGAATGAGTGAATGTTAGACGGAATGGAGAAATGAATGAATGTGTGTTCAAGAGTTGAGATTGTCCTGGTTTCCTACGTTCCATTGAGAGGTATTTATCTTCCTCTGGGTGCCCGAGCAGCCAGTCTGGACGGAGATCCAGAATGCTTCCTGTCCAGCGGTCCACCATGCCGAGGCGGACTTACGTGTTTGATCAATAGTGGTTATTGAGATGAATGCAATGATCATCTGGTCGAAAACTGGATAGGGGTACAGGAGGAGATTATTTTGCTCATCAGCTACCATACCCCTCGGCACGTATCGTGTTGTGCTTGCATCTAGCATGGGGGTAGGAACCTCTTAACCACTCATCCTTTCTCAATTTTTTTTTCTTTTGCCCCTTCTCCAATTCTAATGCTTCCTTGAGGTGTTTACTTTCTATCATTTTTTGACAGGGCGACCCTTGTTCGTGCAGAATGGGCCCCAGGCATTGCGGGCGGCCGGAAGCGCCTGCCGATGATCGTCGCCTCGTGGAGCGAAGCTATAGTCTAAACACACCTTGGGCAATGATGATCATGATTTGGACCTTGGCCGACGTAACTCAGACCAGGAACTTTTCTGGTTTCTATTTATTCTCGGCTCAATGGCTCACACTTCCCAGAGGGCGGGGTTGGATACGTTGGTGGAGCTTGACTGGAAACTTCCATGTTTTTATAATCAGCATTCGCCATTCTTCCTAGTAGAGTGGACAACCGCGGGTCTGGTAGACGATCCCAATCCCCTAGTGTCCTTGAAGTGCAACTTACGGAGTACATACAGCACACATAGTACTTCGTAAGCATCCCCTTAAGGCGTGTCAATATCCGCCCATCCGCAAGCAGCGGGAAACACGTGGACTATGCTGTTCCTTGTGCTATCTGGAACACACATGCTCTCTTCCCCTTTCCGAGCTCTAGAACGCGCATGCCCAGTTCCATTTTGGGTCCGTAATATGTAGGCTCCTGATGATCGGCTAGTCTACTCAGGGATGCTTTGACACAACACGATGAATCATTCAGTCCCCATGGGTCTAGTTACCGAGTAAAACAATTTCCCTCAGGAGTCGCGTGCTGCGTCGAGGGACTCGAGGAATTGCATGCTTGGCAACAGGGCATTTACCAGCTGCTTCTGGTGCCAGTTCCGTTTGTACGCTTCCTTGCTCTCCTCTGTCTCGTCCGTCCCGAACTGAAGCCCAAACGCCCCCGCCCAGTTGTCATAGGTTGTTGCAGGCTTGCGATGGCATACACCACACAGAATCCTTTTGAAACACTCGCTGGTAAATCCCGCCCGCGGAAACACTCGCATCACGGCATGATACTCATCCTCGCTGATCAGGTTCTGCTTTCCGGGACCGTTGGGATAATTCGGTCCCCTAAAGTCGGCTGCCACGCCCATTTGGGTGAGTGCTACTTCCGGTGCTGCATGCAAGGCGATGGAGGAGGTGGCATGCAAAGCGATGGCGTCCCAGACTCGTTGGACGCTGGCTTCTCCCCAGACTCCATGGACATCGGGGGTGTGCTCATGGTTTCGCACGTAATCTTCGATGAAATCACGCGCTATATTGGCCCCGTCAACTTCGAAGCGTTTGTCGACCGATAGCAACTCGGAAGAACTGGCGAGCCCCATATCGTGGAAGATGCATGCGACCACCACGATAGTCATATTTGGCGGCTTTGTAACGAATTGCGGGAGCTTCCGGGCTATAATTAGGGCCCAATAAGCAGCGCGAACTTGGTGGTTGTAGACTGCCTCGTCGCAATGTTTCTTGACATAATCGAAAGCCGCGCTCGCGATGGGCGAGCCTGGGAAAACGAGACTAAGTTCGGGAATATCTGGGAGACTTGCCATGCTAAAACGTGTGAATGGAGAAGGTCGGTAGATGGAAGAGAAGAAGGGAGGAAGGGAGGAAGGGAGGAAGAGAGAAGAGAGAAGAGGGAGGCGAGGAAGCACGCAAGGGAGCTTCAATCATGTGAGCGGGGTATGGCTTCCCCTCGTCTTCTTTTCTTTTTTCTCTCTCTCCTCTCTTTCCTTCCGTATCAGTATCTAGGTCATACTCCGTCGATCGACAGAATCCTCATGGTCTGTCTGATTGTACATAACACTCTCCCAAGGGATTTTTGCCGTCGTCCCGTGGTCTAGCAATATCGCTAGCTTCGGATTGAAATAGAGAAAAAAAAGCGCTCAATTTAGAAAAAGCCCGCAGGGGGTCACATCATATGTACAGCAGATCAAGCTCCATCTCTCGCTCGCCAACACCGTCACATAGTCATAACTTCATCATGTTACTCAAAATACCGATTCGTTGGACGCGGAAGTCCGAGATGCTCGCGCAACGTCGTGCCTTCATAGTCGCGACGGAAGAGACCACGGCGTTGCAACTCGGGGACCAGTCGCTGGGTGACGTCGTCTAGACCTTGCGGCAGGAAGGGAAATGTGACGGTAAAGCCGTCAGCAGCCTCGGTCGCTAACCAAGTCTCCCACTCATCGGCGATCGTCTCGGGGGTGCCCACAAAGGCCAGTCCGGAGTAACCGCCGTATCGCTGGGCGAGTTGTCGGACGGTCAATCCTTCCTCTCGCGCCACCTGTAGCACGGCCGCGCGGCTTGTTTTGCTGGCATTTGTCTCGGGCAGGTCGGACGGTAAAGGCCCATCTGGATCAAAGGCTGACGCATCGGTTCCCAGAGCCACCGACAGGGACGCAACGGTGCTATCGTAGTGCACCAAGCTGTCGACCTCAAGTCGCTTGGCCTTCGCCTCTTCCACCGTGTCCCCCACCACTACAAAGGCCGCGGGCAGGATCTTCAGATGGTTAGGATTACGACCGGCCGCTTTGGCGCGTCCCTTGATGTCAGCGTACAACGCCTGGGCTGCGTCCAAATCGCGTGGGGAGCAAAACACCGCCTCGGCCGTTTCGGCGGCCAGCTGTCGCCCGGGCTCGGATTGTCCGGCCTGCACAATCACTGGCCAGCCTTGAACGGGTCGGGCAATGTTCAAGGGCCCGCGAACCTTGAGCTCGTCCCCCTTATGGTTCAACACGTGCAATTTCTCGGGATCAAAGTATAGACCGGTTGCCTGGTCCCGGATGAACGCATCGTCAGCGAAGCTATCCCACAGTCCAGTCACCACATCGTAGAATTCTCGCGCCCGCTTGTAGCGATCTGCATGCTCGACGTGCTCGTCCAGTCCGAAGTTCTTGGCCGACTCGGGGTTGCCGGTGGTCACGATATTCCAGGCAGCCCGGCCGTTACTGAGATGGTCAAGGGAGGCAAAGCGACGGGCAATGTGGAAGGGCTCGTCGTAGGTGGTCGAAGCGGTCGCTGCCAGTCCGATCCTGTCGGTCACTACCGACAACGCCGAGAGCAAAGTGAACGGCTCAAAGGAGGTGACGGTGTGACTGCGTCTCAGAGCCTCAATTGGCATGTTCAGGACAGCCAGATGATCGGCCATGAAGAAGGCATCGAATTTGGCGTCTTCCAACTTTCGAATGAAGGACTTGAGATGCGCAAGGTTGAAATTAGCGTCAGGAAAGGCACCCGGATACCGCCAGGCGCCGCTGTGCAAGCTCACCGGCCGCATGAATGCAGTCAGATGGAGAGATTTGGATTGTGTCATGTTGGGTTTCTTGTCACGATAAAGTCAGGACAGCTATAGGCAGATATAGGGAGATTGATATCAATGTGAGAAGCGAGAGGGGGGATTTTTGGTCGGTGATAAATGCCGGCGAGGGGTTGCGATGACAAATCCTAATATTTCCTAGAATCCGATCACGACATTCTCGTGCTTTGAACGTGATCTCCACCGCATTGTATTTTGTATTTGAGACCTCAGTCAACGGTCAATAGTCCACGCTAACCCATGCAACCTGCAGTCATGCCGTGGTCGATCCGGTCCAGGGACCTTGGCTACCTCGATGAGAATGGTTGTTGCAGGTGAGGTACTTCTCGGGCCGAAAGCCCAGCACCAACGACTTAGTATCTCTTTATTAGAGACACTAGGCCCCGATAGTCGGGCTTAAGCCTTGAAAGGTCGCATGCTAAGCATTTGGATTTGCGGGAATAGTTCTCCGATCCGCGACTCAAAGTCCGGCATGCCGGTATCAGCTTTTGCCTGATCGTGGCTATAAAGAGCTCGAGATTCTCGTGTAAACACACTCTCTCACCCGACTTGCTTGTAGAGTTACGATCTGTCCTGTTCCCCTTGTCCGCTAGCACCGCTATCCCAGTCCCAGGATGACCTCCAACGCTCTGTCTCTTTGCTGCACGGTCGGCTCCCTGCACGAGGGGGAGGCTAGGGGAGAAAACAGAGACATTGGACCCAGTAAGTAATTCACACCCGTGGTGACAGGTTCGAATTGACATGACTGACCAGGGCTGTAGTCTCAACCTATTTTGCTTATCCTTCCGACCGGTCTACTGAAAATGCGATCCTGATCCTGACAGACGTTATTGGCCACCGACTGATCAACGCCCGGCTGATTGCGGACCAGTTCGCCGCCCATGACTATCTTGTAGTGATGCCGGACCTTTTCGCAGGTGACTCGGTCCCGATCAATCGCCCCTTGGGGTTCAAAATCATTTGCCGCCACAGACGGAGCCCATCATTGACGCAGTGCTTCGGGAAATGCGTGACAGGTTAGGGTGTCGGCGCGTCGGAAGCGTTGATTACTGCTTTGGTGGAAAGTAAGTACGTGTGTCGCTATCTCGAGTCAGGCCGGCTAGACGCCGGATTTATCGCCCATCCCACCATGATAGAGCCCGAGGAACTCCAGGACATTGAAAGGCCCCTCAGCATTGCCGCCGCTGGTGAGTTGTTCACTCCTTCCGAGTCCGTTATGTCGTTGCTGGCCTAGTCATGTAGTCCGGGATTCCGTTTTCAAATTCTCACATGTCGAGCACAGGTTTGCGGTGCGTTGCGACGACGTGAGCCAAGCTCGCCAGAGATATTGCAAGGAACAGGCATTTGCACAGGCCGTGTCCCTGAGACACGAACGCCCGAAAAGCGGTTGCCTTGGCCCCCGATCACATGACCCTGTCTAAAAAAGGAGTCCTTCTCGGAGATCTATTTTTAGTGACTGTTCAGCAGTCAGTCAGCAGTCAACACAGAGTGAGTACACCATACGTCTTGGACATCCTCGTCCACATCAAATGACGTTGTGTGAACCAGTGCCCGTTTCCGATACTCCGTAGACTGTACTCCGTCGTACTCCGTAGGAATATTCTGTCAACGACGATCCGACTCCCCTGCCGATCCCCCGATCCTCCCACACCCGGGGCTGGCCGCGGAACAACTGGCCGCATCTAGGGGGTTAGTCCGGCCGGCGGCTAGTGCTGACAGCGGCGGTGCTGATTGGCCCAACCGGCGGCTTGGCGGCATGGGCGGCACGATCGACGATTTGCCGGTTGAGCGCCAAGGCAGGCATTGTCAGCCTTGGCGCTGAGGCCGACGCGCCCCCTTAAAATTGATGATTTGGCGCCGCTGCGACATTTGCATTTTTCTCTTCTCGAAGCCGGTCGGTCTGCGGAGAAAGACTTCCTTCCTTCCTCCATACCTGACCGACTTGTTCCCCTCCCGTAGTCTAGAGTTCCCCCCCGGACAATGCGCTTTCTGTCCGCCCGTCAACTATGCGGGGCAGCCCTGCTGCTGCTCCAGGCCCAGCCGGCCCTATCCGACCTCAGCGTCGTGGCCACCAACGATGGTAGGTCGCAACCCCCTAGTAGATGTACTTCTGTGCTAATGTGTTGCCACACCAGACTCGTTGAAGAAGGCGGGCAAGGCGATTGTTGCTCCCATGATGAAGTTCTACGCGGAGAACCAGACCGAGGGAATTCCCGGCAAGCTGACCGACACCTGGTATGTTGCCGGCAGTATGTTTATGACTCTGATTCAGTACTGGGATGTCTCCGGCGATGACTCCCAGAACAAGATCGTCTCCCATGATCTAATGTTCCAATCTGGAGAGAACTATGACTTCTTTTCTCACAACGTCAGCCAGTGGCTGGTATGAATGCCCTTTCCTGCCCGGTCGCAGCCTGCACCATGCTAACCTTGCGGCCTGCAGGGAAATGATGACCAGATGTTCTGGGGCCTAGCCGCCATCACGGCGTCTGAGGCTGGCTTCCCCGAGGTCGACGGGAAGCCCTCGTGGACTTCGCTAGCGCGTGTGGTCTTCAACATGCAGGTCGACCGCTGGGATACGGGCACCTGCGATGGCGGTCTTCGCTGGCAGATCTGGCCCTATCAGGCCGGTTACACCATGAAGAACGCAATCTCCAACGGGGGTCTGTTCGAGTTGGCCGCACGTCTCGCGCGCTTCACCAAAAACGACACCTACGCTGACTGGGCCGACAAGATCTGGGACTGGTCGGCCACCACGCCCCTGCTGCAGACCAAGAACTGGTACATCGCCGACTCCACGTCCAACGAGCGCAACTGTAAGGATGCCGGGAACGATCAGTGGACCTATAATTACGGCACTTATCTGGCCGGAGCTGCGTTTATGTACAACCACGTGAGTTTCCCTTCTCTCTTTATGCCCCACTCGACTGCAAGTTGACACGCGATGCAGACCAATGGCAACGACAAATGGCTGAAGCGAGTGAACGGTCTACTGGATTCTTCCATACAAAAATTCTTCCCGAAGAAATTCGGCGGCAACGTCATGTCCGAGGTGGCCTGCGAGCCCATCTTATCCTGCGATCGCAACCAGCTCTGTTTCAAGGGCTATCTCTCCATGTGGATGGCTTTCACCGCCATCTTGGTCCCGTCCACCGCTGAAAAAATCACCCCCCTGCTACACGGTTCTGCCGAGGCGATCGGCAAGCAGTGCTCTGGCAAATCAGACAACCTGTGCGGCGTGACTTGGGGAAAGACGACGTGGGACGGCGTGCAAGGCCTGGAGGTGCAGATGGCGGCTCTAGGTGGCATCACGGCGAGCCTGATGGTCTCCAAGACGCATCAACCGAAGACCATCGACGACAACCCCGATGCCAAAGAAACCCAGATCCCGAACAGCGGCGACTCGGATCCGTCGGAGCCCGCGCCCATCGAAACAGCCGATCGGGCCGGAGCGTGGATCCTGACAGTCATCATGATTGCCGCGGTCACTGGCGCCGTCGGCTGGCTCGTGAAATCGTGAGTACAATGACTTGTATATTTGGCCGGGGATGGCCGGCCGCGTGACTGCTTTCTGTATATTTTGCTAGTAAATACAACTCGCAACTTTGGCTTTTGCGCTTGGGGGTTCGGTGTTTGGGATGGGCATTGTTTATATTCACCATATACTCGCACAAAATCAAAATTTCATACTGGGCTGCACATAGCACATACTGTAGCATTGCCAGACTGTAAGTGAATAATGACGTTCACCCGTAAGCAAAGAACTGCTAGTTAACTAGTTAACTATGTAGGACTGACGATTGTTACCTAATCCTGATTGTTGGATGAGCCGCGTTCAGTGATTGGCCACCCGCGAGCCATAAAGGACGCCCATCCCCCTTCTTCCTCTCATTCTCTTCTTCTCCGCTGCATCATCACCGCAAGGTCGTCTCCGTCTTCCTGCCCCATGAGTCGCATCCGAGACTGGCTTCACCGGAGAGTGGAGAAGAGAATAACCCGCCAACGGTGGAATAAGCGGCCGGTATCTCCTCCGAAGAGTAAATTTCTCCCAGCGCAGCCTCCTTCGACCGGCAAGATAGATGACTACCTCGTATCCCATTTCTCTTCAAGTACCTTTTTCAAGCGACTTCCCCCGGAAATTCGGCGCAAGATCTATGTCCATGCTTTTGGCCGTCGCACGTACCACATGGATTTCCGATATTCCGGGCCCGACTGCCGTGGTACCGATCCCAAATTCCACGCGGGCATCGATTTCGTGGCGAACATGAGCCACGATCCCGAAACGTCAGAGTCGCAGGAATGGCGCTGGTGGGGGTCGGTCTGTCATCGGAGCCCTAATCAGCCGTGGTTCTACGACTCGTGTCGCTCTGGTCGAGGAGTCTGTTGCACGATGCCCGGCGTGCCGGCTATTTGCCGTGTGGGCGCCATGGGATGGCTGCTAACCTGCCGACAAGCCCACGCGGAAACCATCGACTTGCTCTATTCGAATATCTTCTACGTCGAGAGTACCGTGTTGCTTCGCTTTTTCCCCCAGTTGGTCCCCGCGCCTCGCTTGTCTCGAGTCACCGGCCTTCTACTGGATCTGACCCTCGAGCTGTTCGACGACCGTCTGGTCGGGACGGCCCGAGATCGCATCGAAGGTTGGCCCGCTTTCGATCAAATAACCTCGGTCCTGGGATCGGGGACGTTTGGTGAACTGCGGGAATTGAGTATCTCCATCTACGATTATACTCCAAAATCAGATCCCTTATCTTCGAAGGAGCTAGCAACACTTGAGCGTTTGCTGAATAATTTCGATTGGCTGCTTCCGAGAATTGGCTCTGATTTTCAGAAATTAGAGATTAGCATCACGGCTCCTTTGTATACATCTGCAAGGCAAATAACGGCGCGAGATGATGGTTCAGCTCATGACACATCGGAAACTGCGAGCTCGACCCGCTTCTGGCGACCTGTACTCCCCCCCAGGCATATCGAGATACCGGAAGTTACATCGCGAGGTTTTGGCTATTGGATCTCTAGGGGAAAGGAAGAGCCGCACTGGTTTCACCAAACAAATTGTTTTGGCTCATAAATCTATCAAGAATATCATGTCTGGGAGAAGCTCCCCGTAGGTAACTTGGTCGGGGTCTTCCAGTACATCTGCCGGCCCAGTTCTCATCGTGAGCTGTCAATTACTACGTTTTCGGTTACCCTTTTCTCCACTCGCCCTCTCACTCCCATCTTTGCTTTCCAAGGTCGTAGACCCTTCTAGCCTAAACCTCCGTGGAGAAAGAGCAACGCGAGAACAAGTGTGAATTGTCGATGCCAAGCCCATAGTACGAACCACTAACATCAAGACTCTTTAGGCAGACAATCCTCGCCTACACCGAGCTCTCTCACAGCAGAACCTTATGGCTGGCCCCGCTATGTTAACGGCTCAAAGAATGGTCTTAAGCAAAGCACAACAAAGCGATTATCTCTCCAGCCTGAATGCTTAGGAGCGGCATGAATCCGGTGATCTCTTAGTGGGTCTCTTTGATGAGAGTTGGTCTTTGTTGGCCCCTCCGCTGTGGTTGTGCTCGCGGATTCTGGTCAATGAAAGTATAAGAACTCGGCTATTACTTGGGCAGTAAAATATCCAGCTCTCATATAACCGTTCAAACCGCTTCTCCTCATCATTCATAATATACGTTATTAATTGTACTCACGAGGCTTTGACGGGTAAGTACCAGTTGTTTCACACGAAAAGCATCATGTCGGGAGACAGCCCGCAAAACCTCGACCCGCGTCACTTCTGGACCCACATTCCATACAAAGGTGTATGGACGACTCGCATCGAGCAAGTCCATCGGGCTGTTGAGGAATGGTCTACCCATATATATCGGTTAATTCATGAATCCGATAGTCTGCCGGACGTGACCCACGACACAGGAATCCTGTTCGAGTTTGTCTTCCCGCCTGAAACACCCTGTGACGAGATTAAGGGTCTCATGACTCAAATGGGATCAAAAGAGCTTGATATGTTGATGGAGGAAGCCATCGAGCATGAAAACGCCGATCACTGCTGTGCTTGCAGTGGCTGCTTTCATTGCTACCAGTGTAATGGTTGCAGGAAAGACGACCTTCGGTTAGTTTCGTGGTCTTTCCTCGCGCAACTTAGAGCACTGTTTATTGTATCGAAATCTTTATATCTCTGGGCCTATCTTCATTCAAAGGTTAAGGTGATTAAGTTTTATTTGCAAAAACGCCTTGCGTCATAAGTATCGTTGGGTTTGCTGGAGCGTTCGGCTCTTGGCAAAAGAATATATATTTTGAGTTCCATATCGGAAGTGTGTAGTTACCAATTGCCCTTTTAGAACAAAGTTCCGACTGCATCTAGTACATCAGCAGTATGGAGAAAGGGGCGCCGCTGTGAGGTTGGCGAAATGTCTAAGTTCTTATCTGCGGTCACGAATATCACCACATCGATTAAATCAAGTATTCAACCGCTGCAGCAAGAATGGCATACCAGGGAGTTGAGGGACAAAGTGGAAACGATTGAGAAATCAGTAAATAAGTTGAAAAGAGATGGGATTCGTGGAAAAGAAAATTCGATTCAAAGCAATCAGAACTGGATTCAAAACTCGATACAACGATGGAAATGCTGAGAGATACAGAAATCGAAATAGATGATCCATGTAGATCGCACTGTAAATTCACCTTTATCGGGCCTCTTTGTATCTTTTTGGATCTCTCCTGAAGACAAGACTCCTTGTTGATGGGGGGTTTACAGGTGTGCAAACTCTACTTCAGAACAGCAGGGCTGGAATGGAGTAATGTCAGCGATGTCAGTAATTTTAACGTACACTTTTCATTAATCCTGGGGTTTTCATGGAAAATAGAGGCAAAGAAGACAAGATCGAACCGGAAGCTCGCGTTAGATACTGGATGTTCAATCTTCATCATGTCATTCAAAACGGAGTTATAGGCAGCATCCCGTATGCTAGACAGCAGTCAAACCCCTGGAAACGGTATAAATAGGTACAGCTATTTATCCTGACCATCATCCGTTTCATCGACTTCAACATTCTTACCTGTTATTTGAATTGAAACATACTTCTTTTAACAACATTCTCTGAGTTCTACGCACGAAGTTTCCAGCAAAATGCCTGAATATACCAGATACGTGTCGGTTTACACTGGCCCAGACTTTTTCTCAAGGCTGAAAGATGAATACATGGAGGCTTGGGAGCGCATGGGACAGAGAAAAAACACCAAAGTGATTCGTGACGAAGACATTCCTACCGAGGACTCAACCCTGAACCACCTTCAGCTGCACTGCCATCTCTTGTTCCGTGTACCTGTGGACAGTCAGGACACTCCTCACTCCGAAATCATCGAGTACGCCTCAAACATTATTGCATCCTGCCTCCATCCCGAGACCCGAGATAGTGGCGATTCTTTTAAAAACACAGATCACCCTCTTTTCGACGAGGACGGTCGTGTGATAGATGAACTTCTGCCATCCGAATGGACTGCCATCGACGTCGACCGACAATTCATGGCCTACCCCAGGATCTGTGCGGAGGATGCCATTTCCAAGCGCGTTCGACGGGAGCGCCTGAAAGATTTCGGAAATGCTGAAGTCACTTATCGGAGAGACTCGTCGGGAAATACTACCTCGAAGGTAGTGGACGGTGCATCTTGCTTTATGAACGATAATCCAAATACCCGCTAGGGGGGCTCCCGATGCTTTGGGGGTGATTACACCATCAATTTCTGATATGGCCTTAATAGAATGTGTCGCTATGTTACTCGCAACTGGTGTCCCTAGAAACGGGACAAGGCTGGACAGTTGAGGCAATATATTCTCCTTTGTATTTCCAATAAGAGCTCAAAAGTTCAATCCAAGACAAGATGAAACAGAAAATAACACCGCAAAAGAAAGTAGGATTCTTGGCCCAAAGAGGCCTCTTTGATGTTGACGATCTACCCGAAGATCCCATCATCTAGCTACATAGATTACTAAATTTTCTTGATAAAGATTTATTTATATATATTTTCGCTTTGTGTAATACGACCCATATGCAATCTAGAAGAGAAGAAGATAAGCGAGGAAGACCGGAGCTGTTTTGATGGTCAAATCTTCTGGGCGTTTCCGTGCCTGCCTTGGTTTCAATCCAAGACTAAAATCCCGAGGAAACGATCATGTCTACAGTGGGAAGAAACGAACAAATAGCATGTCCTGGTACCAAAGCTCACGCATCACTTCGATGTAAAGTTTACGAGGCCTGAAAGGCGGGACGCTCGCGTTGGTTATTATTTTCATATCTTGCAAGCATTTCGAGCACGTCGAGCAGCCATCTACGCCCATCGTCGGCCTTATAACGATGATATGGGGTAACTGACACAAAAATCTCTATCATTTATTACCCTATAGCTCGGGTCAAGGTGGTCGATAACCTCTTGAAAAATCATCTTGGAGGCTTGTTTCATCGGCACTATGGTGTGGGATGTCAAGGAAAATATAGGTCGATTTTCGATGACCGTCCCACCAGTATCCATCAGCGTAGTTCGTAACAGCGTCCGTTTGGCGTCGTGTTATCGAGTACAACCAGGCTCGGTATTCTCGGACATGTCTCTCCTCCCTTCTCATCATAGCGAGATGATCGGGACTATCATGGCGCTGGGAACCGATGATACCGGGAGGAGTATACTTCAAACGCCCTTTTCTTGCTGACATAGATGTCATCGTGTTGTTCTCCCGCAAACCCCGGTTGAACTGTCAGTTGCTAGGCATTTAAGACCAAAAATGGAGGGGCGAAGCCTTAAGTGGCGAGTGCAAGACTCTGGATTCTCCTCAAACAGGAAATAAACAATGTGTAAAGCTTAACTGAATCCGCAGAAGAAATTTCATGGTTAGTATTCATTAGCGTTACAGCACAGGATCTCATCTTTGCCACGAGGTGATTAAGCTTCGAGAACGTGGAAGGCGATAAAGTGGGACCCGGGGTACATTCTTGAATGATTCACCTGTTCGCTCGCCGTAAATTTCTCGCAGACATCCTTCTTACCAACTGTCCTACTCGCATAGGACTCTTGATGAGGTCAAACGGTACGGAGATCCAGATTCTCCCTCTTGGGACTGGGCCGCATACGACGGCGTCAGTCAATCATGGATTCATGGGCTCATTAATCATATTAGTATAAAGCACAGTACCACCACCAGGTACAGGCTGCTAGAACTCGAGCTCCTCCACCTCCATCCCACAGTCCACGCATGTTTTGAGTCCGATCCCCGTCTCAGGATTCTCGACGGACCGGCCCCATTGATGAATATGCTTTCTATTGTTCCCCAGGTCATCTCCGAAGCTTCCGCCTGCAGCCCCTTGGCGATTACGACGATAGGCATCGACTCGCGTTCGCTTCTTGAGGTCTTGCAACTTGGATTTGAATTTATCTTCCCGGCGACGTTTTTTAACAGTCTCTCGTCGCTCGAATTCGGCATCCAGTGCCTCGGCGGATCCCCACTTCTTTGCGGATAAGGCATATTCTTCAACTTGGAAGCGTAAAAAAAGCATCATGTTGTTCCATGTCGACTTATGGGGGTTAGGACGCTCTAAGTGGGGCAGTAGCTCTTCGTCGCGCAGTTCGGCTACAAAAGCAAGATGTCAGTTGGTTTCAAATGTCCACAAGGCCCGAGGGAGGCCATTATGTAACTTACGATCCGTCAAGAGATAATCTTCCTTTGCCTCCGTCTTGGTAAGCAGACTGTATTTCTCCGGGAACTTTTCCTTGCAGGCGTTGCAGATACAGCACCGCAGCGTTTCCTCCCACTTCCAATCTATCTCCAGGTTCCCACATTCACGGCAAGCTTTCTGTTTCGCCTTGTCGTCCAGGACACTTAAACCTGGTTCAAATGGGCCCGTCCGATTTTGTCGAAGCGAAGCTAGTAGCCGTTGGTTCTCCCACTCCTTCTGCGTCAGATGCGCCGGTTTCTGCTCGACATTGCCGTCTCGTACGTGCAACTGGCGGTTATGAGGATCATCATCCTCCGTCAAGAACCCTCCCTTCGTATCGGTCATCTTGCTGAAGTCGTAGTCGACATATTTGGCGAAGCTGCGTGCTGGCTTGATAGCGTCCAGGGGTCGGTTCGTCGCATCGGCATTGGCACGGCCATCGCGTAGCGTGGCAGGCGTTTCGGATGCCGTCAGGTTGGAATAGGATCGCTTGACCCCTGTAGTTGACTGTGCGGTGTTGGAGTTTGTGTCTAATGCTCGCGCTCGTTCGCTTTCTCGTTGCTCACGGATGGCCTTCGCTTTCATCCGATTGATTTCCTAGACACGCCGCTGAATGTTAGATGAGGATGCAACGCTGACGTTCCAGGCAAAACACGTACAATTCGCCGCAGCTGCTCCGGAGTCAGCGGCGCTCGTGGGAGCTGCCCTGGCTCCACAGTCTCGGGATGAGGCGGTGGGGTGGATGGTCGGTCTAATGCCATGATCTATATTGAATGATTGACTCTGTGCCGGGAGAAAACGATGTACTCCGTAACCCAGGCGTTATCGTCATCGTCATCGTCATTGATGGCTCCGATGCCAAGCGAATACCGCTAATGCACGTGATGATCGGCCCGGTCGGATGTACGTCGGGCCGTAGCTCCCTGCCTCGGCCCTTCTTCTGGCCTCCGATCGGAGTACATTTCACATGCCGAGATTCGCCGGCCGGCGTCATTTCATCTCGTCGATTTCCTTTCGTTCATCCATTCTTTCCCTCCCACCTGGCCCTCCCTACCCGAATTAATTGACTATGTCGAAACTTTCTAGTGGCCTCAAGGTCCTCATCAACTCCCCTGCTGCGCGACCCAAAACAACCCCCGCTCCTCCGCGAATCGACTCCCTCTACCATAAGGTCCAACAGCATGCGCAATCCAAAGGCCTTTCTCAATCATCATGGCTAGCTCTCTCGGTATGGTACTACGGTCAATCCATGTTGGGCTAGGATGATCTCTGATAATATATAGACGGCTGCCACGATGACCATGAACTCTCCCGAAGCCCTGCACTCCCTCTTCAACGTCGCCACTGCCGGGGCCCCAGAACACAAGAGCGTCGACACCGTCGAGTTCATGCGCGAAGTCGGTCTGAAATGCATCAGTTTTAACGGCATCCCCCGTACCATCAACTGCCTCGTTGACTTCAAATCGAATCTGCCAAGCTCTGTCACCGACCGGCTTTCGACCACGCCAACGCGCGGCCCCGATTCGCAAAACATCGACGGAATCAGCGCTCGCGGGAAAGACCTTTGGGACTCTATCTACCGACCCTTCGAGTCGAAACTATATCGCAAGCTGGGCGATGCGCACCCGGATCTTCCCGTGCATATCCTCCACTTCAACTACGGGGCCCTGCTGTCTGATCCGCAACGCTCGACGGGGGCGAATGTCGGCCGGCTGGCGACGTCCATCGTGGCGATTGCGTGTTTGCGCGCACAGACGGGCGTCGGGCCACAGGTGCTATCACATGTTTTCGGGCTGCGGAAGGCCGTCGAGGACTCGACGTGGGTGCACGACGTCGAGACCGAAGAGGCGGCCAAGTGGTTGGCGAGCGATGAGGGAAATACGTGGATCTTGAACAGCATCGATGATATTGTCAAGGCCATTGGAACGGGCGAGGGGTCGAATTTCGCCCCGGCGAGAGAGTCGAAGTTGTAAACACCGAGATTGGGACATATCACGAACCGGAACTATCGGATTCCGGGTTGTACATACGGGTCTAGTCTACATATGATTTGGTAACCAATTGCTTTTGAACCGGGCATATTCCGCAGACCGTATGACAATCCGCCACTCGGAGTGGAGAATGAAGCTTCGGTCGGTGGCCGAGACAAACGGCAGCCATCGGGAATGGCGGGAATGGCGGGAATGCATTGAGTGGTCATCATTCATTATTATCATTATTAAGGAAACTAAGTGCAGTATTAATTTATGCCGTCGCCGATCTCACCCACGCGTTGAACTTGTCCACCTGCAACTTGTCCGTCGCCCACGATGTGACGATTCGCACGACGGTCCTGTCATCCGCCGTCTGATCCCAGACATAAAACCGAAATCTCTCTTCTAGTCGCGCCACCAGTTGATCCGGTAAGATGGCGAACACCTGATTCGTTTCCGTTGGCGCCGCCAATTCATATCCAAGGGCCTCGAAATTCGCCGAAATCAAGTGCGCCATCGCCGTTGCATGCCTCGCCATCTGGAAGAAGAGCTCGTCTCGGAACAGTTCCGCGAACTGTGCCCCCATGATGCGGGATTTAGCCAGGAGCGCCCCATGTTGTTTCAAATGGAACGCGAACCCGTCGGCCAAATGGCTGCGCACCACCATCGCCTCGCCCAGCAAAGCGCCCATCTTAGTGCCCCCGATCCAAAAGATATCCGTCATGTCGACCAGGTCGCGCAGCGTCAGGTCGTTCGCGGGGGCGCTCAATGCCACTCCAATCCTCGCGCCGTCCATGAACAGCAGTAGGTCCAGCCGCCGGCACGTCGCCGACAGAGCCGCCAACTCGCTCTTCGTGTATAGAGTACCCAGCTCCGTCGCGTTGGAGATATACACGAGCCGCGGCTTGGCCGAGTGCGGGAAGAATTGATTCTGACGCACCACGCGCTCCAGGTTCTTGGGCGTCATTTTCCCTCTTACTCCCGGTACGAGGATCGTCTTGTGTCCGGTGGCTTCGATGGCACCCGCCTCTTTGCTGACGATGTGTCCGGTCTCCACGGTCAAGACGGCCTCGAAGGGCCGTAGACAGCTGGCGATGCCGATGAGGTTGGCGGCCGTGCCACTGGGGATGAAGTGAATGGCGACCTCATCCTCCGTCGCCTGGAGATGCTGGCGGATCAATTGGCGCGCTTCGGCGCTATACGTGTCGTTTCCATAGGAGATCTGTTGGGTGGTGTTGGTGCGCAGGAGAGCCTCGAGGAGCTGTGGGTGGGCACCTTCGCTGTAGTCATCCAGGAAGCTGTAGGGAGGGGAAAGGAGGTCATCCTCCGCTTCGGTATATTTTGAAAGCATTATTGAAACGACGGGCCAGATAGGATCATGATTCAGAAAAGATTGGCGGGGAGAAAGGGAAAAGCATGGAATAAATAGCGGCGACCGTCGGGAATATTTTGGCTCGGGAATGACTCAAATTAAGTTATTCCCGCGCGGGAATCCGCCCGAAATAGCATCAAACAAGTAAATTACTGTGCATTCATACAATCTAGTAATAGGAGGCGAAATCCTTGATCCTGTAATAGGTCAGCTGCAGTCGCATTTCGAGGCGCTGCTTGACTCTCAGATCATTCATCTCCGATACCTCGAAAAGCTCCTCCCAATGCTCTGGCGAAGCCCGACGTATCTTTAGTTCTTCAAATTCCAAGAAATCCACCTCGTTATAAAACCCGTCATAGGGCTTTCTCACCTCGGCGCCGCCCTCCAGAAAGCCCACAACTGCCCGCCAGTGATGCTCTCTTGTACATAGGTGAAGGACGTTCGGGGGTGGGTAGAGGCTCAGGGGCGGGTCGAATTTGGTCCGCATATCTCGGTCTGTCAGCAACGACGGGAACTTTTCGAAAAGAAAGACCACGAACATTATGGCGCCGGCGCGGGAGCACTCCGACCAGGCTATAGACTCAATGATCGCAAAGAAAACGTCCAGAGGACGGGGCCATCGGTTACGGCCTGGAGGTGTCAGATCCCGCAGGCGGAATCCATGCTCGATCGACAACGTTAGCAAGCTGAGGCCATCGCGTCTGCTCAGGATCGCTCTCAACTCTGTATACAATCTGATCCTGCATCCCCCTCTGATAAGTGGCGAGACAAGATCAACACTGTAATCGAAACTGTCCGGGGATATTTTGCAGTCGGAGTAAATATGCGCCCTCCCGTACATGCAGGCATACATTAAGGGGCTAGGCACAGGATCAATGCCTGGCCATAGCCAATGAAAGTCCTCCGAGTCCCATAGTTCATCCTCATCCGCGCTCAAATAGCATGGATGATACTTCGTTAGGTCCACATCTACATTGACCTTGTACTTCAACAGCATGTTTACAGCATCAAGCCGGCCATTCAAGAGAGCCGTGCCTAGCAAGCGACGTCCGCCAGGGCCAAAGCAGTTCGGGTCTACCCCTGCATCTAGAAACGCTCGAAGAGATCCCATAAAATTCTCAATAACAGCTATCTCGATCTGCGAGGCAGACGGCGCTGGGTCGATACAAAACAAGGTACACGAGGAATTCCATTCTTGGTTTTCGAAACATCGTGCGGCAGGAAGCAAGCATAATCTCTAGCTGTCTCCTGACTTGTGTCTTTTAAAAGCTGATGTAGGCTCTTGCAGACCCGCGAAATTCTGCTAATGCTAACATGGTCTAGGTACTGCGTACATCCCAGGACGAGCTCCACGGGAAATCTGTGGAAACCCGAGGAAGACATTGCGAGTTTCGTACGTCTCTAATGTAGTTCTCTTGAAGGATGAAGTCGCGCCAGCAAGATGGGTGAACTATGTGCAACGTATGCTGATTCATGCTTCTATATATTCGTGAGCACACCCATTTAGGTGCGGGACATTCCATGGAATCTTGAATGAGTTCCTGGGCCTTTCCCTTTGGATCCATCTGAACACATGCAGGGGGCCGGGATGTTCCTTGGTCATCGAACATATACACTGGAGAATGAAGAAAAAAGGAAAGAAAAGAGAGGGGAAAAAAAGGAAGCCCTATGTAGACTTAACCCTAATAAATCTGGGATAGGGAATAAAACACGAAATATTCACTAACGAAACGGATTTCTAAGGAGACTTTTAGTTTCTTTCGTGTCAGACTCCCATGATCTTTACAATCAAGTATCAGAACTTTCACCCTCTCCTTCTTTAGGCCTCTTCTCCTGGGTCCCATACTCCGTCTCTAGTTCCGTCCTCAATTCCAATTCCTTTGCAACCCAGACCAAACAAAATCCAAAGAGGCTGATGCCTAGCCCGATCCACCAAATCGTCTCCAAACTACGGATATAAACAGTGACCACCTCGCTCCAAATGTTGCCCTTGACATCGCTCTTGAGTGAATGACCCTGGCTGGCGAACGTATACGCACCTCCCTCTCTCAGCTCCTTCCTCAACCACTCCGCTTGAATTCGGCCCCGTGCCAACTCTCCCTTCCAGACACCGTTAAACACGATTGACGGAATAGTCACACCCCAGATATACCCGAACGTCCGAATAAGGCTGTACGTGGCCGACGCCGATGCCACGTCAGCCTCCGACAACGCGGCCATTATGGCAGGAAGCAACGTCGATAAAATCATACCGGCACCTGCACTACCGATGAGCTGATAAAAGACCCAAGCCAACTTGCTCGTACTCTCACTTAGAAGAGTGAATAGCCCGAAACTTATAGACGAGAGCCCGAAAGCAGTCGCGTGGATGGGCCTGTAGACTCCCAATTTGCTGAGAAGAGTGCCTGCAGCCGCGGCGAAAAAGAGTCTTCCGATGGCAAAGGGGAGGAAGTTGATTCCAGATCGGAGGACGGTAGTGCTCTTGACGGCTTGGAAGTAAATCGGGAGAAAATAGGACGTTGCTTGGACTAAAATGGAGGAGAGCAAAGTCAAGGCAAAGTCGATGGCCGAGGTACGGTTAGTAAACAGTCGGTTAGGGACGCTGGGGTGTTTGGTGAAGGATTGTTGGACATGGAATCCTATCCAGCCCAGGGCTCCAAGACTAGAGGGACAAAAACTCGCCAGGATGACCAGGGGTGCTGGATTCCGCCGGTTACGAGACTAAGCACGAGAGAAACCATGCTGGGGATTAAGATCAGGTTGCCGAGGTAGTCGATCTGGTTGAACTTAGATGCTGGTGTATGTGACCCCGTGCGAACACGCATGCAGAACAAGATGACTGTCAGTGCGACTCCACAGATGGGAATATTCAGATAGAATATCCAGCGCCAGTTTGCCTCCGCTAGGGCCCCACCAAGCACAGGACCCAAGGCAGCTGCGAGCCCGGACCATGAGAACATGAGGCCGAGATACTTGCCACGCTCACGAAGGGGGACAAGATCGCAGAACACGATGTCCAAGAGCACGTAAATCCCTCCTGCCCTGACGCCCTGGACGGTGCGGCCGCCAATTAGCATGGCGGGATGGCGTGCGCCTCCGGCGATGCCGCTACCCAGAATGAAGAGCGCGGTTGACCAGATTAGGGGAATGCGGCGACCGAAAACGTTTGCGAGCTGGCCCATAAGCGGTTGCAGTACAGATGAGGCAAGGACGAACGAGTTAGCTATCTAGATGAATTGGGTGGCGCCGCCAATGTCATCGGTGATGGTTGGAAGGGCCGTCGTGATAATTGCCACGTCCAGCGCGGAGATGAAGGCCAGGAGGCAGAGAGCGGCAAATGTCCCCCAGAATTACATGGTCTGTTTGGAAATTTTGGAAGTGCCTGGCTGCTGTGAGGAAGTCGTAGGAGAGATCCTGGAAATGAAAGTATCACTATGAAATATGGAGTAGAAAGCCACGAATTCCGACTAGAAGGGGTATTATGTCGACAACTGAGCTATAAATACGCTGAACAGACAAAGAACTCGTGCGCCAACTCTGCCGCATCAGTCTCTGCTAGGCGCTAGCTAGGAGAAACAGAAAAGTCCGACTAAAGCAACTGTCGATCTTCCACTCCCTTCGAGTCTCTCGCTGAGCATTTGCCCTCTAGTAACACCCATACAATTCCATACGTTGAACATCTAGGTATTGACGAAAGCGATAGCCAGTATTATGAATATCTTCGAAGTGGAAAGGAGGAGGAGAAGGAAAGGGAAACCAAAGACCAACAAGGAAAGGAATTGGTTGATGGCTCATCAAAGAACTTTCCTGGCTCCCCAACCTGTTGGGCGTCGTCTAGTAAGTAAGAGATACTGACAGGGAGTACTGAGTATAAGTGAACAGCCACCATGAGGCGAGGCTAGCAATGGGAGAATGGGCGAATGGGTCTACACCCCGTCTGCTCAATTACACAGTTTAGTGGGTCCGGATTCCATCAGCCAACCGCTACCTGCGAGATTGACCGATGTAGACGCAACCAGTCCTGGTAAGGGGCAGGCCGCTTGGCTTTGTAAATCAAGATTGAATGGGTTCCATGAATTCTCCCCGTTCTGACCGCAGATTATGCTTTGTGGTCCTGGTCGACTTTACGCTACCGGCGCCGTGATGAACGTGATATTGACCCAGACTATCCCAGACTATAATTATCAGCTGGCAGATCCGAGCGCTCGTCATTGACCTGTTGAGGTTCTTGTCGGTCAAAATGCACAGACCAAGTTGATATTCTCGCCGTCTCTAAGGAGAAGCTCGGCGGCCTTGTTAGGGCTGGGCCGTCTTAACACCGTATTTTCTTTGTTTGCTTGTGACCAAACGCGTTTCTACTTCTTTGCTATTTCTTGCCCAATTATATCACTGTCTCAGTTTTGGGAGTACTAAAGGGGCCCGTCATTTGCCCGCAACCCCCGCTGCCAGTCCCAGTCCTATTCGTCCTCAACACAGCCTCCCGGTTGAGAGAGTCAGTGCTACTTGTAGCAACAACCTGCTGGCCTGCATTTCGGCTCCATGACTGCCACGCATATTTCCCCGAGGTTGGGGTAATTCTTGAACTACCTACGGCAGTCGTAACTTCAATTGCAAACTTCAAGACTTTCATTCACACACCCCCTTGACCCCAATTTCAAGCTGAAAATTCCTATATCGGAATGAATATTGAACGCAATATGCTCGCAAAAGCAGCCATCCAGGCCTTGTCCTAGGTTCTGTCCCCAAACCAGGTTATTCAGCAAGGTACCGATGAATTTCAGGTACTGAACGGATCTTACCTTTCTGCCTTGTAGAGTGACATCACTCCAGCCTGCATTATTCGGCCATCCAGCAAGGAAGACGTCAAATTCCTGCGAACAATTCATCCCTTCGTTGACCGAGGGAGATGGCGTTTGCGATTCGTGGTGCGGGCCAACAGCCTGCCCCGGATTGTTCCAACATTCAAGATGGCATAACTCTGGACTTGGGGCTCCTGACTGGAATCGAAGTAAAAGAAGGCCTTGTGTCCATCGCAGCTGGCGAACGTTGGGGATCGGTCTACGAAAAGCTGGATGCCGCCGGGCTTGCTGTCACCGGGGCTCGCTCGTCCCGGGGCAGAATTGGTGGACTGGCACTTCAGGGTAAGTCAGTCCGACTCACAGCTCATTTCCACGTACACGTATTAATTGTCAACCTAGGTGGTCTTTGACGAGACCCACCTAATGATCAGCATCGAGTACGCGGCGCAGTTCGGCCAAACAATGTGTCAGAACCAGGTATACTATACTCAGAATGTCGAGAGGCCCGTCGTGCTGGAGCCGTTCACAGCGATCGAACCGCAGGTCGATCAGCTAAACTCCATGCGATTGCAAAGTCTGAAAGAGGCCGCCTCGGAGCAAGCATCTGTGGCCATGGATCAGCTGAGGTCAGCATATTCCAAGATTCTGTCTGTTTCAACATGAATAAGAAGTACTGATGTAACATAGATGTGCATATATGAATATCACGGTTAAGGCAGACGTTGCAACGCTACAGGCTGCTAGTCAGATCTATACTGCCGCGATCGAGCCCGTCAAGCCTCTCGAAGGACTGGTCTGTTCCTTCACTCTCCAACCATACCCGATGACCCTGCTGAAGAAATCCGCCGCGCATGGTGGCAGCTCCCTTGGCTTGGAGGCGGCCAATGGACCAGTGGTGTCCGTTCTTCTGTTGACGTACTGGAACAACCGCAGCGATGATGAGCAGGTCCTAGGTACCATGAGGGGTGCGCTGGAAAAGATCGAGAACGATGCTGAGTCCAGAGGTCAGAGTGTTCCGTTCCGGTTCATGAACTATGGCTTTACGTTCCAGGACTCCATCGCTTCATATGGATCTGAAAACAAGCAGAGAATGCAGAATGTGAGTCGTAAGTATGACCCCGAAGGCGTGTTCCAGAAGGGTGTTCCGGGTGGATTCAAGTTGTTCATTTGAGGTTGTAACTATTGTAACACTCTCTCCCTATCCTGGATGCTGGGCTTTTATTTTTCTAGCAATTGAATATGCGTATTACCAGACTGCACTTGGTTGTTAAGTAGAGGCGAAGATGTCGTCATAGAGATATATGGCCTCAGGCACCACGGCGGCGGACCGGGAGGCGGACCGGAAGCCGTAGGGAGCCCAGCCGGACCGACAGCGGCAACGGACCGTCCGGAGATGGTTGGAGAAGAGAGTGTTCTTTGATTTCTATACTCTCCACTCTCCTCTCCACTCTATACTCGCAAGTCCGTTTAAATCATAGCTTTGTCCACATCACAATGTTCGGGATTTCACATCCTTGGGTCAATTGCCTCTTCCTACTGTGTGACAGCGTCCCTTTCTTGTCCATCTTGATTTTCGATTCCAATAGACAGGGGAATTACAGACCATGGACAAAACCCAGCAGATCATCATCATAGGCGCAGGCGTCTTCGGCCTCTCCACCGCCCTCCGCCTTAAACAGGAAGGATACACCTCCGTCACAGTCCTAGACCGTGCAGTGCCCCCCGTCCCCGATGGTTCTAGCGTCGACATCTCCCGCATCATTCGATTCGACTACGGCGATGCTGTCTATGCACGCATGGGGAAGGAGGCCTTCGATCTGTGGAAAACACCTGAGTACCGCGAGGCGTTCCACCAAACGCCATGTATGTGGGTAGCGCAAGAATCAAGCGATGATCAGATCATCCAGCCTGCGGCGCATGACTATTCGATCAAGACGAGGAAGGTCCTAACAGAGATGGGGCAGCCCTGGGAGCACATTCCCACACCCGAGGCCGCGAGAAAGAGATTCCCAATGTTAACAGGGAAGCTGGCCGTGCCGGGGTTCGATGCTTTCGTGAATGAGGCGGCCGGGTGGGCGGATGCCGGTCTGGCGATTGCCAGGTTAGCAGCTCGCTGTGCGTCTGCTGGCGTGGGCTTCGTCACGGGGACGAATGGGCAGGTTGAGGAGTTCGAGAAAGCGGTTGACGGCACGGTGACGGCGGTGCGCACAGCGAACGGCGCTCGAGTGACCGGCGACAAGTTCATCGTGGCTACCGGCGCCTGGACCCCTAGTCTGGTGCCCGCCTGGAACTCCATGATCGCGGCTGCTCAAATCGTCGGGTATATGCGCCTAACGCCCGAGGAGATGATTGAGTTGAAGGATATGCCGATCTACTTCAACTTCTCGACCGGCTTCTTTTGTTTTCCGCCACATCAGCCGACTGGTTATCTCAAGGTGGCCTGCCATTCGTACGGCTACACCAACTCCTCCGAGCAGGGCGTCTCGGCGCCGCCGAAGCTGCCGCCGTCATCACGCGCCAACTTCATTCCCGAAGATGGTGTCGAGAGACTAACTGCCGGAATGCGGGACATGATGCCGCGGTTTGCCTCGAGAGGCTTCGAGAGAGTCGGCCTGTGCTGGTACAATGATACTCCGACGGGCGATTTCATCCTAGATTATCATCCCGAGCACAAGAACTTGTTTATCACCACCGGCGGTAGTGGACAGTAAGTCTTGTTGAATTTACTCGGAAACAATCCCGCAATGCTAACGAGGGGTATCTTAGTGCATTCAAGTTTCTACCCAACGTCGGAAAGTACGTCGTCGGCTGTTTCGAACGAAGCCTTTCCGCCAACTTGTTGGAGAAATTCAAGTTCCCGTTGGAGTTCAAGGGTCGTCGGGATGCATTCAAGGGAGACGGGAGCCGCGGAGGTCCGAAGAGGAGAGAACTTCTCTCTCACGAGCAAACCAGCTTCGGGTCGGCGCTCAAGACTGCTACACCGATCACCAAGCAAAGCAAGCTCTAGATAATTGATCACCAAGGAAGGAAGAGGAGATATATGCATCATGTACGCGGTCATATGTTTTATTTATAAAGTAAGGTTATCCCAAGAATTTATTCAAGACGCGAATAATATTCGCTCAACTGATCGTAAATCATTCCACGTAGCTCATGAGGTTGTAATCATCGAGTGAGTCTGGACCTGGTCACAGATGCTCGGGCATATGACCACTCGATACCATCCAGTCTGGAAGGTCGGGAATCGCGTTCCCAAACTCGTCGCTATTACTTCTTCCCGCAAACGACCACCCGGCCGGGTCCTCGGCCATTAAGGCCAATACACGCCCATCAAGAAGCGGCATTTCCGGGGCGGAGAGATCCGGTCGCATCGACTCATTTTCATCTCTATTCTGATGGTCCTCTACTACCCCCGGAGCTGCTGAGGAAGGGAAATGCTCTGGTAAACGCACTACGGCTTGTCGGTTTGGCGGCGGAACTAGGTCGTTGTGTTGGGCCAGCCCCCCAGAGAATGACGAAGAGCTGATGTCCAGAATATCCCACATAAGTGCTTCGTCTTCCATCGACATTTTAGGAATGTTTGAGGGAGTCGGCATACTCGGGAGCGCCCCGGAATATCCATCCTGGTTGTAGTAAAGAGATCCGAAGTTTCGTCTTCGATGCGCCAATTCGCTTACCCGACCAACCTAGCGCTAGATTAGCAGTTGCTGTTGAATGGTCGAAAATCATACATACCAAGACTCTGATAATACTCCAGTTTACAGAAACCTTTGTCATAAAATCAATAAGGATCTGGAATTCCTTGTTCACGAGTCGGGCAACGTCCGGGTTGCTGCTAACGGTATATTCGAGCTGGATAGTGGCGGCAATAGCAGCGAGGTATGCTAGAAAGGGATCATAAGGTCGGGAGTCGGCATTCGACATTTCCTTAATCAAGCGAGCAATCCACCTCGAGTGAAGAAGGGAGCTTTCGAATGACTTCTGTAGGAACGTTGAAGATAGATTACCGGTGATGTGTCGCAGTTTGATCATAATCACGAAAGGATGATGTAGAAGACATTGAATGGAATGAAGGAGAAACTGCACACACAGCCATGTGGGCAAATAGGCCCCATTCCGCGATTTTTTGCCGGCCCGTAACTCGGACTCAACGTTGAGATAACGGTGGGCATTAGGGAACTGGGTTTCAAATTGCATCCACTCGGATTCAAGAATGGCAAAGGCCGATCCGGATTGCCACGGAGCAAGTGCCTTTTCGTCGGGAGGCTCAAAAACATACTCGGTGGCCTTGCCCCAGAGTGCAAACAGTCGGATCAAGCAGGAGGTAATGCTGTTGTCCACCGTATCGCCTTCCTTGTCTAGTTCATTCTGCGAGGTGGAACCAGGGCTTGACTCTTCCGGGTCGGGCGAAGGGAAAGGAATAGTATATTGCTTATCCGCCAAGCAAAGTGAATAGTTGCGAGACGCATTATAGGTGCGGTCGAGCATAAAGAAGGCCCACGTTATGCGTCTCCGCTCCTCCAGGTGGGAACTATCCAGAGATGAGGAGAAGAGATCCTTGTTCAGTCCCGCAGACTGGAGAGTTCGAATTCCTAATGCACACGACATATACGCTCGATGAGCTCGTCCGTCGGCGAAGTCCACTTGCGCCATCAAAAAAGTGCCCTGGAGAAACGAAAGCCCCATCTGGCTGTCTCTATAACGATTTGACAAAGTATCCCAGGCTTTGTCGACCCATTGCTCGGCCGGGGGTATTGTGCTGCCGAAAGTCACACGAGGATGGAGAGAAAGACGAGATGTTAAGGCAACTAGCGGGAGTGCAATTTCTGCGGGTAATGACGAAGCCCTCCCCAACAACCAATCTTTCGAGAAGACACAAAAGGGCTGATCATGAAAGTACGCGAGATATACTTCGACTTGGGATTTGATATAGTCGGCGAGCGAAAAAGTGCTTGAAGACGTTACTGTCACTACTCCCGAAAGAAATGATGAATAGGCATACCTGTATACCTCCCGGTCCTCATTTAGACCAGTAAATGGAGCGGCAAGTCCGCCCGTGCTAAGTCGGCCAGAGGGATGGTGTGAATCGATAGAGAGTAAACTACTGCCTCTGGACAGGCTCTCCCTGGGGGCAAGCGTTCTGAGTAAACCAAACACGTTGCAAAATCTTGAGATGGCACCTACTGCAGAATGCCCGCCATCTCGTCCAACCTCCTCTCGATGCGCTGCAGGCGCTGTGAACCGGCATCCTCAGCCTGGCTCTCCTCGCTCGGCTCGTTCAAGCGACGTGCCGAACCAGGTCCCGGTGCCGGTGCTGCCTGCGACCCGTAGGAGCAGCGCTGTCCCAAGCGTTGACATAAGGAACAAACGGGCTTTTCGCCCGGGCAGCGCGCTTTCTTACGACTGGTACCCGCAGAGGAGAGGGCCAACAGGTTAGCATTTGGATTCTATCCCAATCGAGTAGTGTGCGCATTCATCCACCATGGACCTACCGACAAGGACCGCAGGCCTGGCGGGCACGCCTTACAGAGACTTTGTGAATGGCGTAGTTGTCGCCCGGTGAGGGCATTCTATTGACTTGGGAATGCTGTATCCCCACAAGATGGATGCCCCAATGAGACGCGAGAGGGAAGAAGAAAAGGCGGAAGATAGAGAGGAGAGCGATTCCATCCGAATGGCCGCCTTTCCTGATCGGGAGGCCTCGGGCGCCTGCTCACGTGATCTGCGCACACCAGGCAAACCGCCCCGAATCTGCAGTCCCTTCCAACTCTTGCAAGCATGGACGAGGACCCCGAGATCGTTGTCTGGACCGAGCTCGACGTTCCTCAGGGCGAAGAGCTCGACTCGGCCCAATGGACCCGCTATTTTGAGCCCATGATTCAGGCGCCGGGCTACGAGAATTCGGCATGGGCAAGAATCAAACAACGGCCGAATATGATTATGCTGGTTACCTGTAAGTCAAGGGTCTAACTAACGACATCCATCAATCCGCTCGCTCATCACCGTCCATAGTATGGAAGTCCACCTCTGCACTGAGAGAATTCACCGCCTCGCCCTCGGCCCAGCTCTACCGCGAGAGTCTTGCGGCGAGAGCAATCATCCCCATGGCCTATCATGAGGTGGTGATCTATGGTATTTTGAATTGGTTTGGCGCACTCTCTCGGTCGTACGTCCAATTATTCTGGGTGTACTTCCCTGCTCCTGTCACAGACGACCAGCGGAAACGGGTTTCCAAAATGCCGGGAATCTGCCCACCAGCCATGGGCCCCGGAGTGCCCCGGAGTCGATTGCCGCAGACGCGTCTCCCCCAGCAGTTATGGACCACTCCGACCGATTGGCGGCATGGTCAGGAAGTAGAGCTGATGTTCTGGCCGCATTTCTGGCAGAATGAAGAGAAAGCTGAGTTTCGGCACACTCCCACGTCAATTGTTGTGGACCACCGCATTGTGGGCACTAGAACCAGGATGGAGGAATTCAGCGCCGAGTTAGAAGCCGTGGGTCCGGTAGAATGGAAAGAGGATTTTTGTCAGTTCAAGCTATTATCTGATATCTGAGTATATGTGACAATTTCAACCAGCAAGACATTGTCTTGCTTGTATATATATAGTGAGGGGATTAATAAATCACCTAGCATGGGATCGATAGTAGATGCAGGAAGAGGATGCCGAACCCTCGTCCACGGGCACCAGATCGGGTTTAGCGGCATGGGTTATGCATCCCTTGCGTCACTCATTTTGACTCAATCCTCTTGAATACGCAACGAGTTGAAGATATAAGTAATCGCAGCATCCTTACCGGATGCCTGCACTTCTGAAGACATCATATCTCTGATAAAATCCCCCTGATGTATGGCTATATCGTGTTCACGGCTTTTCTAGCCACTATTTTCGGCCTTTCATTCCGTTGGCTGCGAGCACCGAATTTGCCCACAATCAATGCCTACCCAGGTGACTTTACAAAGAAGAAAGCACGGGAGGAATTTCTATCAGATGCGCAAACCTTGCTTGCTGAGGGGGCCCGAAAGGTTGGCGCCTATCGCAGCGAACAGGAAATAGTAGCTAATTGCTCTACACCTAGTTCAATGGCCCTTTCCGCATCGTTACTTCGCCAGGGTCTCGTGTCATTCTACCTAAATCTTGGACCCCATTCGTCAAGAGCTGCAAGGAGCTGGATCATCTCGCGCTTGTTCGTGCTGTGAGTATCAAAAATATAGAAAAAATGACATAAAACATGATTAAAACTCCAACCAGTGAAAGATGACGACCATCCAAATGATACTGACGAACATATTAGGAATATTTCGGAGGTATTCCCGGGTTAGAAGGGCTTAGTGCATTTCTTGACCCCAACCATATTTTGATCGATGTTATCAAGATGAAACTGAGTCAGAATCATCGTGAGTTACCTTACCATCATGACTCAGGGCGGCCTGGCTCATGAATTCAGAATGCCAGACCATGCATGATCATAGCGCGGATGTCATGGAGGAAACATGGACTAAGCAGACCGGTACGTAACCTTCATTACGTAGCTGAATCTGTGTTGAGTTTATTCAGAATGGCACCTTGTGGATTTCAGCCCGGATATACTCAAGTTTACAGCCCGCGTGGCATCTTCCATCTTCGTCGGTCATGAACTCGCCCGTAACCAGGAGTGGCAGACCCTCATAACAACCTACACAGTAGCCTTCTTCAATAGTGTTCGCGCTCTACGCAACTGGCCAAAATTTCTTCATCCAGTTATTCACTGGGTATTACCGGACTGTCAAAAGGTGCGCGGCCAGGTTCGTCTAGCCCGTCGAATTCTTACCCCCGTTCTAGAAGAGCGAACCGCCACGAAGAAGTCTGCAGAGACCAAGGGGCATAAATTGAAGTTTGATGACACGATCGAATGGACTGAAGAGGTTGCTAAGGGCCGCCCCTATGACCCGATAGCGATTCAGCTTGGCCTGGCTATGGGCGCTCTGCATACCACAACGCAGCTGATGCAGCAAGCTATCTTGGATATCTGTGCGCACCAGGACCTGATCAAGCCTCTAAGAGAAGAGATAGCACATGCAGTTCAAGAGAGCGGATGGACCACTGCTGGGTTGTTCAAGATGAAGCTATTAGATAGTGTGATTAAAGAAACCCAGCGCCTCAAGCCAGGATTGCTAGGTTGGTTACCCCTATGATCCCAAGCCATCTCTGCTCGGGCTAATAAACCAGCAAATCTTGAACGTACGACCACGGACAAAGTCACCCTTCCCAACGGGATCACACTGCCCCCCGGCACCAACGTTGGGGTAGAATGCAACATGTGGTCCGACGCCGAGACTTATTCGTCTCCGGAGAAATTTGACGGATATCGATTTCTCCGAATGCGCGAGGCCGGAGACAACACGGCTGTCTTGTCAGCGACTAATTCCGAGCATGTCGCGTTCGGTATTGGTCGGTCTTTATGCCCGGGACGGTTCATGGCAGCGAGCGAGATTAAAATTGTGATTTCAAGATTGCTTCTGGATTATGATATTAGGTTAGCGGAGGGGTACAAGCCTCGCGTTATACATTATGGGTTTGAGATGCTGAGCGATCCGTTGGCAAAGGTGGAGGTTAGAAAGAGGTCTTTCTAAGGATTGCTGTATACGCACTATGTTTGCTTCACTGGGTGTTTAGACGATCCTTAAATTCAGGATTCGTACATTGGATGGGATCACATCCCGAATGTCGAAGTTTCCCCCCAACTGCTCTGACAGCACAAAATCCAAAGCAAGCTTCTTTAGGCTCACCAGTTGCGGTAGAAGAGCTTTCAGTTCGGTCGCCGCGTCATCCGCCATGACCCCATCATGATCAACATGCAGTACTTCCAGCGTCGAAGCATGGGCGGCAATTGCACGTAGCATCGCACCCGTGACAAATTCCGATTTGAGCTCCCCGGCAAAATGCACCAAGTGCACCTCTTTCAGGGGGTTCAACTTCTCCACCACCTCCGGCGTGACCGCAACCCTTCTCGTCAAACCCTTACTCTCCATCCCGTTATCGAGATCATTCGAGGACGGCGGTCTCCGAAGCACCAACGCTTCTAATTTCGGCAAGCCCAATAGGATCCGCAGCGTCTCGTCTGGTCCTGTCGCCGCATACCCCGTAAACTCCAGCCGTCTCAAATTGGCCGCATGAGACAGAAATTCAAGGTCCACCGGCCCCGCCTGAAATTCCAACTGCCGCAAGCCAGGCAGTAGCCTAACAACCATCTCCAGCACCAGCCCCTGCTCAACGATCAGGGGGTCTTTGTCGTCAACGTCGTAGTTCCCAGATAACGTGAGGCTCATCTTCCGGATCCCAGGAAGTGCAGTCAACGTCTCTGCAAAACGTCGAACGGGCTCCCCCGTCCCTCGAGATACAGCGTGCTTGAGCTTCTGCATTACGCTCGCTTTCCCGCTCGTCAAGGAATCCAATTTCCCAACTCGAGATAAGTATGTCGCTTCCCAGCTCCCCGGCGCGACCTGCGTCCCAGGGATTAAATGACGGTGCCATTCCCGAAACGGGGTTAGAGAGCTTTCGAGGCAGTTGACGTCCACAATGCGGATTAGGTGCCGGAGATGAGGCGGACCTCGAGACGCCCAGGACGCTAGTTTTGGCAGGGAGTCGAACGCCCGGACAAAATGAAGAAGGATCGTCAATGCTTCCTCGCGGATTTGGCGGCATACGTGAAGTAGAGGCTGGTGGCCTACCGTTGGGTAGAAGATCATTTCGTAGATGGCGTAGCGGAGCTCTACGGGGATCGTAAGCAACGTGGCTTTTGACATGGGTTGCGCCATTATTGTTGTCTGGTGGATGATCGTGGAATAGACGGTGGGAAAAGAAGCCGTGAGTATCTTCTGGCTCCACCAGAAGGGCTTTGGGGGGTTACTTGAAGAAGCGAGAAAGAAACCGCAGACGGAGGAATGAAGAAGAAAGGTGGTGAGACAGGGATTACTGTAGTTGTCTAATCAACTAGTGAACTAGTTAAGTAGTTAGTTAGTTAGCTAACTAGTCAGAGATATACACAGATCACGTAAGCACTACAGGATGGATGGGGTGACCGAAATGGACAATTTGAGATGGGATCAGCGGTAATTGGGATGTGTAGACTCAAGACTCAAGGCTGTAGGTAGTTAGAGCAGGAGGAAATCAGGGGGACCGACGGTCGCAAACAGCGCAAACAGCGCAAACAGCGCAAGCGATGCAAACCTGCCAAACACTGTCGGCTGAGCTGATCAGTCCGATGTCGACTCGATACTTCCAGCAGATGAAGTTCGAGGAAGAATCACACTGCCCATGCCGTGGAAACCTGCTCCGTACAGATAACTACGGCGAGTGCATCGATGTTCAAGATCTTATTATTATTAGTACGGTCCGCACAACGGAGTCACGATCCTCCGGATTAGGCAACCACAAACTCCGCATGACCTCATCGATCCCCGACCGGAGATCGGCCAAGTCAACTCAACTGAACTCAACCTTCACCCCTACTGCCACGCCATGGACTTGTCCCACGACGAAGCGGTGGCCACCGTTTCCCGTCAAGTCCAGGAATTCCACCGTCGCCAGCAACCCTTTCGCATCTACCATGGCTCCACCAACAGCACGCGCGATTCACCCTACGGCCGCGACAACATCGTCGACACCGCCCACCTCACCCACGTTCTCCAGGTTGATCCGATCGCCCAAACGGTCCTGGCCGAGCCCAACGTGCCCATGGACCAACTCGTGCGGGCCACGCTGGTCCACAACCTCGTCCCGCTTGTCGTGATGGAGTTCCCTGGCATCACGGCGGGCGGCGGCTTCTCCGGTACTTCCGGCGAGAGCAGCTCCTTCCGCCATGGTTTCTTTGACGCCACCGTCAATTGGATTGAGATTGTACTCCCCGACGGCGAGGTGCGCAGGGCATCGCAGAGCGACGACCCCGAGCTCTTCTGGGGCGCCGCTTCGGCGTTTGGCACCTTGGGCATCGTGACGCTGGTCGAGATCCAGTGTCGCCCAGCCAAGCCTTTCGTGGAGCTCGCCTATCACTCCGCGTCTGACATGGATCAGGCAATGCAGGTCTTCCGACGTGCCACAGCTGACCCAACGATTGAATATCTCGATGGCATCGTCTTCGCCAAGAACCACGTCGTCGTCTGTGCCGGACGACTCGTAGATTCTCCGCCCGAGGGTCGTCCCGTCCAACGATTTACCCGCGCGCAAGACCCCTGGTTCTATATCCACGCGCAGCGACGCAGCCCTGCTCCGTCGTCTGGGTCCAACACTCCCCCGTCGGCCATCCACTATATTCCCCTGGAAGATTACCTCTTCCGGTATGACCGTGGTGCCTTTTGGACGGGCCGGTTCGCCTATCAATACTTCATTACCCCCTTCAATCGCATCACCCGCTATGTCCTGGACTTCTTCATGCACACGCGTGTCATGTACCATGCCCTGCATCAGAGCGGTTTGTCCAGCCATTTTATCATCCAGGACGTGGCCGTGCCGTACCATGCCACTAGGGATTTCATCGACTGGCTGGACCATAAGGACTCGTTCGGCTCGTACCCCATCTGGCTGTGTCCACTGCGACATTCGGAGGGGGTCATGTCGCGCACGCAGGACGCGTCCCACGCAAACACGGAGACAAACTCCAACCCAGACCCGGATGCCGGATACATCATGAACTTCGGCCTATGGGCTCCGTCGCCATTCCACAACGATCGACAAGCATTCATCGCGCAGAACCGTCGGCTGGAGGGTAAGGTGCGGCAGCTGGGTGGCAAGAAGTGGCTGTATGCGCATGCGTACTACACCGAGGACGAGTTCTGGTCGATCTACGACAAGAAGAGATATGATATGCTGCGGGCGAAGTATCGCGCGTCGTATCTGCCGGACCTGTATCAGAAGGTACGGGTGAATCTGGTTCCCGGTAGCGAGAGCGCGTCATGGGAGAGCTGGATCAGGGGCCTGTTCTGGAGCGTATGGCCAGTTTCGGGGCTGTACGGAGTTTACAAGGCCTGGCGAGGAGGCGAATATTTGATTCGCAAGTAACCCAGCCGACTGGCGGATGTGGGTGACTTGGTGTATGCGGACTCTGTATGTGTAGGTAGTAGGCTAGTAGAAGAGTGGAGAAGCACCGACGTCACGGCCGAACATCTCCAGACAAATAAAGTCCCCCACTTGGACGGGTTCAGATCCTCGGTTATCTAGACCTGATCTGCATCATCCTCCACCTACAGTTTGAACAGTCTGCCCGGCACTATCGTTATCCTCTTCCTTCTCATCTCGCTCATCTGTTTCCCGCTCACCATGGAATTTCATATCAACCCCGACGACCTCCCCTCTTTAGCCGGTAAAACCATTCTCATCACCGGTATTCTCATCCCCCAACCCTAACCTCAGCCCAGACTAAACCCCTTCAACCAGGAACCAACTCAGGCATCGGTCTCGCAACCACACACTTTCTTCTCTCTCGCGGCGCAAATATCATCGCCGGCGACATACCTGCCTCTCCGCCGCTGTCTTTACCCAGTCCCGGCCCCGGCTCTGATTCCGCTATAACAATCCCTCCACCAGGCACTCTCTTCTATTTACCCACCAACGTCACCGAATGGACCAGCATCCGTGCCCTCTTCGAGCAGGGATATCAACATTTCGGCCACATCGATCACGTCTTCGCGAATGCGGGGATTCGACCGCAGAGTAATTTCCTCGAGGAGACGTTCGACGAGGACAGTCTCTTGGCACCGCCCAATCTAGGAACGGTGGATGTCAATCTGGTCGGGGTTGTGTTCACGCTGAGACTGGGCGTATATTATCTGAAGAGGCCGGGTCGGCCCCACTCGCAGTTAGCGTCCGGGGTGGCGCGGTCGAATGGCGAGAACGATCTGGAAAGTAAGATGTCACCGCGGAGCCGGGACGCCCTGCCACAAGGGGGGAAAAGCATCGTCCTCTCCGCCTCGGGCGCCTCTTTCCGCAACTTCTGCGCCGCGGACTATGCCACGGCCAAACATGGCGTCCTGGGCCTGATGCGTGGGCTGGTGGAGGATACGATCTCCCTAGGCGGGGTGCGTGTGAATGCCGTGGCGCCATCGTGGACGGATACAGGGATGGTGCCGAGGGCGTTTCTGGAGAGAGTCGGGGCGAGGGTGCAGGATGCAGAGGTTGTGGCGAGAGCGGTGGCCGGGTTATTTGGTGACGAACCAAGGCACGGCGAGTTGGTTTATATCTGGGACGGCCGGTTTTTTGAGATAAATTCGTCCGAGGGCGGCATGTTGGATGCGGTCCAGGGGATGTTGCCGGAGATGATGTCGGAGGGGGAAGCGATGAGGCGGCTACGAGTAACCAGCGGCGCGAGAGAAGTGGTAGGGTGATTTTTCTCCGGGGCGTTGAAGGACCGGATTGACAAGAATCAAATTGAAAGTCAAGAGTACTCCGTCCTGTTTGCTCGCTTGATAGAGAGAGTCTCTAGGACAGTACAATCTCCGGTGTTGTAATGTCAAGATGACTTGATATTTCATTTTTGTGTCTTCCTCTCGTTATCGAGTTCTAAATTTGTCCTGTATCTGATCGGTAACTACTGAATATATTAATGAGATCATTCCAATCATTAACGTACAAAAATAGAGAAAAGGAAACATTAGAGGAGATGTTAACCCAAAAAGCACGGCCGATTTAGTTACAATTTACCTCATTACGCCGACATAACAACATCAACAAAACCAGACCTAGACTACTTATGTCCTTTGACCAACTGTCTCAGTCTTCGCTCCAGAATAGTTCGTCCTGCAAGTGTTTTCCACACCTCGTGCGGCGCCCCCTGGACTACGTCCCAGTCCTGCAGGTTTTTCGTCACAGTAGTCAGATCCTCCTGGGTCTTGGCCCACTTCTTGCTCTTTCGAACCTCCACGCCAGAGCTGACCACCACCAAGGGCGTGTCGGCGATCTGCACATGGCGAGCCGTCTGGACTTCAGACGCCGTCATGGACCCGGCAACCAAGCTCTCCTGCAACTTGGCCTTGATGAACCTGCCCGTCTGGTAGGCGCTGCGCCCATAGACTCGATCCTCGCGCGTGCGGCCCTTGAAGATAGCGCCCGCCAGCCGGTCCAGACCCAGCGGCGAGAGCACGCCGCGCAACCAGAGGAGGAAGCCCCATCCCGGAGAGCCCACTTTGTCCAAGTAATCCTCGTGCAGGGTGTCAATTAGCAGGAGGCCCTCGATCTCGAGGAGGTGGCGGCTGGCGAAGATGCGGCTGTAGATGCCGCCCATGCCAGCGGAGGCGATGACCCAGGGCCCTTCTTCGCCGGCCAGCGCCAGCGCCTCCGACAGCGCGTCGGCGGCCATGCCGGCCGAGTAGGGCGACGGGGCGTTGTCGGACCATCCGAGCCCCGGTCGGTCCCAGTAGCAGTAGCGGTCGATGGTGCCATTCTTGTATGCGGCGTCGATGAAGGGTTGCAGAGTGTGTTCAATGGGTTCCTCGCCACCCTCGAGGAGGACAGTCGGTCGACGACGAGAAGACGCAGTGCCATCGATTTTATCGCCCGTGATGTTCCCCACGCAGGCGAGGTGAACGCGGTAGTTGTTGCTGTTAACGTAGTACTGTTTGCCGGGGGCGGGAAGCGAGGCGTCGCGGGCGCGCAGGATCAGAGTTGCGGTAAAGAGGATGACAAGGATGCCTAGGATAGCCATGACGACCGTTTGGACCAGCACGGCCAGCCATTCGCGCAGAGAGCGACGGGTCTCCTCGCGACCTGTCAATCGTTCTTCTTCCTCCCGTTTGCCCCAGGCGACGAAATAGTTCTGGAGGATATTGTAAAACGAAATCAACGTTGCCCAGACCACGGAAGCGATGCCCACCCAGCCTTCCTCGACGCGGATTCGCGGAACCCCTAGAATAATGCACATATCGACCAAGAGGAAGACGGCCAGGACAACGCCCCAGATGGTCATGGGCTTGGAAGGAACGACAAAGAACATCAGGCCAGTGACGAGATAACCGACGGTGAGCGTGGTGTAGGAGAAGGCGAAGAAGCCGGAGCCGCGGGTATGCATCATGGGAGGGCTGACGAAGATTGATACGAGCAGGAAGGTCCACCAGATAAAGCTAATGGCCAAGAAGAGCGAGGACAGGCCTCGCAGAGCACGAATGCTCCAGAGATTGTAGGGGGAGACCTAGCAATTCAATATAGTTAGACCAGTCATTGATAATCGTTGCAGGATATTAACCCAACGGAAAAACACACAGCAGGATCATCGGGATTCAGATATCCAGTATGCTCGCGCGGGAGAAGTCGTGTCCGTTCATCAGGATCGCGATCGCGATCGCGATCGCGATAGTGTTGAGAGGACTGGCGTTCGTCGTCCTCACGGTTAGGCTGGTCCCCCCCATCGGGAGTGTCTTGTTTTCTAGACCACAGTGATACCATCTTTGAAGGGTGATTGTTTGGATAGGTCTGGACTATGAGCTAAGATGAATTTAAGACTCGACCATCTCGAGGAATTGGTCTGGACAGGGAAAAGCATGGCGTCGAGGAATTTGGATAGAGTGACGTCATTCTATGACGCCGCACACAGGCGAGTGAGGTCATCTAGCACGTGACGCAGCCACTGTCCGACGGTTGGGATGCAGCATCAGAGATGGACGGAAAGGGGAAAGAGAGGGCGAGAAGGGACTGTGAAGAGGAGGGAAGAAATGGAGGGAGGAAGAGAAACGAAGAAGACAGCGAGAAGCAAAGAGAAGAGAAGAAAAGAAAAGAAAAGAACGGGTGGGGAGAATTGTCCAAAGAGGCACCGCACGGGACTCGCCTTTCCTTCCCTACGAAGCCCTAGACGGACTACTTTCCCACTCACACTGTCCTCTTTCCTGTATATCCACATCACACCCTTTCTCCATACAGTAGCTTTGTTTCCATCCCGGTCTCTGTGTTCTCCAACTGCCTTCGGGGATGGCTGCATGCTTGCCGAGTGCAGATCCACCAGTGCTTAGGTAGCGTCCTCGGCCCCACCAGCACATCAACTGATTGTAGCTAATTCAATCTAAGCTCCCCATCAACACACACTCTCTCCCCGACCAGAGTGTTCAAGGAAGATCCCTCCCAACCCTCACCACAACCCGTAATATCCATGAGTGAACTTCAAAAGTCTTTTGCCAAAGCAAAACTGGCCAAGTTCCCGTCCGAACTTCCTCCTGTCCCGAGCATGGAACCCCACGAGGAAGCCGACGAGGATACCTCGTCCGTCTCGTCCACGGGCATAGTGGTGCCTTCGCCAACAAGTCAATTGTTTTCGAGACCAGCTCGAGGGTAAGTCTTGAAGTCCTCGAAACCATATCACCGGTGTAACGGTAATTGTGTTGCCGGGTCGATCACCCGTGCTACCCATCCCGACCACTTTATCTCAACTTCACGTGTCCGATATAGTTAATACACAAGCTAAACCTCTCGTCAGCTCTACCTCCACAACCCTCCCCTGGACCGACTTCTTCACTCAGGAATTCTTCTTGACGCAAGAAACCGCCACTGCCCGCATCACCCACCATGTCTACCTGACTCCCCCGAGCTCCTCGGGTCCCCTATTTGTCATGCACCACGGGGCAGGTTCCTCGGGTCTATCATTTGCGACCTGTGCCGCAGAGATCCGAAAGATTTTACCAAGCGCCGGGGTTCTCTCTATTGACGCTCGGGATCACGGCCAAACGGCCGTGAACGCCGCTACGGTCCCCGAAGGCCAGGAGCCGCCCCCAGTCGAGCTGGATCTGACTCTGTCGACACTCAACCGGGACCTCGTCTTTGTGGTCCGCGAGACCCAGTCACGCATGGGCTGGAACGATCTCCCGGATATCGTCCTCGTAGGACATAGTCTGGGCGGTGCAGTAGTTACCGACGTGGCGAAGACGGGCGAGTTGGGAGCTAAGGTATTGGCGTATGCGGTATTGGATGTTGTAGAGGGTATGTATCGATTTTCTATCCCAGGTTGATCCTCTCGTCTAAGTTTAATATCAAACTAATCGAGACTTAGGCTCGGCAATGGATGCCCTTCAAAGCATGGAGAAATATCTCTCCACGCGGCCTTCGCATTTTCCATCGTTAATTTCCGGAATAGAATGGCAGTATGTTCTTTTTTGACAAAGTTCTGACCCAAATAACCCCATCCTTGGCTAAAAGCTTCAGCACTCGCTCCCGGACAATCCGAAACCGCACTTCCGCCCGAGTCTCTGTCCCCTCGTTACTCTACGAAGAGGAGACTCCCGCCGACGACCCCTCCAAGCCCTGGATATGGCGAACCAACCTCGCCGAAACAAAGCCTTTTTGGGAGAACTGGTTTGTCGGACTGAGTAAAAAGTTTCTCGAGGCTCGCGGCGGCAAATTACTTCTGTTGGCCGGCACGGACCGGTTGGATAAGGAATTGATGATTGGGCAGATGCAGGGTATTCTCCCCTCGTTCCCGTTTGGCTGTTTATCTGGTTTCAGCTTGCGCATCAAGGTAGTGGAAAGCATGACTAATGATCTTACAGGTAAATATCAACTCCAAGTCTTCCCGGAAGCAGGCCATTTCATCCAGGAAGATCAACCGACCAAGACGGCCCAGATCCTGGTGGACTTCTACAAGCGCAATGATCGCAGCGCGCTGGTGCTTCCGCCCAAGGTAGCCGATCTGCAGGCGTCGGCAGCGATGAAGAAGAGCACGAAGGGTAGGTAGCGACTCGGAAGAAGGGGGAGTCATGTATGGTTGAATCAGTTTATATACCTACCTGCTTGTATATATACCGTGGCAAGTATAATCATCCGGGATCACGAATCGAGACGTAGCTGTCGGACGATATCTTTGCTAGTTGAGTTGTGGTTGTTTCTTGAAAAACACATGAATATAATTAAAGCAGAGCCGAATTGAACGCTCTAATAAATTCATAGTCTCACCGACGCGATACTTTGAAAGCTTCTCGCAGGAAAATCTCCGTTCGCTAATTCAAGCCCAAAATAATTCCCCTATCACTGCCTTTCCTTCAAATCTCGTCATCATAATATAGTCCATGAATCCAACCCCTCTTATACTAATACACATAGCGAAAATTCGGATTCTCATGATCCGTCAAGTCCCGAAACGCCAGCTCATGCGAGATCTCCGCCTCCCCGCTCGCCTTCGCCCGATTCCTCGCCATAAGAACCACTCTCGTGACGAAGACTAAGCCCAGATACACCGCGTAGATGATGATATGAGCCAGGAAGCCGTGCAGATAGCGCGGGGCGTCTTTCTCCTGAAAGATCTGGGGCGCGATGAGATTGCCGACAGCCCACCCGACGAAGACCAGGGTCATGGTGATGCCCTTTTTGGTCTGGCCGGCGATGTTGCGTGTCACGAGGGAGATGATCAGGTTGCCTTCTGCGGTGAAGAGCTGCGTACAGTAGAAGGCGATTAGCATGCCGCCGGCATTCGAGGCCGTTGGGGTAATGGCGAGTATGACGATTGTGCCGGCCATGGCGGGGAGGGCCCATACCTTAGTCATGTTAGAATTCACTACTGGAGGATGTACTATGGAGAGAGGATGGGAGGGTTGTCAACTTACGATCATGATCACACAGGTCTGCTGGAATCGTTGAGCAGCCCACGCGGACCCGAGCATCCAGATGATGGTCCAAGCACCTTGGGCGATATTGAGAAGTTGCGTTTGCAGCAGGGAGAAGCCGAATTGTTGAATAATGAGGTTGGAAAAGACTCCCAGGCCGCCGATGATCAGATTGGCGGTGGTGATGAGCAGGACGCAGCACCAGACAAACGGGTCCGTGACGGCTTCCCACACCTGATACTTCTTGTACTCTCGATTTTCAATGCCGGTCTCGTTTTGTCGGACACGCTCAAGCATGAGCATGCGGTCCTCCTCGGTGAAGCATTTTGCCGAGATAGGGCTATCGGGGAGTAAGAGGGCGATGAAGAAGGCCCAGACGCAGGTGGCGAGTCCGAGGACTAGGAAGAGTAGCTGCCAACTGGTGATGGGTCCGTCCGTGAAGTGCGAGACACCGAAAGCTAGCAGGCCACCTATCTGCAGTCCATCAAAGGTTGGCAATTTGCGAGATGACGGTGGAATCTCGACTCACCATCAGCTGTACACCACTCATGCAGTACCAAACGGCATTCAACACAGACTGCTCTTCTCTCTTATACCACATTGCCGTTCTGAATAGTGGGTTAGAGAAGGTTTCCCAGTCGCATGGGGGTAAAATACTTACAATAGCATCATAGCGGGCTGAACGCAGCTCTCGAAAAAGCCTAGCAGAAATCGGACTGCCATCAGAGACGCGAACCGAGTCGAGGCGGCCGAGCAGGCCACTACAGCACCCCATAGAAACACATTGACAGCCAGCGTCTTCGCCAGGGGAAACTTCTGAAGAAGGAAGTTCTGGGGATATTCGCCGGCGAGAATGCCGAGATAGAGAATCGTTCCTAGCCAGGAGTACTAGGATTCCATCGTTGTCAGCCTTGAGGCCATGCTCTTCATATCTGCAGATCTCACTTCTTGGCCCTTCAAGTTTGCATCATCCTTGATGCCCATGATGGATGCATAGTTCAGAATGCCTTTGTCCAAGGATTGACAGAAGTAGGTGATAACCTGGATAACGAGGATCCGACGAGTGATCTTCCAGAACAGGCGCTTGTTTGTGACAGCATCGATCTGGATTCCCGGATCGGTTTCGAGGAGATCCGGCTTTTCGTTCACTTCAAGATGTTCACCAACTTGATTGGAGTGTGCTTGAAGCTCTCCATGGTCAACAGAAGCAGTCATCTCATCTTTAGTCGTAGACATGATGCAGTGGAGCAAGATACTATGGAATCGAAGGCTGTCGGCAAGGACCTGCTCGGACAGTTTCTCGCCGTAGTATTTGTAGTCGCTTTCAGTATCTAAAAGTGACTTGCTGCATCGAAAACCGAGTCGTAAGACCGAGATGGATAGACGCCCCGTGGGGTGCAGATCGATCGGGGCATCTCCGGCAGATCCTCCGGACGCCGCTGTCATGAGCAACACGGGTTATTTGATGCAATGATCATCATCGGTCTCATCGGTCACTTTTCGCATTTTGAGACTTTCTCGAAGCGCGTGAAACATGACTGTCCAGGTATACGATTCTCCTGCCGGCATTCCTCTCAACTCGAACTTCACCGTTGAGCTCAAGGGAGAGAACGGCCAGCGATGGTTGCCGGTTCCTGTCTATGCTGTAGAAGTGGCCAATGCCAACATCACCTCCAACGAGTTCAATCGACATACTGTTGCGCTCGCTTCATTTGACTTCGACGGCCCCGTCCAAATGCGAGTCACCTACACTGCAGGGCCAGTAACATCTGCAGTCATCCGGCCCCGTTCTGCGAACATCGAAGCTCATATAGACGGTACCATCATAACATTCTCTCTCTCCGCGTCTAGAGATGTGATGATCGAGCTAAGCGGCAATAAGTGGACGGCTCTCCACCTGCTCAGCAACAAGATAGACTCGACTGCGCCGTTGCAAGACACCGATGATATCTGGTACTTCGGACCCGGCATCAACCAAGGGTCCGCCTATCAACACGTCACCGACGGTGTCAATCTGAACGTGCCATCTGGAAAGATCGTCTACATCGCCGGAGGCGCCTTCATCACCTGCCGACTCAATTTCATCAACGTATCCAACTGTGCCGTTCGAGGACACGGGTTTATCCTCGGGCCCGAGGGAGGCTATGTCCACCGCGAACACGGCGGAGCTATCCACATGAGCGGAGCCAGCAACATCAAAGTAGAAGGTGTCACCTCTCTAGGCGCAAAAGGATTTAGTCTATCGGCGGGCGAATGCCATGACATCCACGTGGACCGATACCGATCGTTCTCGTCCGCCGGCAACAGCGATGGAATCGACTTCTTCTGCTCGTCAGACATCGTCATCGAGAACTGCTTTCTGCGCAACTCGGACGATACCATTGCGCTCTACTCGCACCGCTGGGACTGGTTTGGCGACTCGAGGGCCATCCTAATCCAAAACTGTGTATTACTGCCCGACCTGGCACACGCGATTAACATGGGCACGCACGGGAACCCGTCCAGACCGGAAACAACCAGCAACGTGACGATCCGGAATGTCGATATTCTAGATCACGAAGAGAACCAACTGTGGTATCAGGGATGCATCGCCATCAATGCTGCGGATAGGAACGATTTCCACGATATCTTGATTGAGAACGTGCGAGTCGAGCGGATCACTCGCGGTCAACTAATCAACTTGCGTGTCATGCAGAACGCCATGTGGACTACTGCTCCGGGGCGAGGCATTCGAGACGTCAGGATCAGAAATCTGTCACTGGATCTGCGAGACTCGAAGAGTGTGAATCCGTCGATTATTTTGGGATATGATGAGCAATGCTCGGTGGAGAATGTGACGTTTGAGAATCTCCGGATCGATGGGAAAGTGATCCATGACGAGATGGAAAAGCCGCGATGGTACATGACAGCTGACTTGGTTCCTTTGTTTGCAAACGAGCATACCAAGGGTGTTAGATTTATTCTGTAGCTTTGAAATCATTAACTGTCTTTGCACTTGGTACATGCTCCATGATTGACTCCCAGATACTATCTAGATGCTCCATATGCACACCATTGACTCCAGTGCTCAAGCTGACCAGAATATACAGCCAGTCTTTGTGATCAATGAGCGCTCCACCAGTAACCAAAGTAGCCCAAAATCAGATCCCCAAGCGGAGGAATGAGCGGCTTCAATCCGACAGCGGAACAAAGGCCGGAATCCTTCACTGGGTGCCAAGTATTGAAGTACCTTTCGACCGGAATATATGATTTTGTAAAGACCTCACATCGACCATTTCGTTGGTGTCTAGTCTACCCCAGTTATCTCATAAACGTAGTCAGAAAGCCATCATGAGAGTCCCAATCCTGCTCGCCATCGCCACTCTCTTCTCAACCACGTCTGCCACCCTCCATCCTGAACCTCAACTCGTCCATCCCGGGGCCCTGCACACCAACAAGGACATCGAACGAGTTCGACGCAAAGTGCACGCCCACGAACAGCCCTGGTACCGCGCCTGGCAACACCTCGAGTCCAGCCCCCTCGCGCAAACAACCTGGACCCCCAAACCGCACGAGGTCCTCGTCCGCGGTTCAAACAGCACCTGGCCGACCACGCCAGCCGAGAATTACGGCGATGCATATCGCGACGCACACGCCGCCTACCAACTAACGCTGCGGTGGCTCATCGGCGGAAACACCTCGTACGCAGACCACGCGGCCTCCATCCTGAACAGTTGGGCTACGACCCTGCGCGCGCTCAACGGCACCGAAGACCAGTACCTCGCGGCTGGTCTCTACGGGTACCAGTTCGCCAACGCGGGTGAGGTCCTTCGCACGTATCCCGGTTGGAGTAAGGCGAACCAGACGGCGTTCGCGCGTCTACTGACGACCGTGTTTGCGCCGGCGAATCGAGACTTTCTGGAAACCCATAACGGCAAGACGAACTTCTACTACGCGAACTGGGACCTGTGCAATATCGCGTCATTGATGGCGATCGGCATATTCACGGATAATCGGACGATGGTGGACCATGCGGCGCGGTACTGGCAGTTTGGTCTGCCGGACAGCAGGGTCGTGGTGAACGGGGCGTTGCCATATTTCTCGATTGCCAATTTCACGGAGCCGGAGTCTGGGAAGACTTTGATGGAGATGCAGGAGTCGGGTCGCGACCAGGGACATGCGTTGCTGTGTATGGCGTTGCTGGGGGTCATTGGGCAACAGGCTTGGAATCAGGGGATGGATCTGTTTGAGACTTATGGATATGGGATCCTGAATGCGTAACCTTATCCCTTCTTCTTCTTCTTTTGGCATTGAGTATACCCTCACTGACACTGACACCTTGCTCTCCAGAGCTGAATACACCGCCAAATACAACACCAACCACACTGTCCCCTACATCTCCTATACGAGCTGGGAAGGTCTCTTGGGTGAAATATCAGCCAAATCGCGCTTCGATGTGCGTCCGGGCTACGAGGCCATCGTATCTCATTATACAAGGATCAAGGGTCTGAATACGTCCTGGTCCACCGAGTTTCGGGACTACGTGAATCGGAATATCTCCGCCGGTGTCGAGGGTGGTGGGGGTGATTATGGGCCGAACTCTGGGGGCTATGATGTCTATGGGCATGGGACGCTGATGTATCGGATTGAGGAGGATGCTTAGGGGTGGACTTGCAAGGGAGAGGGTCTTGATAAGCTGGTTTGACTTAGTCTGATTTGTTGAGAACTGAGGGTTGTGTGTTTGGGGGTGCTGTCTGCTAGGGTCTCTGAGCTTTTATATGAAGAGCAACGTATTTAGAGTGTTGCGATATTTGTTTTCGTATAGGTACAGGAAATGTCTAGTATAACTCAATAGTAACCGTTGACGACAGGTATATACCGAGGCATGCCGATCTTCCAAAATAGAAGCTCTCCAAGAATATGCCATTTTTTCTACCTATTTACGCAAATAACCTGAATGAAGCTTTGAGTGGTTTCTAGAGCGAACCACGCACGACTAAATGAAACATTCATGATGTCTACTTCCACTCTATCATAATCGAGTCGCGATCATAGTCAATGCCTATCAACAAGAAATCCGGAGCATTTCCGGGCCTTACCCCGATCTCCAGTCCGGAGAAAGACTCTCTCCCGTCAACTATGAACATGAACTAGAAAGGCCACAACAACCTTGCCAAGGTGGAGCAGCTGTTTGGTCTTGAGCATACGGACAATATACCGGCGTCCTCCCGCTTATCCCAAGATTCCATGTCTTGAGAAGTAATTTCGTGATTTCAAATAGGTACAACATCTACCTGAACTTTTAAATATATACCAGAGTTATCTCATCTTCGCTCTCCCCAAGACCCTCTTCAAAAGAGCTATATCTCCCTGTCCAAGTAATTCCACGCAATGTCAATGTCGCTAAGCCACGCATCTCCAACGGTATGCTTGCCTTCTCACACACCCTGGATAATAAAAGAAAGCTGAAAACCAGATAGGAGCACAGTCCAAAGAGAGTAAAAGCAGCTCATCAACACCCCAACGGCATAACCGGGACAAACGGCACCAAGACTTTCCCCTCCACAACATCCACCCGTCTAGCAAAAGCCCTATTCTCTGATTCAGCGATTGCCAAAATCTGGAGAGTCGCAGCCCGGGCTCAAGGATCAGTAAGTTCTACCATCCACAGAAATCTCAACCCGATAATAACCCCTTTTTCCCACTCCCCTGCAGAGCAAACCCCCCGTGCTATACCCTGAATATACCGGCTCTAATGGAAGCACCTATGTCTACCGCACGCTCGATTTCTGGACCTCCGGCTTCTTCCCGGGATCATTATATCTAATACTCGAGCGCTTAACACGTTATCAAAGGACCAGCATTTACCGATCTTCATCTCCTTCTGATGATGAAGACAATGAATCAAAAATATTACCTCACCACCTTCAGCTCTCGTACCTCTGCCGCTGGTGGACCGCAAACTTGCACCAAAACGCCCTCAAGCGGGACACGCACGACCTCGGATTCATGATCGCTCCATGGGCCATGAAAGCATGGGACCTGCACCACGATGCAGAAGCGTACAACAGTCTTGTCCTGGCCGCACACTCCCTCGCCAGCCGCTTCAACGCCACCACGCGATGCATCCGCAGCTGGGACGTCTGCATCACGAACAGATACTCGTACACTGATGTGTCGACGGACTTCCTCGTCATCATAGACAGCATGCTGAACCTTGATCTGCTGTTCTGGACCGCCCACGAAACCAACAATGCAGAATTGTATGACATTGCGGTAGCGCATGCGCACACCTCCCGGAGACACCACGTCCGCGAAGACAACAGCACTGCACACGTCGCGAACTTCGACGCTCAGACCGGCGAATGCAAAGCCAGATTCACGAACCAGGGATATAGCGACGAGAGCTGTTGGGCGCGTGGCCAGGCGTGGGGGATATTAGGGTTCGCGCAGACGTTCCGGTGGACGGGACAGTCTGTGTTTCTGGACACGGCGAGGGCGCTGGCAGAGTACTTCATATCTCACTTGCCAGAGGACGGGGTGCCGTATTGGGATTTCATGGCACCAGTAACGGATGAGAGTCCGCGAGATACGTCGGCGGCGATTATTGCGGCGTGTGGGATGCTGGTGCTGTTTAAGTCGCTTAGGGACACGTCGGAGGGGGAGTACTATCTCCGGGAGGCTTTGGGGATCGTGGATGCTGCCGTGGGCAGGTTTTTAAATCCGCCTACGTTGATGTTTCAGATGGGGAGGGCTCCGACGCAGTATGAAGTATACCCGGAGGGCTGTATCGCGCAGGGAGCGAGTGATGGATTCGACGTCTTGAGTTATGTCGATCAGTCTGGTTCGCGTACGCGAGACACGATTCTTGATGGGGCCACGATCAACAACTATGAGTTTGCTCCAAGACGGTGGGCGAACCACGGGTTGGTATATGCAGACTATTACTTCTTGTTGTTTGGCAACATGCTGCAAGAGTTGGGGTTGGTAGATATGCAGGGGCATATTAACTTTCCGATATAAATAGCTTCAGTGGGTAGATCGTTCATCGCTGTTTTAGTTTTGTAGCTAACTAAAGACTCGCCTCCAGAGCTATTGATTTAAATGTCCTGGACTGGGTGTATGATCCCCGGGGCTAATCACCGTATTGCCATAATTCACACCCGGGTTTTGCCACGCATGTAGAGGATCAGCATGATACGACTGCATCCCCAGAGACAAAATCGCCGGGCTCGCAACGCCCTGCCCACACGTCGACAAGAAGTCCTGCTGGAAGGCTGGTGGAAGCGGCGGAAAGGCGAGACTAAATGGATCATACCCAATTGAATCCTGAGGCGCCGGGATCTCAGGATAGTGAGTTTGTGAGATACAGGGGTTAACCGGTCGAGATGAGAACGCGTTTATATCGCTGCGCGAGGAATCCGTAGCAGGCGAGCATGGCTGCTCCTTGGATTCATCTGAGTACGCGGTTTGTCTTATATCCAGGCTTGGGCGCGAATAAATCGCCGAGTTACTCTGGGCCTCGATCAGCCGCTTTGCAAAGCTTGACGCAAGGTTGCCTTCACCGTCGTCGGTAGTATTTCCAGGACCTGCCCATCGCTGCGAAATTTCAAGTAGGCTGGCAATCAAGATGTCGAGGACGGGTGAGATGGGCACTCGGTTGTATCGCGAATGAGCGAGCAGCATGCGGCCCGCAATGAAGAGACAGAAAGAGAACTGGGGATTGGTGAATATCGGTGAGTATGCTAGAAACTGTTGACCGATCCTGGCCGTCTCCGAGGCCGCCTCGAGACACGTCTCTGCGGATGACGCGGACGGCGGCTTCACGGCACAGCTCTGCCAGTGCGCAGGTGGGTATGCAATTCCTTGGTGGAGCAAGATGACCGCAGTGTTGTGTGTTAAGTGAGCCAAGATGAGGTTTGGGTCCATGATCCCATCAGCGTTGAGCACAGAAGCCTCGCGCCACTTTGATGGCAGAAATAATTTCCATCTCCGAGTTTGCGACGATGGTTAGCCTGTCAAACTTCATCCATCTGCATTCTGATCAAGTACTTACTGGATGAGTCTGAGGTCCAGCTCTTTGAACTTCATCAACCACAGCTGGGCCTTTTCCGTATCATTGACAACAAATGCATGGTGGAGAAAGAAATTCGTCACCAGGGCAAGCGACTCCGTAGCCTCAATATTATACGCCAACCCGCCAATCGAATCCTGATCCTCGGAGCGTGATGGGCCCTGGCTTTCAAAAAGACGCGAGCTGCTAGATAACGGACCCTTGGAGTCCGAGATGCCAAAATACGGCGTTCGTACTTCCTGCTCCTGGCCCCAGATCGCACCCTCACATGGCAGCCGGCGTTTGATATCGGCGCCGGCCAGGCTCATCTTCCAGCCGGTGGAGACACTGCAGAAGCGGTCCATGAGAAAGACCGTCCAGAAGACCCGGCGGCGTTCCTCGGCCTCAATCCATGATCTGGATGGCGTGAGAAACAGCATCCGCCGTATTAGCGTCTCGCCAGCGTTCGTCGACCCGTAAAGCTCGTCCTCTTCCACGTTCAACTGTAACTGCTCCACCGTGCCCACCATGTTTCCGATGATGGACCAAGAAGAAGGACCGCGTCCTCGGCCAATCTGGATGTCCATACTAATCAGTTATGCGTGCGCAAACGAGTCCAAGAGCAGCCACATACCGTCTCAAACGCAACAATGATCAAGGCCTGCAGATTCTCGACCGAGAAAGTCTCGATACTGTTCAAAATGACTCGCTGTCGACTTTTCTCCGCAATACGTGTTTTCGTTTGTTCATCGCGGAGCCTTGCGTTCTGAGAGAAGCGCACGCAGATGGCAATGATCGCATGCAAGATACAAGCAATGCGCGGCCGTTCCTTTTCCGATTCCATCCGTCGTCGAAATCTAACAACATGCAAGATGGGGATCCAGTGGTGAATATTCAAGTAGTAGAAATCCACTAACTCGGCCATGATTTCGGGTGGTAGAAGCCCGCTGGGATTGTCATTATCGTTATCCCAGTCCCAATCGACATCCTCGCTGCGTCTCAACAAAGGCGCCTTCTCGACCCTCCGTCGTTTCGCCCCGACACCCGACGTGATCGCTGCGTCTGCTTCATCCTGCGCCGACGACCTCTTCTGCATCTGTTTCTTTTCCTTCTCTTCCTCCGCAGCACGCAATAGGCGACTCTTCACTCTCTCCCTCCGCCTCTCCAACTCCGTCAACCCATTACTCTCTTCCTCTGACCCGCTATCCCCATCACGGTCCCCGCCCACATCCTTACCCAAACCAACCTCCCCCAAAACCGCCCTCCAAAACACCTCCTGCCCCAGAAACATATTCTCCAGCGTCTCAATACGCCGATATAGTTGATCGACGGCCCCGGCCCTCAGACCCGGCTTCAGGCGCCGATCATCATAGACGCAGGGGACGTTGAACCGGATGCACTGGTCGCATGGTTGGGCGCGACTGCAGCGGGCTTTTTTCTTGCGGCAGGATTGACAGGCGGGAATGTCTTCGTCGGTGGGTCTGGGGGGTTCATTGGAGGGTAGGACATCTTGTTTGTTTTTGTTGTTGTTGTCTTTGGGTGGCATTGAGATGGGATATTTTAGATATATATATGTGAATATACGAAGTGCGTTAATAATACATGATTGCGAGGTGGGGTGGCGAAGGACGATTGAAATTGCGAGATGAGTTGATGGATGAGCAATGAATAATGGATGGTCAGAGAATTAATTAGGATTGGGCCTTCATTGCGCAAGTCATTTGATTCCGACCAGAGTGGGCAATGGGCGACCAACCCCACGGGGAAATGATGCACCCGCGCAGGAACAACCCAAGCTGAGGGATGATAATCATATTAATGTGAGTATCTACCTTGATAGGTCGTCGGTAGCCAGAAGCAAAAAGGCCTCCAATCATCGGCCAAGACTCAGTAGAAAGGATTCGGAGGGCGGGAGAAAGACCGGAGACGCTCCGATCTGGCGAGGCGGGGTTGATTCTTCCACTATCTACGGATTATATAACCTGCAAGTCTTGTAACTATAGAACAACCTCTCGATTGACTAACCTACCTGTCTAAGTGCCTGTAAACATAATCACTTTTTTACTATTTGCAATCACTGCCAACCAACACCGCGACCATGCCGTGACGCCCGCCAAATACCCAGCCATGAATTGCCATCACATGCAACTATCAATGGGCTTCATTTCTTTTGATATTCAAGGTTCAATGGTATTACAAAAGGAGATAGAATGAAAACGGAAAAGAAACGAGATAAAGAAGACGGATAAAGACCGTGAAAGAAACAAGAAACGGGTATCAGGCGCCACTGTGCAGAAAGAAAGAAACTCAATTCAATTCAATCCTCACTCCTCAGGGAAGATAAGCGCCACCAGCGATGATCAGGTTCATATTGGTGAACTTCACCTTGTAGACGGGACTCTTCTTCGTAGGGAAAGCGCTGATTTGATCGGGCGAAACCACGACGTCTTTGCCCTTCTTCTTGCCGATGCCCGGGGCAACGGAGCTAGACGCCTGCGTGCCGGACCCCGCGGAGGTTCCTGCGTCCACCTTCGTACCGGCTGCGCCATCACCAACCACTCGGCCTTGCGAGGAGTCCTGAGAGGGTCTGGTTACGTCCCACACTCGGACCGTGCCGTCAGCGCCGCCGGAGACGAGCACCGTCGATTCCACGCTCCAGCTAATCGACCAGATTCCGCCCTTGCCGTGGCCGCGCATGCGCTTGGTCAGTCGTCCTTTCGCAAGGTCCCACAGCAAGATCGAGCCGTGGTCATCGGCCGATGCCAGAAGCTTCCCGTCGCGACTGCAGGCGAGAGCGGTGATGTTGCCCGTGTGTCCAGTGAACATCCGCACGGCGTTGCCCGTGGTCACCGCCCACATGCGCACCGTATGATCCGAGCTGGCGGTAAAGATATAGGCGGAATTGGGGTGGAAACACACGCAATCGACGTCCTGATCGTGGCCGACAAAGATCCGCTGTTGGCGAATGTGGTCGGTCACCCAAAGGCGAGCGGTCTTGTCGTGTCCGCCAGAAGCGAAGTAATGTCCATACGGTCCCCACTGCAAGTCCCAAACAGGCTGATCGTGGCCCTTGTAGACAACCATACATTGCCACAGATCCAGAGACCACAGTCGGATGGTCTTGTCGGCGGAGGATGAGAGAAGCCAGCGGGCGTTCGTGGGGGCCACCGCATTCTCAGTGCGTGTGATGGACGGAGCAAAAGCCACCGCGTAGATAGGCCCGGAGTGGCCGATCAAACGACGAGAATTGGACGGGCCCGAGTCATCCACATTGTCGTAGGTGTTTGGGATACGTTTTCCATCCAGACTCCAAACCCGGATGTACGACTCTTGCATACCAGCTGCAACGAGCATATTGTCATCGGAGAAGTCCAAGCAGTTGATTCTACGCATGTCAGTGAGAGTTCAAATCACGTAGGAATTCCAAACTTACCCGTCGTAAGTATTATGGAAGGTGAACATGCAGACGCTGACGGCAGGACCGACGCCGCCCGTCCGGCCTTCGATTCTGAATCGGTCACGGTTTTCCTTCACCTTTTGCACTTCAATCGCCACATCACGTGCCGTTGACGGGGGGTACGGAATATCTGTACGTGTGGGGGCTTCGTCGTCTTCTTCCTTTTTGATCATCTGATCGAACTCTTGGACCAGGGTGTTTTGGCCCGCAGTTGGAGTATTCTTCGCATCTTCGTCGGCCAACTCGCCTCGAACGTCAGACTCTAGCGTGTCTTCCATCGGCAACTTTCCGAGCCTCAATCTGGGCAAAGTTCCCGCCATAGCTGGGTTGTCTCCGGTATACGCAGATCCAGGATGATGACCTGGAATACCCTCGTCTTCAGCCGGGAAGGTCTGGCCTCCTGAGGCTTGACCGAGCATGGCAGCGAAACTGAATCGGCCGTCGGCGGCACGCTCTTTAGTGATGACCGTGCAGAAACTGCTCAAGATAGCGGACATGACGGAGCCGCCTTCCTTCTGCTTGTTTTCGAGGAACTGCATGAGGTTCGAGAAAGCCGGGTTGCTGAGCACCAGGCGATATTTGTTCGTGCGGTACAGCTTCGCGACGGAGTTGTCCTGGACATGCTCCGGCAGGCTGATAGGCTCCAAGGCGCGCACGTCCTCCGTGTGCTCTGGAAGAAAGAGGTTCTTGTTGATTTCAAAGAACTGTTTCGCATCCTGCGGGTAGAACGAAGTCACCATGTTAAGAAAAGAGTAGACGAAAAGCGGCCAGAGAATCCGTCTCAGCTCGGGCTTGTATAGGTCCAAGTTGTCTTCAACCCATACTTTGAGTAGATCTGGAACTGGAGTCAGCCGATTTGTAACTGCTGAAGGAACGACTGAGCTTACCGAAACCCATTCTATATTTTGGCCGTGCGTCCTCTCCCAGAGGAGGCAAAGGACGTCCATCAATTTCTTGATTTGCAGATTCCATGCGCAGCATGGCCTCTGTGCGGCTATACCCTTTCTTGGCCAGATAGTCGATGACCTTGTTCAGTACGTCAGCGGTGTTGACATGATTTGACATGATGGTGACTAAAAGACAAGCCAGTGGATGAGAAGACGCAGAGAAAACCAGATAGATGACAGAGATAGATGTTCCAGTATAGAAAAATCCGAAAGAGGCGAAGGGCTTCCACGATGACTGGATGCAGCCCTGTGACCGCCTTGTCCCTGGTCTTCTGGGGTAGATTCCTGTCTTGATCTTGGCCGGTGATGCCGATTACATCTGCAACTGACTGAGCACCAAGGCCTGGGCCGAGGCTTTGGAGTAGCCCAGACAGACTAAGTATGCCTCTGCCACACTGGAGGACCTCAAGGTGGAGCAGAACGAGCACAAGGGCAAGAAGATCGGCTAGGTCAAGTCCCAGAGATATTCCACCGTAAAGTGAAATATAAGAGGCGATGTGAATACAGGGAAATGCCACACCAGACCGTAAACAGCGTCGCGACACCACCACCTCACAAACCCGAACAAAAACAATCATCCGCCCAACAAAGAAAACAACTTACTATCTGATTCAAATTTTGTTGCGACATGGCGCCGCTCGGGGGCGGCGGCGGCGGACCGGGAGTGGGTGCTGGCACTGGAGGTGTAGCAGGCATGGACTGTTGGGGAGGCATGGACATTCCACCTCCGGGCCCCATGCTTCCACTTCGGGGCACAGGGCTTGGGGCCCCGCCTGGCGCAGACATGGCGCAAAGAGTGCTCTGAGGACAAGATGCGGATGGGATCTCCTGCCTAGCCTGCGGGAGATGGGAGCTGATGCGATCTCGGAGAGCCCAGGGATGCCCGTCGCGGTTTGTCGATGGAGCGTCACGTTCTGATATGGCGCTAGGCCGGAGGAGGCTTGGCGGCGATTCCCCGGCTGAGGTAAGCACAGTGGCTCCCCCGGTAGAAGCACGTGACGCGGCTGGAACGCTTTCGAGAGTGGGAGAGACAGACTAACTGACAGACCAGACATGTCTCGTGGATTGAGGAGAAAACAAAACACACCGGGCGACACCTTCAATTCAAACTCAATAATCCGACCCAGATGGCAAGCAACACAAACACCTCCGGACCTGATCAGGTCTTCACCTCAGCAGATCGCATCCGCCAATTGAATGAAGTAGACAAGGTAAGAGGAACAAGAGGAAATCATTCACCTCCGACAGCGGCCGGGGATTCTAAGATCCCACGACACCAAACAGCACAGACAACAATAAAAAATCAAATGAGATTCAATTAACTAATCGCCCATCAATACAGGATGTGGCTCGACTGATCCATTCCGCCGGCTTGGCCATTCAAGCCCTGACCAACGCCCGAACCAGCGACTCGTCGACAGACAACTCCCTGCAATCCCACCAAGCGCGGTTCAAAGAAGCGACGTCCCAATACTTTGCCCTCCTATCATCGATCGATGTGCGACTGCGCCGCCAGGTCTACGCTCTGGAGGAGGCCTCCATCCTGGCGCCCGACTCCGCTTCTGCCAGGGCCGGCGACACGACCGGTGCCGGCGGGGCGGCTGCGGGTGCCTCCAATCCGTTGGATATCAGTTGGTTGAACAGCAGAAAGGACACCGTAGGAAAGGACAAGGAGGCTGAGTTATGGGCGGCTGCACGCGGCTTCGTGGAGCAGATCAGCAACTCTACGGGCAAACAGGAGAGAATGGAGGTTGATTGATTGATGGATTGCAATCTCGACTGGATGGGAAGGATCTCGCCCGGGGAATTGAATATCGACGTCCTTTCTTAACGAGCATATGCCGCCTGTCGGAAATTTTAGCGTTTTGACTGTCTTGCTTGGTCGAGCAAAGCAACTCCTGGCGAGGCAGTTGTCTTCGGTCGGCAATGATTTATGATACCCAAAGTTACTCAAATGACAAATATGATCTATTGTTCAAATTTAAACACTACGTGCTAGATGCTACTTGATGCGTTCAATGGATTAAATCTAGGATCTCCAGGAACCTTGGACTCGAAAAAAACTAGATACAGGAAACTGGAACTGCAGTAGAACACACGGACAGAAAATATGATAGCACAGGCAGTTGTAGAAATGGCAGTCGCTCTGACAAATTCGCTAAAGATATCCAGCATCGAAGATATCCGGAGAGGACGCTTATTTCTGCATGGACCGGATCATCTCCAGATGAGTTGCCTTTTCCTTGCTGGATTCCGACAAGGACGAGAGGCCTACGGCGGGTTAGCATATCAGAACACGCCAAGTATCACACAATCGGGTTCAACTTACTGCGCAGCTCACCGACCACATCCTTGGCCTTACCGAAGTAAACTTCCTCTATAGGCACAACTCGATTAGCCACCGCTGCAACTCGAAAAGAATGAAGGAGAGGGAGGGGATGGAAACGAACGCAGCAAGTTCCTCATCTTCAGCTCCATATCCTCCACCAAGCGACCGACATTAGCCACATGGCTGGCGTCCGATTCCACGGGTAGATCGACCTCGACCTGTCGGGTCATGTTTCCACTCAGATCCATCTCGCCCAACGCCTCGGTGGTGTTAGCCAAGTGCAGGATCACGGTACTGGTCAGCTTATAATGAGACATGCGAGCGCGGTCAGTCGCTTCGAACACATGAATGCTGTCCCACTCCCCGGAGCTCTTCGCACCCGGCGTTACCCCTAATTGTCCGTCAGCTTGAACACACCACAACCACAGCTTCCTTCTGCCGGAGCGCTGATGCAGAACACCAGAAAAGGCGAAATGGAGTCGAGTAACCCACCCTTTTTCAAAAGTATCACGCCAGCAAACCCATCATCCAAGTCCCAGAAGTAGACGCTGCCGACGCCGCCCTCGTAGTACAGCTCCCGGTAGACATCAAAGGCCTCGTTGGCCGCGACCTCGAGCTTTCTCACGCGCTCGCTAGGCACGGTGCCGTCGTCCAGAGGGGGGTCGAATTCATTGCTCCAGGGGGACCGGTAGCTGTCGCCGTCCCGGTTGTAGTCGCAGAGCAGGTAGTCGCGGTTCGTCCGGGGGCAGCGGCGGATCTCGAGGGGCTGGTCTACAGAGGAGAGGAGGTCTTCGGTGAGATCGGGGACGATGGATGTGATAGCTTGCAGGTTCTGCTTGGTGTCGCGGGGGTTGAGACGTCGAAGAAGATCGCTGGGATGGTCAGCAGTAGGCAATAGGCACCAGGTGGTGGGGTAACGTTGGGGGCATGGGAATGCTGGGATTGCGAAGGAGATGAGAGGGGGTGGGAATTGGGGAACGAGTCATTCCGTTAGGGTCACTTACAGCGCACTGTCATATTGAGCGTCCGCCATGGTGGAAAATGTGAGGTCGCTGGTGCTTGTCTGCTGTTTACTTGCGATCTCCCGCTCTCAAGTTGGCCGGAGCACGGAGAAAGTGTGTGGTGGGAAAGACACGGGATGTGGCAATTGTTGTAATTCACTCTGTTTGATGGACCGTGACGTTATCTACACGCACCCGTTCCGAGTACTAGTTAACTAACTAATTATTCCGTTGCTTAACTAGTAACAATCTACGGGCCTGAACTATGAATGCTTGCGATCTGCTTGACTTCAGTGGCTTACTACCGATTGATTTCCCCACTATGTAGTAAGTTGACCGTGATGCCAGTGCGTCACAATCTGTTCCCTAAAAATTATTACTTTTTCTTTTCTTTTTTTTTTTTGAGATCTTTACCCAAAGAAAACCCCATTGGTCAAAATAGTAGCCAAAAGACCTAATCAGCATCATCCAACACAGTCCAATTCTGCTTTTACGATCTGCGCTCGGTGCTTCGACTCAAAATGGTGTCTATATCAGGGGGTGTAAACTCATCAAACTTCTCGCCTTCGCTTCTCTGCGAGGAATAGAAGGGTACCGATTCTGGATGGTCTTGTATCGGGGAGGTCGGGGCGTAGTTTTCGCCGTTGCAGACTTCGTGTAACAATCGACGAGTTTTGAGGGGCTTTAGGGGCTGAGAATGATCATTTGATCCTTTCTTGCGTTTGTGTCTAGGGGGTGGCAGTGGGCGTGAAATTAAGGCATCTTCCGGCGGTCTTCGAGACTCGAGGCTCAACACTTTTTGAAAGCGTTCCTCGCAGTCTATACCTAGCTGATTGATTGTTTGTAGTGCACCGATCATCCGACGGGTGACTGATCCGTGCGTCACGGCCTTTGTCGGTCTTGGAACTGATTGCAGTTTAGGAAAAGCGTCGTTGCGAGGGGGTCGGGTGAATTGCGGACTGGTCTCGCCAACATTGCCGTAGTATTGCTCAAGCTCATTTTGCTGCTCCGCGGTCAGCAAAACATCTTCAGCGGCCGGTATATCGATGAGCTCGGGCGTTGGTGTTCGTTCTTTCGGCCTACTTTTTGGTTTTGATTTTCGCGTGGCACCGCCGGTGGCAAGGTCCGACGCCTTGGTGAAACCAGTCTCGACGTTGTCCGGCATGTGAAACTTCTTTGGAGGCCTCTTGGGGGCGTTTCGTCTCTTTTTCGGCTCGGGGAGGTCCGGGTTGTCATTCTCCGTCGGAATATCAATTTTCTGCTTGTTGACAGTGGGACGGACCCCCGGCGGTAGAATGCGTGGGGACTCGTCGGTGTGGTAGGCGAACCGCTTCCCACTGGCGATCATTTCTTGCATTTTTTCATAATTATCTGTCGCTTTGAGATATGAATGCTCCTCTTTCCCCTGCATGAGCAGTATCACGATGTTTCCCGCCCTTTTTCGGCCAGTACGTCCCATACGTTGGAGCATGCGGATTGGCGAGGCAGAGGAGTCGTAACAGATAATGCGATCTACCTCACCGATATCCAACCCTTCCTCGCCAATGGAAGTTGCCACTATGGTGTTATAGACCCCCTCTTTGAACTTCTGGATGACGCTGAGCTGCGTTTTCTGATTCATGCCGTCCGAGTCCTTGTTGCTGGACTGGCCGATGAAAATGTGAGGTCGGACCAAAGGCTCATGTCTCTTCAGCACTCGTATCACCTCTTCGGCACTATCTCGGAAGTGGACAAAGATCATCAATCTGGTGGAGGACTGCGTGTTCCCGTCTCGTCCTTCACCGGCATCCAGAAAGTGGTTCAACACCACTTCTTTGAGATATGCTAGTTTTGGATGGCCGATAAACTCCGGGTGCTTTGTCCACGCCGAAACTTGGCTCATGAGTCTTTTGTAGTTCTCATCTTGGACGAGCTGCTGTTTGTATTTCCCATTCTTCAGGCCGCCGGTGCCGGACTGGAACTTCAGCTGGCTCCGATAAAAAGGCGTAATCCCATGATATTTGAGAAGGTCAAGACTGTGAGCACAGCTAGCAAGGACGGTGAAAATCGAGCTGATCATGATCTTGAACCCGGTGCTTGCCGTTCGACCAGCATTCGAGGCCATCCATTCCTGGCGGGTTTTGGTGAGTCCGAAGGGGGTGAGCGTTAGAGGATCCGATCCCCAGTAGGCGTTGAGGTGTTTTAGTTTATCAACCAGTGGCTGGAGAGCACGGGAAAAGTGTTCCTTGCACAGAATAAGCTCCTCGGAGTCCGAGAAAACCTCCCACTCGATTTTTTTGGCGTGCACGTACTGTCGAATATCAAGCGACTGCTCCGTGCGAATCTCCACCTTGGAGATATTCAAGCCGTCTATTACCTCTTGTACGGATTCCACGGAGGAGCCCGGTGTGGCTGTCAGTGCCAGAACACGGAAGCTTTGATTGAATCGCTGGAGGAATTTCACAACCTCCACGTAGGCATAGCCCCCGGTAGCTCGATGGGCTTCATCGACAACGACCAAGACAATGCGTTTCGGGTCGGCGATTCCGGACTTGAGGTCGTTCATCAACGTTTGTGGTGTAAGAAAAAATACGCGCTTGGTTTGCCACTCCTCTGCTCGGATACCCGGCGCGATGCCGCCGGTGAGCATGGATGTTTGAGATTTGGGAATGCCGGCGATGCCCAAGCAGGCAGAGACTTGTTGGGACACCAGGGGTTTTGTCGGGGCGACGAAAATGATTTGAGCGTCCTGGGTCCACCGATACCAATTGAGCATGACCGTGGCAGCAATGAACGTCTTTCCCAGACCCGTGGGGAGCGCCACCAACAGGTTGTGGTAGAGGCCTCGTTGAGCAATGTTGAACTGATAGTCTCGCGTGTTGCCCAGGTTCGTCGGGTAAATCCAGGTGTCGAGAGTGTCCTCCACGAGCTTGTGATGTGTCGGCTTCTCTCCATGCTTTTCCGGAGGGCACCAAGTGTTTTCTCCGGGGGGCGAAGTGCTTGCCGGATTCCGATTAACCATGCCGAGGAGCGTGGTTTGACGGGGGACCCGGTTGAAAGACGAGAAGGACCCTCCGCTCGTTTGTCGTGGAGTGGGCCGAGGCGGAGGCAAGGTGGCGATGAGGGAATCGACGTCGATGTCAAATGCATCGTCTGGGAGCTCGGCAAACATGTCCCCGGAGGCATTGGGCGTATCCGTCTTCTTCTTTGTCGTCGTCTTCGGTGTCTTCTGGTTACCGGGAAGACTTCGAGTCGGCAGCGGGGTAATCTGGTTAAAGGAAAGAGCGTTCCGTGCTTGCTCTTGCTCGAATGACTGAACGGATGCCGCAAGGGCAGCCTCCATATCGTCGTCCCCGAACTCGTCATCGTTGTTGCCGTCGTTGTTACCGTGGTCTGCCGGAGACGCAGGTCTTGGCGGCTGGGGCTTGGGTTTCTGCCACCGAGGACCACGAAGCATCTCGGGAGGTGAGGGTGGCTGGGTGAGCTGCGTCACAAACAGGTTGTCTTGGTTGATGCTTTGCTGCTTGGGGACAAACACCTTGCGCTTGGATTTTGCGTCGGTGGTCTCATATGCTTGGCTGGGGGAGGACAGCTCGTCATCCCTCCGGGGGGCCCCGTAAGAGCCGTCACCGTCAATGAAGGAACCCAGGTCGGTATCGGAGCCGTATCTATCACTCTCGGCCTCGAGAGCCTCGTCGATCTCGTTGGGTGAAGGTCGGGGTCTGGCAGTCTCTAGACGACGCTTCTTGGCTGGACGCGGGGAATCCGACTCCGACGGAGAGCCTTCTTCCGCCATGTCATCCACCAAAAAGTCGTCGAGACCGTCACCGAATAATTCTTCCTCGTCGACGGACATCTTGACGCGTCCTGCTCGAAAGAATTGGCCGGACGGCACGAGGAGGTCTCACCGGTAGATAAGGCGCGTCGCGGGCGTCGCGACATCATGTGCTTTGGCACAGCGGATGTTTGGCGCGTTTGCATCGCAATCGTCGGCGGTTTGTCCGTGTCACCTGCCGTCAGGTGATTTGATTGGATCAGCGATAAGAAGTCTTGGCGTCCTCTCACTTTCGGATCTCTCATTTTTTGTCCTTCTGGAGTCACTAACGAGGGCCTCCTCCGTCCAACTCTACTTACAGCAGATACAGAAGGAGTAGTAATACGTATTGCTGATCGGGGGATGGGTGACCTATCGGTCCAATTCCCAAGGACGGCTGTTGACTGACTTGGGGTGGTACAACTCAAACTTGCCACCCTCTCTTCATTCTGGACGCTGGTGGCACAACAAAGCGGCCTAGTCTTTAGGGGCAGCGTTAGCGCTATTTTTGGTGGCTCCCCAGATTTTCACCCGAGCACTGATCAGGGTTGGGGCCTTGGGGGTGCTCTGAGGAATGGATAATGGATATGGAAGAAACAGGAAGAAATCATTAAATTCAGTTGGAGGAAATAAGATGACAGACAGTCAATATCTGCAGAGTGATCCCTCAGTTCATTCTCGCTCTCTGATCGCTCCGGTAACCCTCGAGGGACCAGCGCAGAGCAAACCAGGTCACTCAACCCTGCGCTGTCTGGCTATCTTCAAGGCTAGTCTAAGTATAGCCCGGCGCCTGATGCTGATTAGCCACCAGTGAAACCCCGCTAATGAAAGGGCGCCACTGGGTTTCAATTATTGCTTTGCCCTGTCAGACGGCAAAGAAATGAAAGAAAATGCAGGAAACTGGAGGATGCCAGGGAAAACCTTGGATCCTTGGGTCGTACTCCAGTAGTCAGTCAGTCTGGTCCGGTCTGGTCTGGTCAAGCAACTAAAGTAAATAAATCCCTCCCACTCCCCCTTTTCCTCCTCTCTTCTTCCTTTTCTTCCTTTCCTCACAGTCTCTCGTTTTGAACTGCCAATTCCTGCTTCTCGGACACTCGCTCAATTTGATCTCTTCGATCCATCTCTGTCACTTCAGATCTGAACCTCTCCCAATCCGTCACAATGAAGCTCAACCTCATCGCTCTGACTGCCCTGCTGGGCCTGACCGTCGCTCAGTCCAGCACCTCTACTGGCCAGGCCTCGGCCACCGCCAGCCTAACTCCCGAGGCTTCCTGCGCGAAGAAGTGTAAGTGATTCTGATTCTGATTCTGATTGTGATCGCACTCTTATCTCGTTGCTCGTTGTTTCTTCTCGGATCTCTCCGTGGCTCGTCTTCTCCACTCCCCCTAATCCACTGCAATCTATCGAATCTCCACCTTCGCGCGATCACAAACGATCCTTTTCTCCATGTCTCAGTCTCGCTAACATCGCTCCTCCAGGCACTGAAACCGATCTCTGCTGCGTCGCTTCGTGCTACAAGGTCCCCTGTCCCAGCGACTCGCAGGCCAACGACACCGTCGACTGCGTTGCCGCCTGTCCTCAGGGCACCGGCTCCCCCAGCGACACCGACCGCTACGCCAAGTGCCAGAACAGCTGCTACAGCAGCCACTTCTTCCCGGCCACCAAGCTGACCGACAGCGACAGCAACTCTAAGACCACTGCCACCGCCAACAGCGACTCCAAGACCACCGCCACTGACAAGGACAGCAAGAGTTCCGCGACTGGCTGTACGTTCCTTCCCCTTACATGATACCCACCCCTAGCACAAACAAGCGATGCTAATAATAATGTTTCCAGCCTCTGGCTCCCACCACTCTGGCTCCGGCTCCAGCGCCAGTGCCACCGGCTCGAGCACCTCCTCCGGCTCCGAGGCCAGCTCGACCGCCAACGCCGCGGCCCTGAAGCTCGGTGCCTCGACTGCCGGTGTCATCGGTCTGGTCCTTGGTGCTCTGGCTCTGTAAAGGAGCTGACAAAAGACACTCACTATGAGACTTGACTGGCGCGCCACAAACGGTGTGGATGTGAATTCAGGGGCTGGGGGGGACGGGGTGTTAATGCGAGGGAGGCAAGGGTTGTTTTCTTTTCTTTCACGGGACACGGGTTGCATGGTACACATAATACGGGGCTATTCCCTACATAGTTTTTTCTGCTATTTTACTTTAGCATTTACCTTTCTCAGCTGTGATAATAATTCTCGAAATACCATCACGTCTAAATTCTAGCATTTGCTTTATCCTTTCATCTAGAGTAAACAGTACAAACAAACAGTAGATAGACAAGAAAACTAGGACCAATTCCCCAGAAACAACTTGACAGCGCCGATCAACCCACAAAAAGAATCAAGAATCAAGAATGTGAATGAAGTGCTGAAGATCAAGTCAATCATAATGTGATCTCAGATTTCACTGTGCAGAAGAACTGCAGACTGCAGCCTCCAGAGATTGTCCAGTTTAATCTCCACATTCTCCGCCCACCTCGTAATCGGCTCCCGCTGCCTTCTGCAACCCAAATTAACCTCCCTTCCTAAGGCAGCCTTGGCCTACCTACATTGCCTATCTATCTCCAATTCTCCATCGGCAGAAATATCCACCCCAGAAAATCCAAATCCAAAAAATCAAAACTTCAACCCCCTCTCTCCCTCCCCCTCCCCTCCAGGCTCCCTTGTCAGTGTCTCCGACCATCTCAACCCAATAAAACTCAATCCCAAACAAACCAAACCCAAATCCACCCTCATCACCATCCAACCAAACAAAAGCGATAAAAAAAACCCCCCCGGTCAAGCAAAAGAAAAGATCAGATCAGAAAACCAAAAAAAAAAATGACCCTCTACACAACCCTAACCCCCTTCGTCAACACCTGCATGGCCTCGCACGACCCATCGCACAACCCAGCACACGTGCACCGCGTCGTCTCGCTGGCGCGCTCGATCCTACGCGCCGAACAAGCCCTCCACCCGGAGACGCGCTACTCCACCGAAGTGGTCGACTTAGCGGCCCTGCTGCACGACGTGGGCGATCGGAAGTATCTAGACCAGGTGAGGGAGATCATCATTTCTGCTGCCTCTGCCTCTTCATCATCCGGGCTGCGAAAGCAGGATGAGGAGGAGGTAGAAGTAGACGCGGACACGCTAGTTCTGCAAACGCTTCTCTCGCACGGGGCGTCGCGAGAACTAGCGACGCGGGTCCAGACCATCGTATCGCATGTGTCCTACACGAGGGAGAAGAAGGACCCCGAAGCGGTGCGCAGGTTGATCGAAGACGACGGGGACGTGGAGTTGGCGATCGTGCAGGATGCGGACCGGTTGGATGCGTTGGGCGCGGTGGGGATCGGGCGGTGTTTTACCTTCCTGGGGGCGCAGGGACGCAAGTTCGTTCCCGAGGGCGGGGCGTGGGAGATGGAGAATTCGATCGAGCATTTTCAGGAGAAGCTGGAGACGTTGGAGGGGATGATGAAGACGCAGACGGGGAGGGAGATGGCCAGGGTGCGGACTCAACGGTTGGTGGAATTTAGGGGGTGGTGGGAAGAGGAGATGGCTCTGGTCGAGTAGAAAAGGAAAAGGATCAGGTTGTAATTATCGGGTGTTTATTTGGTTATTCAAGGTATAGAATCGCTAGAGAAACAACATGCAAAGTCAAGTCCGAAAGTCATCCTTCCTGTCTATCTATTCTCAGTACAAGTCACCATATTGGGGTATGTAACATCTGATGGGTGACAATCAAAATAACAGAATAAGAATAATAGCGATATCATGTATCAGCAGTACAGACCGAGCATCAAGCAAGGCCAGCCCAATGCAAGTGAATAGAGTCCCCTCAGCCGGGGGGAAACATTAATGGATGTCAAAATGGAACAGAAATGATAAAGGAGTGGAGCCTGTCCCAAGAATGAAAAAAAAAAAAGAACCAACTCCGATCCAAATAATATAAAGTCTAGAATGTTGCATATTACCCCAGTCTCTGCTCATTCTGAAGATGGAGACCAAAGAAAATGAAAACAATCCTTCCAAGATAAGGATAATGCGTATAAAACACACAAGATGATGTTAAACTCGATCTTGTGCAAAATCCAACACTTCGCAGTCATCTTCGAAAAATCCGTCGTCGCCCCCAGAACCAGTCGACGGGAACGGAGACGGATTCTTCTTCTTGCGACGTGTGGTTATGACTACCTCCTCGACGTGGCCCGTACTGTTACCGAGACTAATCAGGTTCTCCATTTCTCCGCCGAACCCGGCGTGCTGGCCATGCAGAACCTCGTCATGGTCGCCTTCGTCATCCCCACCGGCGCTAAACGGACGCACATGCAGCTTGGACATCGGCATGCTGTCACCAAAGACCCAATGTCCTGTGGGAATCGATGTCTGCGCATCGTCGGCATCGTTCGTTTCCGAGTAGACAAAGAGGTTTACCCGCTGATCAGTGTGGAAAGGTTGGTACGGTGCGTTAGTCTCGATCTCCGCCTGGGAGAGTGGCTGGCACTTGAGTTTGGACCCAGCAGCACCTGGTCGTGGAGTCAACGACGGTAAGGCCCACGACGCGTTGATCGTCGTGTCGACGTTGGCCGTGCCAACGGGCATCGCGCCACAGGGGGTTTGCAGGCTGGCTGGCAAACGGATCTCGATTTCTTTGGGCCCGATAACCGACTGAAGTTGTCGGCTCTTGTTGGTGGACAGAGACCGCCGCACCCGGTACAGTCGGTAAACACCACTATTCACCAGACCCAAGAACGGCTGACCCTTGTGGGAAACCCAAATCACCCGGGAGGCAGCCGGATCGCGGGCCAGGGCCGACAGATGAAGGCGATTTTCTCCAGCATGTCGAAGCGTGTTGACCGTCCCGGTCGCTGCTCCCACCGATTTACTAAGTCCGGCGGCGACAACCTTCCCGCCCCGAACACCGGCAGCAGACGGGATGGCAAATCCACTCACGGCTGGGAAAGCAGCGCCTGCCGATGGGGTGCGGCCCCTGACCGCCGCAAGAATGGGCTGGGTCTTGCCGCCCACGAGTTTGAATGCCGCCGAGAGAGGGTTGGCACTGCTTGCCCGGTCCGATAACTCGTCCGCCGGCTGATCGGCAGCGGGAGATTTGCTGGGCGGCGGTCGAGCTCGCCGGAATGGAGGCCACTGGAAGGCACTGCGTGGGAGGTCAAAAACGTGCACAGTCCCTTTGCGAGTGATGATCGCCAGTCGGTCCCCAGATGGAGGACACCAGATCACGTCGACGATATACGAGGTGGTCAACCGTGCAAACCGGGCAATCTGGCGCACATTGGCACAGGGGGTCACCGAATCATCGGTCAGGAACGCCCCTGCTCGACAGTGCTTTTCTTGCATCAGATCCCAGACGTACTGGACATCGCCCTTTTTACTGGCTGTAAGCAGCATCAATCCGTTTGGCGAGAATGAGAGAAAGCTGCAGCCATTAGGGACCTGGAATGTGGCCACCGGGGTGTGTGAGGTGTTCTTTGTCTCGCCACTCTCGTCCATCCTTTTCAGATCCATGATTGAGACCAAATCAGGCTCGGAAGCTGCAGCAGACTGGGTCTCCTGGGCGTGAGTGGGCGGAAAGGGGCTGTATCCTTGTTGAGGGAAGTCCATCATGTTAGGAGAGCGGCGCGGGGTTGGATTTGAGGCCTGGTCTTTGTTCCAGTAGCTATTCCAGGCTTGAAGACCTTGATCGCCCATCCATCGCGCGCCCCGCACGAGTTCTTGTGTAACGCCGCGGGCCATTTTATCAAAGAAACTCTCACCCTCGCCAACGTCAGTGGCAGTAGAGACTGCTGGTCTTGACGGTGGACTGCGAGTTTCCAGTCCGAATGTTTTCCCGCGGATGAGGGAAGCAGGCACCGTCCCTCGGATCGATGCCCTGTAGGCTGAGGATGGTGGAACAACAGCTAACCATCTCCCTTTCAGGTCGATGATAGGGTGATCGTTATTAACAAACCCTTGAGGAGAGTCATTCCGCGATCCATCAGCGTCAGTCGAAGTCGACGAAGCGGAGTAGCGCCGAGCCTCTTTGGACTGGATGCTAGTCCAGGTCTTCCCCAAGCATCTATAACCGTTCATGCTATAGATAAGCACCTCGCCACTGACGCCAGAAGCCACGACGACGTGATGTCCGCTGGCAAAAAGTTTCAAATTTCCGGCGGGCGACGGCGCGAATACCGGGAGCCCAGGAATATTTTCAAAGCATGGTGACGGCTGGGTTGCGAAAAGAGTAGCAACATGATCCCCATTTCTCAGGGAGTACACCTCAACTCGAGTCTGATAATATCTGGCTTCGTCCTTGCTTACCCGCTTTTCAGCGGGGAGCTGCCGCCCAACGGCGACAGAAGGATTTTCGTTTGTTTCCGAGCCGGTAGAGGATGCAGGACCTTCGTCATCGGATAAAACAGAGGGCCCGTGGATGGTGACAGCAATATGGGGCCGTGACGGGGCAAACGAATCATCCGTCAAGCCACTAACCAGCATCTTTGCTTCGATCACCCGACCATTCAGGCCCGTCAACTTTCCTAATGAACGAGTCGTGCGACTTTCGATGGCTAAAACCTCCAGGAAGCCGTCACCACCGACAAAAAGCACATTGCCACTCATTCTCGACGTCTTGGATGACGGACTTGAGATTGTGTCGAAGGCACAGAACGAGTAGCACGCCTCTGCTGGCGGTCGATTCTGGCCCGAGAACAAGGGAAGATCAATCTCCGGTGCACCGTAGAAATGAGCCTGGGGCAAATGGGGTAAAGGGATCTGGTTATTGAAAGGGCTACTGACGGAGTGGCTCTTACGCCTGTCCGCAGATGCCTGCCGGGACGAGTTATAACCAGTCCCATAACTCAGAGGCCTTGTCCCGGGAGACGCCGAGGAAGGATTACTGAAACCACCCTTCTCGGGATGAAGGAGAAATCCTCCAGGAGAGCCACTAGCCAGTTCACCGTCAATAACGTCTGTGGGTGGACTCTTTCCGAAAGGAATGGCTTTTGCCCAGCTATCCGTTCGGTAGGCAATATCATTCTCAGGCGTCTCCTCGAAGGCGTCAAACGCGTCCAAGACTGGCGACCTTATGTTATTGGTGGCGTGTGTCTCCGGGAGAGGGTCTGGACATGAAGACGGTTCCGGCGGTGACGGAGAAGACGCCTCTATCCTGTACATCGTGCACCATCTATGTCAGCAAGGCTGCCCGGGAGATACTGCAGGAACAGAGAGAGTTTGGATCGAGAGTGCAAGATGACACTATCTACTTACAAGTCTTCCGGAGGAGGCCTTGGGACGGCTTTGGCGGCCTTTGTCTTCCCCTTGGACCCGTTTTTCCCTTTTTTCTTGCTTTTTCCACCAAGCTCATTCTCTGGAGTGGCTCGTTGCAAATCGTCGGTAACGGGGCTGGGATCACTAAAGCCCTGGGTTTGCTGGCGGAAAAAGTCGTCCGAAGCTACCGGGGGCATTCAAATGAAGGGTTGCCTCGGGAGGCAGGTTGGTTTCAACAATGAACGGCCGCTCTCGAGACCTTTTAACGAGGCCTGAGAACGAGAGCAAACAGCAAGTATGCCAACGGGGCGCGGATTCCGGGGAGGTATTGCGTTATCGGCAAGCCAAGTCGCGCCTGTGCAGGGAGATCAACACAAACGCCCTTATCAACATGACTCATCCTGACGTCCGACGCGGGCAGGGTTCGGGATACGTACCGATTACCGGTCTATTCAAGAGGTTCCAGCAGATTCACAGAAAAGAACAGCGCGCTCAACGGCCGAAATAGAAAGGGTAGAAGAGGGGGGTGGGGATGGCGGCGTATCTAGAGTTATGACAACTCTTAGATACGCTGGGAAGCGCGATAAGGACAACACGGAAGCACAGCTTAGACCGGTTGTCTCGTTCAGAGAAACGAAGGATGATGATTAGACAGGTTGGTAAGTACACGGTTGGGGATTCAGTTGATGAGATTATTGAGTAACGTTTGGACAGAAGTAGGTTTCCAGGAAGAGAAGCCAGAGCAGCGGAGGAAGAGGAAGAGCGAGGGAGGGGGAGGGGAATCGGATCAGGTCAGGAGCGTGGATGAGCGGGCTGACTTATCGCCTGCCTGGACTGTTATCGGGGCGGGACTTGGGGGGGACGGAGTACCTGCTAGTGACCGGGGGATGGGCGACCGATGGGACGGAGTGGAGGTACCGACTGGGTACCCTTTTCCAGAGGCATAAGGTTGCCTGCCACATGACGAGGATCCAGTGATGATTGGCCTGACCGGAGGGCCTGAAGCATGACCGGTCAGGACGGATCTCCCAGCCACTCGATAGTCAGGCACTGCCTACATACGGGGTACATGCTTCGGTAGTCGGTAAACGTAGCCCTTCTGCCGTCGTAGGTACACTATACCCTGTACACTATACACGGTCGGAGACGAGTAGATACGTTTACCTAGGATGACGAGCTTGTCCCACGGTCGACCTTTGCTACCCTGCTGTCAACGTCGATGCCTTACCCGCCTGGGCAGGAAGGAATATGGATTAATTGTTCCCCTTCTAATCCACGGTCGGTCCAAAGCTACGAGGCAATAGAACCCACCCGCTATTGGTTCTGCCTGAGGGGTCCAAGCCAAGCAAACACTGCAAACAGCCTGTCTCGACCGCGCCCCTCCGCCACGTGACCCCGCCTGGCAGCCAAAGGGGCAGCGAGCCGGCACCCACTAGGCCAGCAGAGCAGACGTGAGACGTGAGAAGATGCCCTGCTTGGGTCCTACGTCAACTTAACTTCGCGCATTCCATGGCCGTCCCTTTCCTTTTCATTCCCCGGCTTTAGCCGCCACTCGCCAGAACACGTTGTTGGCCTTGACCTTCATGAAGCCTTGGGCAAGAACAAGGTCACGAGTCCGTCACGAGTCCCCGCATGGTACGAGCACCAGCTGTAAGGCCCCAACTTGTCATTGGCACGTCGCTACCGATGTGACTGAAACATGACGCTGCTGAACCGATCTCCTCGCTGTGGCCATACTTTCACCTCTGTAATCCTGAACGGTCCCCAATTCTGGAATGCTCCACCTCCCCTCCTAAATCTTGTGACACCCGAGCTTGTAATTCTAGCTGCCGAGTGACCTAAACGCTCGTCATTCGGCTCATCTCACGCTGGGGGGGCCGCCTTGCTTCCACTGGAGGAAACCCTACATGGAAAGACATCCAGATGAAGAAAGGAGAGGACGGGAAAGAAAAGTCTTGTTACAAATCGATACAATAGGTATAATGACGACAACTCTCCATGCCAAACCGGTATTCACATCCACCCCCTGATGCACTGACACAATGTCCCCCTCCGGCCCCTTTTGGTTTCTACCGAAGTCTCCACGGACGGTTTGCAGATGCTCAGGTCTTTTTCTTCGCAGCGGCTTTGGCCTTGGCGGCCTTCTTCTTGTTGCTGTTGATCATCACGATTCCAATGAACGTGCCGACCACGGCCGAGGCCAGGAGAGTAAGGAAGACGGGAATGCGAATGGCCCATACGCGGGGAGGGAAGAGGTCGTGCAGAGGATGGCCGGGGTCAACGAACGGCTAGAGACAGAAGGGTTAGTAGATGCCACGTATCAATCGGGGGATATAGCAGTAGTGGTGTACCATCAACAGAGTCCATGCCGTGTAGTAGAGAAAGATCGCAGTAGCGACCAAGAGCATGGTGGATCCCACGAGTTGGCCCAGCTGGGGTGAGGTACAAGTCAGTATACCATAATGAATGATCAGAAATATCATTGCAGATGCGTACCATAGTGATGAATCGGAGATATTTCTGCTCGTACTCGCGGAGAAGGACGGACAGACGATGCTTGCTTCATCGCAAGGCGCGCATAACTGGCCGTCGTGGCAGCTTGGCTCCGGGTCACGTGCGCCCGGCCACGCTAAGACTTTCCCTTCCCCTTCGCCGCCTCACAGCTTGACCGACGCAGAACCACCCATTGCCTTCGCGCCTTGTCGCTGGAGTCAACTCCCAGCTTATTGGATTTTTAAGGGGGAAATTTCCATCGCGGTGTGAAATTTGCAGAACAATATGAGCGACCCCATCGTTTTGCAATCGGCAGTGCGAGTGCCTACTCCTCCACCTGGCGCCTCGTACTCCCCCCAGCCTTCGGCATCACGAAAACGCTCTCCGCCCTCTCGTTCCCCTTCGCCCAATCGTCGCCGGTCGCCGCCGGGTGACTCTGTCAATGAGGATGGCGATGCGCCGCACATCGATTCCGAGCGTGCGATAGAGAGAGAGCGCCAACTTGCCGAACGGGTCCGTCAGCATGAGAAGGAAGAGGCAGCACGGAAGCCGATGACGGCAGAAGAAAAGCAGGCGTCGGCCAAGGCAGAATATGAGAAGCTCACGAACATGCGCTCGGGTGGCACCTATATCCCCCCGGCTCGACTGCGCGCGCTGCAGGCGCAGATCACGGACAAGACCAGCAAGGAATACCAGCGTATGGCATGGGAGGCACTGAAAAAATCGATCAACGGTCTCATCAACAAGGTCAACGTATCGAATATCAAATTTATCGTGCCAGAGCTGTTCGGAGAAAACCTCGTGCGCGGCCGGGGTCTATTCTGCAGAAGCATCATGAAAGCTCAGGCGGCCAGTTTGCCGTTTACTCCCATCTACGCGGCGATGGCGGCCATCGTCAACACGAAGTTGCCCCAGGTGGGTGAGTTGCTGCTCAATCGCCTGATCGTGCAGTTCCGCAAGGCATTCAAGAGAAACGATAAAGCGGTGTGCATATCCTCGACGACGTTCATCGCGCACCTGTGCAACCAACAAGTTGCGCACGAGATGCTGGCGGCTCAGATTCTGCTGCTGCTGCTTCACAAGCCCACGGATGACAGTGTGGAAATTGCGGTTGGGCTGACCAGGGAGGTGGGACAACATTTGGAGGAGATGAGCAGTCCTATCGCCCTAGCCGTGTTCGATCAATTCCGCAACATTTTGCACGAGGCCGACATCGACAAGCGAGTGCAGTACATGATCGAAGTTCTGTTCCAGGTCCGAAAGGATCGGTACAAGGACAACCCGTCGGTCAAGGATGAGCTTGATCTGGTGGAGGAGGAAGATCAGATCACCCACCGCGTTGGTCTTGACGACGAGATCGAGACGCAGGACAGCCTCAACATCTTCAAATACGACGAGCAGTGGGAGGAACACGAAGAGGCATACAAGAATCTCAAGGCGGAGATTCTTGGGGAGGGCAGCGACGAGGAAGATGACGAGGACGATTTCGATGAAAGCTCCGACGACGAATCAGACGAAGACCAGAAGATGGATATCAAAGACCAGAGCAACACGAATCTGGTCAACCTGCGACGAACAATCTACCTGACCATCATGTCCAGTATCGACTTCGAAGAGTGCTGCCACAAATTGATGAAGATCTCGCTGCCGCCCGGCCTCGAGCCGGAACTTCCGTCCATGATCATCGAATGTTGCTCGCAGGAACGAACGTACTCCAAGTTCTACGGCCTAATCGGTGAACGATTCTCGAAGATCAACCGCTTTTGGTCTGACCTCTTTGAAGCTGCGTTTGCCAAGTACTACGACACCATTCATCGATACGAAACGAACCGGCTGCGCAACATCGCGCGTTTCTTCGGCCACATGCTCAGCAACGATGCCATCGGCTGGCATGTTCTGTCGATCATCCACCTGAATGAGGAGGAGACGACATCGAGCAGCCGTATCTTTATCAAAATCCTCTTCCAGGATCTCGGAGAACATCTTGGCATGCCGAAATTGCACGAGCGCATGAGAGACGATATCCTGCGCTCCAGCTTCGAAGGTCTCTTCCCGCTGGACAACCCGCGCAACACCCGCTTCTCCATCAACTACTTCACCAGTATCGGCTTCGGTCTGCTGACGGAAGACATGCGTGAATATCTCAAAAACCTTCCCAAACCCACCGTTCCTGCTCTCCCTGCGCGCGCTGCCAGCCCATCAGACTCGGGCTCGGTCAGATCTCACTCCACCTGTTCCACCTGCACCGGCCGCTCGCGCTCGCGCTCCGTTTCATACTCCCGCTCTCCGTCGCGCACTCGTGGTCGGGGACGCTCGGTCAGCCGCGGACGATCTTACAGCCGCTCCGTCTCGGGCTCCTCTCGGCGAAGCTACAGCTACACGCCCTCGCGGTCCCGATCTCCCGTATCGAAAAACCGCCGACGCTCCGTGTCGTACAGTCGGTCTCGCACACCACCCCGACGCACTCGCGCCCGATCCTACGATTCCCGTTCGTCACGGAGCGCGAGTCCATATCTGGCTCGCCGGTCAGCGTCTCGCTCCGTCTCGCCTCCTCGCACGCGTGGTGGCCGTAAAGATCGAAGCCTCTCACGCTCCGTATCGCGGTCTCCCTCCCCTCCACCTCGACGTGGCAATGCCAGACGCTATTCCTCGGCGTCTCGCTCGCCTCCACCCGCCGGCAAGCGCCGCGTCGCGAGTCCATCCGCCTCGCGTTCGCCTCCGCCAGCTCGTCGCCCCCGAGATGCCTCGGCCTCGCGCTCTCCTCCGCCCCGACACGGACGAGGCAGAAGATACTCGGACTCTCGTTCTCCGTCCGCATCTCGCTCGCCTCCTCCGCGTCGAACCAACAAAGCCCGATCTCGCAGCCCGCCTCGTCGGCCTCGGGCTGCCGATTATTCCTAGCCATGATGTCTTAACAGAAAGGAATCGGATGAAACTCTAGGCGAGTCGAGCATATAGCAGTAGTAGTAAATCAATCCTGATATGATGACTAGAAAGAAAGCAAGTTCATTTAATTCAGTTTTTTTTTTGGGTGGAAAGGGTCCGAATGGGTTGGTCATGTAACCGGTGTATTTATACATTTTTATCTGCGAACTAGGAATCAGGAAAACATCTTTCGTCAATTTCAATTAGAACGGCGGTTTCATGCTTGTGCAAGCTTCAATTGTAAGTTAGGTTCTTGTAGGCTGGCTCTGTTATATATTTCTTCACTCTCCATTCCACTGTCTATGGGTATCTATCGTGTCTATATATCATTTTTCATCCATCGTAAACCGACCAACCAATCAACCAAACTCCACCCATCATGCATCCAATATCTATAAATACTCAAATCAACTCAACTCCTGTCAGAACCTAAGACCAGTTCAGACAATCCAAACCATCTCCTCCCCTCTTCCTACCGAGTATGCCTATCTAAAATCTAAACCTCCCCCGCCTCCCAAGCGCACCTCTCACACCGACACAACCCACCCAACGCCCCTCTCGCCCACTCCCTCCTCTCCTTAACATCCAACCCAATATCACAATAATGATTCCAGATCTCCTGGTCCGCTTGAATGCCCTCATCCCTTTCACCTTCAGCCTCGGGACCTGTCCCCTTCTTCACCTCCGTCCCCTCCACCGTCTTCCTCCTCCACACAGGCCTCTCATCCCTCGTCCTCGCCCGGAACGTGATCTCTCCGCCCCACTCCCACCGTACGTTCGGATCACACGAATGATTCGCTAGACACCACAGCGGATGCACGGCGCAGAGCTCCGGACCGCCGTCCCACGTCGAGAGCCGGCCTGATGCGGTGCCGCGGAACTTAGCGTACAGGGTGTTAAGGATCCAGGTGTCGTAGCGCGGGAGGGTGGTGTAGGGATCGAGTTCCATTTCCTCGAGGATGCGCATCGGTTGCAGGATCGAGAGGTGGAAGGAGAAGGGGAGGGTAGCGGTTTCGTCTTCCTTGTCTTGAGGTTGAGGGTTAGGGGTAGGTTGGTCCGGGTTACGGGTGGTGACGGGGGAGGAAATGTTCAGGTCGAGGTCGTGAAAGTCGCCCCAGATGTATTTGATCTCCGGCAGGTCGAGCGGGTGCAGGTCCTGCGTGGCGGCCATGGCGATGGCGCGGCCGACTAGCAGCAGATACAGGTAATCGGCCTTGTCAGTGGGGTCGGGGATATCCTTGCCGATGGACTCGAGGCCATCCATCAGGCCGCAGACAGCGGCGTGGTAGACGTCCTGGGCGCGATCGTGACACGCCTGAGAGCAGAAGATGGTATCGTCGCAGCCGGCGCAAGCGACGGGGGGGTTCTGGTCAGCGAGGTCAGGGAGAGGCGCATTGCAGGCGTCGCAGAGGTCGTCATGGAGACGGTTCGTGGCCGTGAGGATGGACGACTCATGCAGGAGGATCTCGCCGGCGGCGATGTCCTCTTTAGCGAAGAGGCCGAGTTGCACGGAGACCTCGTCGGATGGGGTTGGCTCGCTTCCCTCCGTGGTGCCGTGCAGCAGGGGGAGCGCGACGGCGCGGACCTCGCATTTGGGCGCAACGTGCTGCAACCGGTCGTTCAGCAGCTGGAGGGTTTCGGGTGCCTTGCGATCCGGCTCGTGCTCGTTCCAGGGATAGAGAACGCGGCGGGCGCGGCCCTGGGCTTTCAAAGCGCTCGGGTCCACCTGGACTTGCGCCTCGTCGGCGGATGTAGATGCGGCTTGAGGCCGGCGTGATAGGTACACTTTTTTGATGATATCCATCTGACCTCGCAGCGCGTCCACGGCGTCCTGACCGTGCTGTGAACCCTCTAACAAGGCCAAACCCCTCCCGCAGAACTCAAACGCATCGCGAAAACACCCACAGCGGACCAGGTTGCGAACCAACAATGTATACACCCCACCGATGAGAGCATCGTATTCGTCCTGGGTTACAGGCTCATAGGCACCATCCTCGTCGTCCTCGTCATCATCCTCACCCTCATCCTCATCCTCATCCTCATTCGCATCAGTTGTGTCGTCCGTCTTCGCATCACTTGAGTCCGCAACTCTCTTTCGAGCGTGGAATTCACACCCGTCCGGATCAACGACCGACTCGAGCAACGATAGGGCGCGATAGGCATCGGCGGAAGCGAGATCAGCGAACCCCAATCGCTCGTGGATCAATCCTCGTTCATAGTGACGGTGCGGATTGTGGGGGTCTGCGTAGAGTCTGGCGGTAGTTTCGGAGCGCTCCTGAAGAAGGGCCTGCATTCTGGGTACAATCGTAGAGCGAATTCAAGTGATCAAGATTAGAAAATGCTCAATTGCTCTATTTCGGGTCTAATCATGAGAATTAAAAATAGCGAGCGACTTCTTGACCATTGAGAGCGGGGAAGTAAAACGAGAAAAAAAGAAAAAAGAAAAAGAAAAAAAATGCGGGGGACTGATAGGCTCACGTGAAGATAAGCGCGCAAAACTCTCCTCGCAATTCTCTTATCTGCGCCATGTCCACTAACAACACCAGTCTACTACAACAATCATTGGACAAACTTGGTCATGGATTCTCATTCAGTCATTCTTGTGGCGTGACTAACTATCACAAACGTACTGCATATCCCCTCACTTTTTGGAAGGTCAACCAGACGCCAAAACATAACCCAGGAAGCCAGGGAGAGAGGGCAGAAGAGGAGAGAACAGAAGAAAACAAAACAAAAAAAAAATATTAAAAAGACATAGACTGGGGAGGTTGTCGAAAGTCTATCCATAGCAACCAGAAGAGAAAAGAAATCGCGCTTGATTATTCTTCCCATATATTCAAACGGGAAGATCATTGATATGGTGTTATAACACCCTCTCTCCGAGCGTCCCCTCGATATTACTTACTTCCTCACATTATCTGCGAACGGGTCAGATCGAATTCAAACCCACCGCAAGCATGGTTGAAGACGAACGGGGCAAAGGAATGGCAAAGCAAAACTTACACGGCAGTTGTCTTCCAAGACAAAACTGGCATTTTCAACTCCGCCCGCGGCTTGCTGACGCCTCAGATTCACCGCAAGTCGAGACAACATCTCTCGCTAAAAGAAGTGATTCTCGTCGTCAGATGAAATGACTCTTACTCGAACAGGGAAATCAAGACTCACTGTGATGTACGCTTCGTCCATCCCACCTTGCCGGTTGACATCATTCTGGCTCATGATCCGATAACTGTCGTGGATGCGCTTGCAGCTTCGAAGACCGCCGACCCCCGAAACATTCGACTTCAGGGTGTTGGCATCATTGTCGGGATCCAAAATATTGACGCCTCGACGAGCATCCTCCTGGGCACGCCGGTCGGTGGAGAAGATTTTGATTGTATTGTCGATGCCGGATGCTGCAATGGTGGGTTCATATGGATGTCCTAATGGCCGATTGTTAGTGCAACAGACCCTTTGAATGACCATGGGATATCTTACCTTGCACAACATTGACAACTTCGCTGTCGCCTTCGAGGATATTAACCAGCTTAGAAGACTTGCGATCCCAGATGAACACATGACCAGAATCGCTGCCGCTCACAACGTACTCGTCGTTGAGCCCGAAATAGTTCACGTCCTTGACCGTTTTGATATTGCAATGGCCCTGGTAAACCCTCGTATGCGGCGAGCATGAAACGTCCAGGCCCACTAATTCCCTCCTCGTTCGTCGGATGTTGTAACCTCGCAGCATGCGATCTTCCTCTTCCTGTGCTTCAAGATCTTCGTCACTATCGAGCGGGGAGCTGCCTGACGTTACTCCAAAGTCGTCCAGGTCATCATCTTCCTCTTCGCCATCGTCTTCCATGTCATCGTCCTCCATGTCATCGTCCTCGTCATGGTTGGCCCGTTCAAAAAAGGCTCCACTACTTGCCATAGGTTCGTCGTCAACGGACGTTCCCCGAGTACTGTTTGACCCGGCGTCTGAAGAAACGAGGTTTGCGACTGTATCTCCGCTGGAGCCCGAGGTTCTTTCGGGCGCTGATCGGTCAGCCAGCCGTGCTAGAGATACATCATGAATCGGCTCCTCTTCAATGTTGGGGTTGATATCTTCCTGAGATCTCTCAACTCCCGTATCCTCTTCGGCCTCGTCTTCGACCGTCGTCCGTACACCGCCAAAAGCTCGGTTGACAAACTCGTAGTTCACACCAGAACCAGCCTCCATCAGAATTCCTCGGCAGACTTTGAAGGCCCAGAAACCTCTCTCCACCGACCGGTTCGTTTTCCGAGCAGAATGTTCCAGCGTATCATGGTTGTCGCCGTTCTCGGATTCCATGCTCTCCGAATCCATATTCCGCCGGTGAAGCGTGTTTTTGAATGCATTCGTGATGTCATGCTGCGTCGGACTGATGAAGCGACTTCGATCGTGTTCGAACCTCGATGCGTCGACATTCACCACAGGCGTGTCACCCGCCAGCCCTTGCAAGTAGGGCAGTAATGCCGTCTCGATGGCCGTGTCGTCCGCCGTTTCAGAGAGGGGGAATCGTGCCTTATTCAACCGATTGGCGGCGTCCCGCTTGAAGCCCGCAAGCAACGCCCCCCGGCCCCCTTCCACCCACAGCAAAACCGCCTTGATGAAGTCGTAACAAAACTGGGATTCTCGATCAAGCGCATTATTCTCCCCCGGCGCCAGCCGAACCTGCTGGAATTGTTCCATCGCGGGTTTGGGGTGTTCGGGATGATCCCGCACCTCGCCTCCGAGGACCTGCGCTAATGTTCCAGCGGCTTGGACGAATCTCCAGGCCGACTCGCGATTCCGACGGAGGGCTTGCTGCACACCCACCACCTCGTGACTCGGGTTCATAGGGTATCTCCATGTTCGCATGACCTCATCCATTTGCGGCAAGTAGGTTGCGGCCTCGGTCAGAGCACCGGAGAAGAAATCGGTGTACGGAGTTAAGTCGGGTGCGCTGAAGGGTACGCTGTCGTCGCCCATAGCATCGCCCAGCGAGAAGAGGGCCTTGCGAAGCCTCACCAGTCCTTTTGCAATCCGCATGCTTAGTCGTTGCGCGTCGTTCAATACCGAATCCCTCGCCTGTTCGATCAAATCCGGGGGCGCCGTCCGAGGGTCCGATAAGTTCGGGAGCGGAATATCTTCTGACTCCCCATTTCCGTACCGCACCCGAAATGCTAGTTCACCATCGTCGCCGTCGGTCTGGTCCTCGCTATTTCCCTCAACGCGGGGACGGGCTCGCGGCCACCCTCCACTTACGTGGGATGGAATCGAGGACCTGGCTTTCCGCTTGAGCCTCCTGTCCGTGGAACTTTGTCGCCTGGAAGAATCGGACGTGTCGGGGGTACTCTTTTGGCGCGAGGGGTCCGATTCGGTGGCGTCCGGACTGCGAATCAGATCGAAGCTGTAGATGTGGCCTCCAGACCAGCTGACGACCATCTCGTTGGGGTTGGCATCGCTGATCTTGCAAGCGGTGATGTCTCCGCTACCGCGGGGGCTCATCCGACGCTTGCCGTTCGGTGCAAACTTTCGAACACACCTGGTCGCCTGGCCCATTAATTCATCGCTACGTGCACTGCCGGTTGTCGGGGGAGTACCGGGATCACCAGCCTCGACCTGTAGGTCGCGCCCGAGCATGCGCCGGTCATGAAGGAAACAATGGAGATGGGCGCCGCCCAGGGCAATGTAGTGCGGCTGGCTGGGCGAACACGAGATCGTGTTGAGGTCGACTTGATGGCGCTTGTACGAGATCAGCGGGGGCGGGGTGTTCGAATCGTCATGGACCACTCCCGGTCGATAGGCCATGGGCCCTTGGCCGCCCCGCGGCTTCGGGTAAGCGGACGACGGCTGTCGCAGGTCCCATTGGCGCACCTCGCCATCCTCGGAGCAAGTGAGAAACAGGTGGGGGGACGATTCGGTGACAATGCGCTTGACCCGGTCCGCGTGACTGCGGTAGACGCGGGCGTTAGTGTTCCCCTCGTTCAGATACCGGGTATTGGTGAAGAAGTTATTGAAACGGCGACTGCGAGCGGACGAGACAAAGGCCGACGAGGTGTCGGCGGAACGATTGCTGCTAGAGTACTCCAGGTCAAAGACGCGGACCTGATGGTCGCCTGCGCACGTTATCAGAGTCCGGTCATTCGAGTGCGGCATGAACTTGACCGAGAAGATGTTGGCCCTATGGCCCGTGGCCACGGTGGTGCTCAGCGAAAAGGGCGCGCTAGTGGACTCGGGCTGGTAGGAATAAATGTTCAAGTGGAGATCATCCGAGCCCGACGCGAGAAACTGGCCAGATCGCGACCATCTACAAAAACAGCCGGGTCAGCGTGCTGAAGGACCCCCCAGAGAATTTCCCCCCGAGCAAAGGAAAGGAGGGGAAGAAAAGACGCGACGACGACAAGGCAATCGCGCACAGAGAGAGAAGGCAGCAAAATGCGACCGACAATCAGACGTACGATAAGGCATTGACACAGCCGGTGTGGCCGCCCAGCTCATTCACGATGTCCAGATCGTCCACCCATTCCTTAGAACCATAGATGCTGCGAATACTGGAATAATGCGACCCATATCCCGATTCCCGCCGCCAGATGCGGTCGTACAGCGAATTCCTCATGGTGCGAAAGACGTCGACGGGCGGGCGACAGAAAGCGTACGTTCAGTTTAGCGAGGTCGGGAACATTACGCGCGATGGAGAAGACTCTGTCGAACGCTCTGAGGCGAGTGACGTCAGTCCCATCACGGAGAAGGGTAGTTAAATAAGGGCAAATGGGTAGGAAGAAAGCGGGACCTTCCCCCAACAACAACTGCTGCTGCTGCTGCAACAACAACCATCGCCGCAGAACGCACAGAGTCAGTCGGTCTGAGAGCAACGATCCAAAGGAGGGGGTAACCCCAAATGACCCCCCAAGAAAAATGGATAATCCAATCTCTCCCGAGACACAACTGCAGCGCAGGCTCGAAGCGAAGCGATGAAGCACAAGCGTAGGGGGGGCAAGAGGTCCAAGGGAAGACCAAGAAGAGGCAGGTGTGAGATGGCAACCGTGAAAAAGACCGCGATAATAGTGCCGATCCGTCTGCCGGGTGGATGCAAGTCTTTTCCTTTTTTTTCCCTTCTTTTTTCTTTCTTATTCTATTTTCTATACACCCAAGCAGGTATGTGGTTTCCAGTAGAACCCAAGGAAAACAAGGATCTTACCTTTTACAAAACGTTGAAACCGGGTAGAGAACGGCAGACTATGGAGCAAGAAATTGCGATGAGAAGAAAGATAGAGAGAGAGAGAGAGAGAGAGACCGAGAGGGCGAAAGAAAGAAGGCGCAGAAGTAATAGAAGAAGAATACTTACCACCGCCAGCCCCAGCACGGGAACAACCAATGGCCAGACGGGAGAAGAGGGGAGAAGAAACAAGCAGAAAAGAAAGGGAAAAGGGCAGCTGCTCCACTCGGTCCAGACTTCGAAGGGCGGAAGTAGAACCACTGGGCTGCAGACTAAGCCGGAGTGAGCGTTCGAGGTGTTTGACGGGTGACGGTCTGGAAAAAACCGGGCTCGGGGCAACGGTTGGTCAGAGGCACTGGAACACAGGCTAGATCCATGGATTGACGGGAGGGTATTTATGAGTATCATGTTGGAACCGTGCATGTAAGTAATGGTGGTATTAAGGGATTATCTCCAGGGAGTCGAGATCGCTGGTACGTGGAATTAGGAACCGAATCATCCACTCGCCTACGTCAAACGAGGGTGAAGTGAAGTCAAAAGAAACCACGTTTGCTCCATCGGGCGGGCCAATGCCGCTTTGGGGCTGTCATAACACATGATCCGTCCGCACCGATGGAGTACCCCCGGAGGAGCCTTCAGTCCTTCACCCTCTGGAAGGGATTGTCAGAGAAATCCAGGAGGAGACCGGGCAGTCCTCAGTAGAAACCGGAGTGACAGATCACGGCACTCCGTCCCTGCACAGGACACTGGAAAAGACCAGTAGTTGCAGCCGAATCGGGAAGGGGTGCGACTCGGCCATGAAGCAGCGATGATATCAAAGCGCTAGTCCCGTTTGGGCAGGGATTGCTTTCCCTGCTGACTCAGCCTATCAAGTCCGGGGTTGTGCAAGAAGAGTCTCAGGTATATCTCCTGAGGGAGTAGAATACCACATCATGACTCATGGCCACTCGGCCGGTTATCGGTGCAGAAGGCACATTCTCCCTTTCATTTGCTTTCCATACGGTGTACGCGCCTTTCCCTCGTCGTACACAGCCCGCGTATAATTATTATCCACGCCCGCTGTACTAGCGCATTCAATAGCATGATATTTGATAACAGTAAAAACCGGTCCAGGTCACAGAGGAAGGACCAACCACTTCCCGGCTTTCTGGAAAAGGAAAGGGAAGACGAAAGAAAAAAAAAAAAAAAAAAAAAAAGAAAGGTGGTCCGGATCCTGGCCGCCCAACAGGCATATCATGTTTGTTCTCGTGTCGCATTCAAGGGTCTCCCGCAATCTAGTCGCTCGCCTCTCTCTTTCTCTTTCTCTCCGGCAAGGATTGAGATCCCAGACCGATCATCTAGCACAACGGGCGAAATTGCGGTCGGCCGGACTGGTGGAACTGAACTTAGAACCAGAGTTGAATCGAAGTTTCAGACAGAAAAAAAATAATAAGTCGCGAAGTAGGGGAACTAGTCGGAGTAGATCGCCCCAATATTTCTGTTCAGTCGGTTCAATCAAACTGACCGCGCGGTTAGGAAAAACCAGTTTAAACGGGCCCGAGAATCTGCGAACGACCGGTTTACACATTTTGCCTCCGGTCTGAACTTGGAAATCAATGCATTAGTTGATCTGGACGGCTTGCCCTTCCGCCTGTGTCGCCGGTCCCTGCGATGTTCCTTGGTAGTATGGGGGTGAACCTGGCCATTATGCTTTTCTCTCCTTTTTGCCCCCCATTTATTTTTTTTTATTTTTATTTTTATTTTTTTTTTTTCCTCCGTCTCTGTGATATGATCTTTTTTTTGGCGACTTGTAGCCCCTCTTCTTTTCGAATTTTTTTTTTTTTTCCTTTTCTTTGCTCTTTCTGTTCTTTTTCCCTCCGGCTCTTTCTCTGGTCTCCGATGTACGGTGTACGGAGTACTCCGTCTGTATCATGTAGATAACTTGAATCACCAGTGCAGGTAACTTGTTTTCGGGTGAAGGTCAACTGCACGGCCCTCGGAAATATGCTATGACTTCAACGACGACTGCCTCCACATTCCCAACTCCGAGGATCTTGTCTCCTGGGATCGTCTGGTCATGAACTGTCGCGTGAGCTGACTAACCCACTGTCGCTCCGATCTTGTGATATCGGCCTCGATCTTACGGATGGCGTTCAGCTCGTCCACCATCAATTTGACCATCTCATCCAGGCCGCGCGCCATTCGCAGGAGGGCAGAATCTTCCAGCCGCTCTACCTCCCCGTAGCCCAGAATGTCGAGACTCTCTAGCTGTCTGGCGCAGAGTTCCAACTGCAGTGTCATGGCATACGCCTCCTCCTTCCAGGCCGGGTCGATGGGGTCGATGAACACGACGTGGCCATGGCCAACAACCCCTCCTCCCTGCTGCGCCAGCCGGTAATTCGTGATTTCTCTCGCCTTGTGGAACCAGTCTTCGAATCCCTGCACGGCCAATGTGTATCGGCCCGCCAAGCTATCATTTAAATCACAGACTTCCTGCGTAACCTGAGACAGGATGCGGATTTGTTCCTCAAACCCCTGCTGCCCGTTATGCTCCCGCGTATTCTTGAGCCACCCGCTCAAGGCCAGCCCGTTTAGCCGCCGTTGGTACTCCTTCTCCTCGACGATCATGGTCCGGTATCTGCCCGCGACCGAGTCGTATTTCGACCGTAGCTGCGCCTCGGCCTGGTTTCTCCACTGCACATTCTGTCGGAGGGAAGACCGGTGTAGAAGACTGAGTTGTAGTAGCTCGGTTTGGAGTGATGCAATCTCCGGCCAGGACGCCGAGATCAAGGCAGGGTCTGGCTGCGTAGACCCGCCGGAGGACTGCGCAGCGGCGGGCTTGTCACTGGCCTTCCTTGGCGAGAACTGTTGCTGGTAGGTTGTGAAACCGGCTCTGGACCGTGTCGTAGTCGTCGATGGCGAAGGCGGCTCCAGCTTCTTGGAGGCCTGACTGGGAACCGCTGTGACCTGGCTACGATGTCGAACGTGACCCCGGGCGGTCGCCGGAGACCCGATCCCGGCACTGGAGCTCGCCGGCTGCCTTAGCGACGTCGATCGAACCGGTCGTGGCGGAGGAGCCATGCTCGTCTTCTTTGGCGACCCTGCACGGCCATTCTGGTTGGAGGTGGCATCCGATTTGGACGGAGAGGGCGGGCCTTGCGCGAATGTGGCCCGTTTCGGGGTGGTCAAGGGTGTTGTTGAGCCGGTCGAGACCGAGGGGGTCCGAACCGACGAGGTCGGTTTGAGCGCACTGGGTCGAATCAAGCTTTGGCGTCGAGTTAGACCGGTCGGCTCGACCGGTCGCGGGTCCTGCTGTGCTGGCGGCCTCTGAACGAGCCTGGTTCCCCGCTCGGGCAGTCGACTTTCTTGCGGCTTGGGGATGCGTCCAGGCGACGCCGTGGAGCGGGCCTCGTCACGAACGGGCAAGAGGCTCTTGGTTTTGGTGCCATTGTCGCTCCCTGCCGAGGAGGGGGGATTCGAGGGTCCGGAGGAGATGGAGGTCGAAGCGGTCCTGGTTGAGGCTGTGCGTCCGAGAGTTGACGGCTTGTAGAAACCTCAGAGGTTAGTCCAAAGCTATCAAGTCATAGTCCGTGGTCGGCTAGGTAGAAGACGAATCGAAGAGGCTGGGGATGGGGAAATGACAGTAGGAAAGGCAAGGGGGGGAAATTGGTGGATACAGCCCACTAACCTGCTTACGGGGATCACGGAGCGAAAGGGAACGCGTAGGAATGGGCATCGTTGCTAAGCATTCGGTCCTTCATTAGCGTGGTTAATATGATGAAAGGATATCGATGGGGATATGAGCCTCGATCGGGGTAGGAGTCCGTCGTTGTAGATAGATTGGGTGGAAGGTCAACTAGCGGTCACTCGATCAACAGTTCAGCGCAGCGCGTGGCGCACGGGCGAAGTTTAAAATAGTCGAACAATTCCCGAGATCTTCTGTTCCCTTTTTCCCCACGAGAGCGACCAAGTTAATCGTTATTCGTTAATCTTTCATCGAGATTCTGCAGGGTTCTCGACTCGCTCGACTCACAAGTCTCTCATATTCTCAGATTTGCTTCATTACTCGGAGGAAAAAGAAAAAGAAATTGCACTGATAATCATTACTCTCGTTCAATTAGAAACGCCCGTGATACCAGCAGAATAATGATAACACAAACTTTTGGCAAGCATCCGAACAACTTAGGTCATACATCAAGATGAAAATAAAATAGGACGGGCAAGGGCGGCATTATCACTATTTCGGTTTCTCATCGAGGCGCTGTGAATTAATGAGAATTAATTGCCCAAGAACTTTCAGACAGACAGGACCTTTCGTATCACATTCGTCCCGCCAGGTATTTAAAGCATTTCCATCCCCTGGGATTCTCAATCTCGCATGTCATTACAGGCTTCCTCGTCGAGGGAAGGCGACTCCGTCC